ATTATATATGGCAGGGGGCAGAGGGATCTCCAGTTGTGGCCTCTGCCAACGAAGCTCCACACTGGAGATCAGGTAAACGTACCTGCCTGTCCCGCCCTGGGCGCATTTAAGACGCAGCTGGGGGGACATAATATATTTTTCGCTGTTGTTTTATACTGTCATTGACCACTGTGATCTATATATATATATGTCGTATATTAATCCGGCTCCTGTCTAATCTGCATGTTTCAGGATTCAGTTCCTGCCGGATCATATAATGATCCATTCTTGTCTAGTGTGTGTAGAGTGTGGTGTGTGTAAAGTGTAGAGTGTGGTGGAGTGTGGAGTGTGGAGTGTAAAGTGTGGAGTGTGGAGTGTGGAGTGTGAAGTGTGGAGTGTGGAGTGTCGTGTGTGGAGTGTGGAGTGAGGAGTGAGGAGTGTGGAGTGTAAAGTGTGGAGTGTGGAGTGCGCAGTGTCTAAAGTGTGGATTGTGGAGTGTGGAGTGTAAAGTGTCGAGTGTGAAGTGTAAAGCGGTAGTGTAAAGTGTGGAGTGACGAGTGTAAAGTGGAAAGCGTGGAGTGTAAAGTGTAAAGTGTGGAGTGTAGAGTGCAGAGTGTAGAGTGTAAAGTGTGGAGTGTGGAGTTTGGAGTGTAAAGTGTGGAGTGTGGAGTGTAAAGTGTGGAGTGAGGAGTGTAAAGTGTGGAGTGAGGAGTGTAAAGTGCAAAGTGTAAAGTGTGGAGTGAGGAGTGTAAAGTGTGGAGTGTAAAGTGTGGAGTGTTGAGTGTGGAGTGAGGAGTGCGGTGTGTGGAGTGTAGAGTATAAAGTGTGGCGTGTAAAGTGTGGAGTGTCGAGTGTACCGCGTGGAGTGTGGAGTAAGGAGTGTGGTGTGTGTGTTGAGTGTAGAGTGTGGTGGAGTGTGGAGTGTTGTGGAGTGTGGAGTGTGGAGTGTAGTGCGTGGAGTGAGGAGTGAGGAGTGTGGAGTGTGGAGTGAGGAGTGTGGTGTGTGTAGAGTGTACAGTGTGGTGGAGTGTGGAGTGTTGTGGAGTGTGGAGTGTGGAGTGTGGAGTGTGGAGTGTAGTGCGTGGAGTGAGGAGTGTGGAGTGAAAAGTGTGGAGTGTGGAGTGTGCAGTGGGTCAAGTGAGGCGTGTGCAGTGTGCAGTGTAGTGTGTGGAGTGTAGAGTGTAAAGTGTAGAGTGTAAAGTATAGAGTGTGGAGTGTGGAGTGTGGAGTGTAAAGTGTGGACTGAGGAGTGTCAAGTGCAAAGTGTAAAGTGTGGAGTGTAAAGTGTAGAGTGTGGAGTTAGGAGTGCAAAGTGTAAAGTGTAGAGTGTGGAGTGTAAAGTGTAGAGTGTGGCGTGTGGAGTGGAAAGTGTCGAGTGTGGCGTGTGGAGTATAGAGTGTAAAGTGTAGAGTGTGGAGTGTGGAGTGTGCAGTGGGTAAAGTGTGGAGTGTGGCAGGTGGTGGTGATCTCGTTGCGCTGGAGATGTTTTTGTGCTGGCGATGTTGTTGTGCTGGTGATTTCGTTGTGCTGGTGATTTCGATGTGCTAGTGATTTCGTTTGTGCTGGTGATTTTGTTGCGCTGGTGCTGTTCGCTGGTGATTTCATTCTGCTGGTGCGTTCGTTGTGCTGGTGATTTCGTTGCGCTGGTGATGTTGTTAGGCTTGTGATTTTGTTGCGCTGGTGATTTCGTTGTGCGGGTGATTTCGTTGTGGTTTCATTGCGCTGGTGATGTTGTTGTGCTGGTTGTGATTTCGTTGTGCCGGTGGTGATGTTGTTGTGCTGGTTAGTTGTCTCTTTGTGAACTGTTGCTCAGGCGCCTTCGCTGAGATGGTATGAGGGCACGATGCATGCAAAAAAAGGTTCGTTTTCCTATTGCAGAGGTTTGCATTCGTAGTCCAGGAACGTGAATACATTCGGGTTCGTGGCTTCCATCTTGTTCCACAAACATAACACTTGCTCCAAACGAAGGCCTCGAAGAATTTGTTTTCCGCAGAAGGTGACGGTTCGATACACGAGGCCTAGCTGCCCTTGTCGCCAAAAGAATGTAGGAAATCAAATACAAATAGATCACCTAGAAATCCTGTATACCAAGTTCCGTGTCATTCACAACTCATGTACAACAATTCCTGTGTCACAACTCCTGTGCAGAAATTTTGTATGTGATGTGATGTGATGTGATGTGATGTGATGTGATGTGATGTGATGTGATGTGATGTGATGTGATGTGATGTGATGTGATGTGATGTGATGTTGGTGGAGTTGATGTAGATGATGTAGATGATGTTGATAAAGTTGTTGTGGCTGATGTTGATAATGCATGTGATGCATGTGATGCAGATTAAATTAATATATATATATATATAATTATATATATATTGATGATCTAGAATATGCATGTGGTGTAGATGTATGTGGTGTAGATGATGTAACGGATCTATAAGATAATTACAAGACGCAGTGCTGTCCGCAATGTAAATGAGGTTGATGTAGATCAACTAGCTAACCAGCTGAGGATCATCTTCCGCTTTCTAAAGCGATGGTTCACAAGGGTGCAATGGACAAGGTCCACAAGGCTGATCATGCTGGTCAATTCATCAGCAAAGTGGGCCATGATCAGCTGGACAACGAACCAGTGCAGCAGTTCACACGAGGTCACGAGGCAAGCACGCACGGGCCGCATGGGTGGCCTGGGTGGCGCATGTAAGATATATGAGAAATGTTACAACACAACCCTAAGGCCCTAAGGCAACTTCCGCCTCGCCTCGTGCGGGCACTACTGGTAACAAGATTACATAATAATACATAATACATCATAATACGTAATAGATCGTAATAGTAAAAATGACAATGCAATAATGATAATAATTAAAAAACACACAAAAAATACACAAACATGTAATAACAATCAGAAGAAACATATTCAATTGCGTGTTCACAATCTTACATACAAATAGCTCACGCTACGGTGTTTGCCCTCACTGGCAGCGTAGCACTGGTCCAGCACCAAAAATTATCGAGACACGCAGTTCACTTGCGAGATGCATTAGAAAAAAGGGACCCATGGTGTGAAGAATCCCCTGTTCGGGATCAAACAAGTTTTGACAATTTTATGTTGTTTCTTTGGTACCGAATTGCCACTGGTTTAGCAAAGGGTTTAATTAGTTTAATTTGACAGAATGCCTTCTAGAAACAGAAGAACCCTGCCAACACGAACGCGGTTGAGACAGTAGAATAGCTGGAACACAGCAAGTAGACAAGCTGTGGACTTGCTGCAAGGTATTCATTTGTGACCATGTCAAAACGCGAATCAATGGCCTGCTGAACCTACAATTATTCGTTTAGGCATGTCATGCATTATCAATCAATACCTCATGAGATATCGCGGCATTCGGACGGCGACGTGTTGCCTTGCTTGAAAGTTTCTTTGGGGCAGCGGTTTAGGATTCATTGAATGTTCATTTCAAAAATGTAGTTTTTGTTCAGGGTCTGTCGGTCTGTCGTGGAGTTTTCCGCTTTGTTGTGAGGTTACTGTAGGTTACAGCAAGTTAATTACGAAGATTTACGAAGAATATGTTCGAAACATTGTTCAAAGGGATTGGAATGGTTGTTTTGGCACCATCTTAGGCAAGTCCAAAACTGCAAGCACACGCAAAGCAATATCAATCAGCCGAAAACAAGCGCCGCAACGACACAAAACTTGCGGGACTGCACAAACACTGTCGATTTCGAGCAAGCGTCAGCCCCCCCAGCGCTGTTCGTTGAAGCTTGGTGGCAGAAAAGGCGTGGTTTAAAACATGGTCGCCGACCAACGGAAATGCCTTGGAACGTCCAAGCTTTTTTTTTGTCGTTTTTTGTTGTTGCCTGGCTGGGTTCCTGAATCATTTTCCTGCAACTTTTAGGACTTAGGAAACCACACTGCAACATAACTATACAAACGGATCTCAAGGGTGTTTCAACTCTCGAAACCAATGACATCAGCCAGCTGCGCTATTGCCAGCATCATCTTCTCAGCCAAGATATTAAAGTTTCGTAAATTGATGGATTTTTTTTCTAACAATTTTGCCAACTGAGGAGTTCTTCCAAACTACTGGGACGTGTGGTCTTCGCACAGAAGATTTGGACTTCATTAGCAATTGGCGCCCTGCAACTTCAAGCTCCCATTTGTTTGAAAAGTTTTGTGCTTTTTTAGACGTTTTGGGTTTGGCATTTTGACGGTCGTTTGCAGGTTTTGCCTATGTTTTGCAGTTCTTCGCAAGTCTCTTGTGTTTTTGCTCTTTTGCCGAGTTTTCTTGCAGGGAAGAGGCGGCGCAGTGTTTTTTTGGTACAGTGCAGTAAGTTTGAAATCGCTCCACGAAGTACACAAATCTGTATGCGCAAGTTTCATCGTCGTCGTTTCCTATCTTTGGACATCTGCTTCCCAGCCGGTGCTCGTCCACACAAGTGACGAGAAGTGCAGGGTTGGTCGCTCTTCTTAAAGGTTTGTTCAAACATTCCCAAGTGGTGAATGCTTGGGGAAAGGGTCAGGATCTTTAAAAAGAAATTGAAAAGACAGCCAACTCCCAAGGCACATCTTCAACTGGTTGAGTGACTGGATAAATGCTCTAACCAGCAGCCAGCACCAGCTTGTTTTCGGCGCAACGAGTGACGCACCCTGCATTTTTCCGGGCTTCAAACGAAGGAAGCCCAAAAACGGCTGCGCCAGAAGCTCAGACGGTGAGACACTAATCTTTTGAGGCAATACCGCGCGGCACAGATTTCACTTTCACCCAACCATCGGATGAAAGTTTCAATCATTCCATCAATCACTGTAAGTCTATTTCGACATGCACACAGAAAGATATACAATATCATCAATAAAAACCGATCAATCATTCCCGATCTTGAGGTATTATACACCACATCTAAATTCCTGCCATGTCATGCAATTTCCTGCACCGCCCGAGGATTCCCCAAATCCGAAAAAAATGGTTCAACTTTGGAACCCATCGATGCACGCCGCCGTATTTTTTCGGCGGGCGCCGTCAGAGAATGAGGCAGCAACTCTTTTTCACCTGGCGACCGGGAAAGTTCTGTCAAACCTATGGGGCTGTCTGAAACTGGGCTAAGTTGAATGGGGAAAATTGATGGTAAACCATGATAAACCATGGGATTTGGAATTACCGAATTTTCAGGCAAACCCTAATATGCTGGGAATCAATATGGAAAGAAAGGTGATTTTAAACAATTAAATGTGGGGAAGGACTTCCCAACTATTGTAGAGAAACGTCTTCAAAAACTGGGAGGACTGGATCTTCAACATCTCCGCATATCTCTGCCCTTGATCCGTTGCGGGACTGCATTGCTCTTGGGGAAAAGTCTGGCTCTTGGGCAGTCCCATCTTCGCCCTTTCGACCGCTCAATGGGTGATGTTCTGGTCAGTTCACAGTTTGCTATGTCAAATCACCATTTGTTTAAAGGTAGACCACTAGTTCACTAAATGGGTCATCTATACTTAGTCTAGCTGACTGTGACAATTACCAGAGGGTGCCATGGTTGTTTCCTGGTTGTTGGTTTTAACCATCTAGAAAAATATGAGTTCGTCAATGGGAAGGATGACATCCCCTATATGAAATGGAAAATAAAAGCCATGTTCCAAACCACCAACCAGTAAATATCATAGAATATTATATTGTTGGTAAGATATTCCCATCTCAATGGATTGGTTTAAGGAAAACCCTTTTTTTAATGGGAAAAACGATGGTTTCACTTAAATGACTCCTGTTTTTGTCCCTGTTTGGTACCCCAAGCCGCCGAGCTTCACCACAGCTTCACCACACCTCGATGGTCTTTGAGGAGCTGCGGTGGGGGCAATAGACCTTCCTGCAGCCTTGACCTGAACGGGACGGGTAGACACCCCCGGGGCCATTGGTTGATGGATGACAGCTATGGAAGGCATGGCCCATTTACACGATAAATATATATTATATACTGTATAATATATGTATATATATTAAATGTATATATATACATATGTTGTTTTTTTGCGTTTTCAAACATTGTCATTTTCCATAGCTACGTTAAACAACCAGATGGTAATGGATATTCATCAATGAAGATACCATTGGTTGATTGATATCATTGTGAATATCCCATGAAGATGTAATGGATGGGCATGGATTGTACTGGAATATCATGGGCATTTCATTGGCAAAACTCAATGGCTATTCACAAGCAACAATGGATATTGATAGATATTTGCCAATTTTCGATATTTAGATTGATAAAATATCATTCATATTAATGGCCCCAATGGATTTGGATTAAATATCATTAACATCATTAATATCAATGGATATTTGGAGAATTACCCTGGGCTAAAAAAAAACAGTCCAAAGAGTTGCCAAAGTATGACCCTCCAAATACGATTGAGGTGGGCTACGGTTACCCCAAATTGGAAGTTTTCTATTGTGCACACCCCTGATATGATGTGCCAAAGCTCCAGGTTGCAAATTGGGGATGGTTTGTACCATTGTCAATCCCTCATAATCTCTATTACCATGCGCTTTTAAAGGTAGCTATCCCAACAATAGGAATGCATGTCCCGTGTACATGTATATACCCTACCCATAGTTCATTACAGTATGTGTAGGTTGCCTTAGGTTTGTCAAAAATTGTGTGGGAAGACTCGAAAATCCAGTGCTGAATCATCATTTTCTCAATAAGACATGGCCCTATGTTGGAGGTGTTTTCCCAATTTTAGATACTCACATATAATATTTGTATACATATATATATATTATATATATTATATAATATATATATATATATAAATATCACAAGATCCTATTGTTGATAAATCATAATGAATATACCCAAATACTCCTAAATATAGGTACATCTAAATACTGGTTGGTGGCTTCAACCCCTCTGAAAAATATTAGTCAATGGGAAGGATTATCCTATAGAAAATGACAAAATATGGAAAATAAAACATGTTTGAAACCACCAACCAGATAGGATATCATGATCATATTGGTATTATATTGGTAAGATATTCCCATGAATATTCCCATGATCATCCTATCACAAGACTGACTGACTCTTCCCACAACTCACCCCGGTGCCCTCCACTTCCCGCCGTCCCCGCCGTCCCGTGCCGGGGTCCCAACCACAACACCAGAAATAGCCACCTTGGAGACCGGGCCGCCATGGCCGCCACTGGGCTATCTTCTACCCCCTGGTAATTTCACATAGCGAACTGGAAAATCACCATGAAATTAATAGGTAAATCAACAATTTCGACTGGGTCATTTTCCAGTTCGCTATGTAACAAATTACCAGAGGAAGAATTAATATCGAACTAGTCAGGGATTAATTATAAACCAACCGTTTACCAACCTATGGGACACCACCTTGTAGGAATTCAAGGTCTAAGGAGTGTCTCACCAGCGATTTTTGAACCACTTGGCTGACAGTATTTTGCTTCACTTCCCTGGTCAACTCAAATATCGTCCCATCCTTTTGCTCGTACCATCACAGTTATCACAATTCTCATAATTCTTAATCTAAAAAAATAGGTTTCCTATATTTTCCTATCTTTTCAACCAACCCCTGCATGATCCAAGAATGCAACCGAGACATCACAGCCTGATCCCGCCGTCATCCCAGGTCTCCCTGACAGCCCTTGCAGCACGCGAAGACCGGCGCACAAGCAGAATCATCCTGCAGCCCCCAGAATGGGGTGCAGCCCAAAAAATAGCTACAGTATAGATACACCGTTTCCATAAGTTTCCATAAGTTTCCCAATTTCTACAAATTCACGCAAGAATCAACCAATGTCATCAAACAAAGAAAAACTCAACAGAGAATGGTGATATACAATCTGGGAGAAACCTTTGGGTGCCATGGTCAGAAAATGCTTTTTGAGGTATGGTTTGGTAACCCCAAGTTTGGCCCATGACACAGGTAGCCTGATCATGCCTCAGCCATGCTTTTCTCTGCGGCTTTACACATGGGGTGCTGAGCTCGGACGAACTGGTCGCGTCCGGCCACACCCAGGTGCCACATCCCTCCGACCCCGGCACTGAACAAGGGGAAAGGAACGGGGATCGGGCGCCTCTGCCACAACGGTCGCGGCTGTATAGGCGACGTAGGCGGAGGTCTCGAGAAATCCCAAGCTGACTCCGCACAAAAGTGCCACATCCCCTCCGACCCCGGCACTGAACAAGGGGAAAGGAACGGGGATCGGGCGCCTCCGCGACAACGGTCGCGGCTGTATAGGCGACGTAGGCGGAGGTCTCGAGAAATCCCAAGCTGACTCCGCACAAAAGTCTGATAAAAATGCAGGGAGGCTTCGCTCCCTTTTATGCGGCATGCCGGCCCCGGCACGGCCATCCTCCGAAATGTCGGTACTGTCTGTACTGTCATGTACTGTCTGTACTGTCTGTACTGTCCGTACCATCTTCAGCCGTTGAGGCTTCAGACGATTCGGAGGTGATGGCCGAGGACTTGAGAGCTTCCTTGCTGGAAGGATCATGGCCACAGACCTTCTTGCCATAGACAGCCACTTTCAAGATGGCCCAGTAGCTGACAAGAGAATACATCACCAAGCTGGGCCACATCAAAATCCAGTCTTTCAAGTTCTGGCAAAAGCTCGTATCCTCAGCACCCTGTGGCTTCATCTTCAAGTGGTAGATGAGTTTGCAGCCTTCACGGTCAAGGTAGAAGAAAATCAAGAAGACTAGGTAGGTCCAAGCAAGGCTGGAAAAGCCTGCAATCATCACGCCAGCAGTGGCTGCATCATCCAAAGGCATCTTGCCATTGAAGCGAATGGTGTCATGCTTGGCCCAGATGAAGGCGTAGTTGATGAAACCTGCAAGTCCAGTCAGCGTCAGGGAGCACAAAATGAAACCATAGTAGACCACAAACCAAGCGCCGTAAGACAAGGCTGCGGAGCAGTTGTAACGCCTTCGCTTCACCACAAAGTAGTGGAAAACCTCGCAAGCACCAATGGTCCAACGTTCGCTCTGTCGGAACCATTCACTGAACTCTTCCCATTGGCTTGTGCCTGAGGTTGGCCCAGAAACGACAGGCATGGGAATCATCAGGATCTCAATTCGCTTCTGCAGGGCTTGCATGCAGGTCAGCGTGTAGATGATGTCATCCATCTGATAGTGCGCATGGAAGAACTCACCCTTGATGCAGAGATCCAGAGAAAAGCTGAAAATGGACATGGTGTTGATGTTGAAAGGGATCAAGAAGCCCAGCATGTAAGCTGCACGCATGATACCAATGGCGCGGACGTAGAAGGGCCGCTCATTCAAGAAGTGGTTGTAGTAGAGAGGTGCCTGCCACACAACCTCTTTGGCTTTTGGGGAGGTCAGGAATTGGTAGCCCAGGTTCTCAAAGTAGCGTGGTGCAAAGATGGAGTCCGTGTCGCAACTCGTGGCTGTGGTGCAACTGAGATCCAAGTCACCGTGCTCCTCCAAGCGCGTGACCGCCGCACGCATGGTGTAGTTGGCATTAGAGCATTTGCCTCGGATCTCACGACCTCCAGCCCACTGCTTGGGATGCTTGGTCACATGGAAACGCTTAAAGGACCGGGCATAGCACTCCTTCAACTTTGCAGCTTTCTCAGCCACCTCAGGGGTCCCTTCCTCCAAACCAATCACCACAACCAGACGGTGAGCCACTGTCTGAGCTGCGAGTGAATCGATGGATTGGCAGATCACTTCCATGGGCTCCTTGTAGCCGCACATCATCACCAGGTGTTGCAGGTTCTCTGCCAAACGCCTCTCCTCTTCCGTGTTTCTGGGGATCTTGTCCTCCCAAGTCTCATCCACCACCCTCTTCATCAGAAAGTTGGCCTGCAGAGAACGCAAAGCACAAACTGTCAACAGGAATGCTCCCAGCCACCCCACGAAGAGCCCATAGACGGCCGCAAAGACGGGGCAAATGATGTCAATCCACAGTGGGAGGGGAATGATGATGAAGTCAAACAGCAAAAACAGGAGATTCCATCCTTGGTTGATTGTTGATGATCGTTGATCAACTGCTATGTAAAAGGGTCGCAACTTTAGTCCCGGTCGGAAATCCGAAAATCATGCACCAAAAACACACCAAAAATCAAAGTGGTTTAAGAGCCCATACTAGGCTATAATCCATAGCCATAGCATCTCATGATGATGAACTCATTCTCCTTCACATTCTGCTGCTTTTCATCCACCGCATACTTGCCCCTTGGAGAAGTGGTAAAGACTCGGGCCCACCAGCTGGGCTGCTTCTCGGCTGGTGGCTGAGCCATTGCGAAGATTCACTGCTGAATGTGCTCTTGAGCCAGAGGCTGAAACTGTTTCCAGCCGGGCCAGAGTTTCTTAGAGAGTGCGAAAACAATTGAAGAGTGACTTTGGAAATCGCCACTGAAGTTTATTTAGCACAAATGGGCAACTCGTGCAAATCTTTGACTTTCTGTGATGTTTTCGGACATTTGCGATGTTTCCACAAAGAATCGAGGACTCTTTCCAGCTGTCGTCCCCATCCTCCCCCCAATTTATGGAAGCAGAAATGTCCAAAATATTCCAAAAAAAATTCTTGATCCAGGCCAAGAATTGGTTCTTTCCAAGTTGACCAAGTTGACAGCTCCTTCTGTTTTGGGCTGAAAGACACCACGACAAGGCTCCCAAGGCTCCCAGAGCCTTCACGTGAAGTCGCATGCCATTGATGTCCACCGTGCGGTCAACCACGCCGATCCTGGCATGACATGCTCTGGGACTGGATCCCCAAGGGGAACCTCTTGAGTGGGTAGATAAAAAAATACCCACCGAACATGGCTATAATTTGACCAAAAAAAAAAGGTTACGGATGTATCAGATGTTAGAATTGAAGACTTCCGTGGCAAAACCCTCTGAAGGGAAGACAACAACAGCAGTTTGGGGCTTAGGAGTCAAAGGCCTCTTGGTAAACTAGGAGGTGAATAGCGCTCTGGGCAAGCCAGCCAATTTTTGGAACAAACTCAATGTCAAAACCCATGAAGGTCAACCAACCCTGGATGCCGACTGCACTTAACAAACCCACAGAAGATCCCTTGATGCACACGCAGCCCCACCCCAGCTGCCCTGTTTTCACTTCAATCCGGCCCGCGTTGCCCGGCCACGAATTTCCGCCTCCTGCCCCTGTGACAGCTCGGCCGCTGGCAGCAGGCATGCTTGCAGCCCCGCAACCCCCTGCGGTGCGGGAGAAATGTAGACCCGGCCCTCCCAGAAGGCATAGAAGGCGTTGCGCGGATCCCGCAAGGCATCCGGCCGCGCGAAGTGGGCCGTGGGATACCCAAAGGGCTCCCCTGAGGCCGTCAACAGCAGGCGATTCTTTTGGGGCTCCGCCTCGTCGTCTGAATGATTTCGCATCCACTGAGGCAAGGAACTGTACCACCAACGCCTTGGAGATACCTCGTGCAAGGGCCAGTAGTAGAGCTTCTGCTGCAGAGCAAAAAAGGTGCCTGATGCATCCTCCTGAAAGTCTGTCCTGAGTTGGTGATTCAGGCTATAAGTTCTGCGAACATGGGAAAGGGTCACAGTGAATTTAATCCAATAAATGTTGAAGATAGAACAATTGTGAACAGTTAGAATATATGTATATATATAATATAATATATATATATATAATATATATTATATATATAATATATATTATATATATAATGTAGATTCAATAAAGTGAATTCACCAATTCCTCTCAAAATCTGTGGCGATCACCAAAGAACCAAAGAACATCGTGTTTTCACCGAGTTTCAGTCCCTCACACACCCTACCTGCGGTCCACCGGGCCACTCCCTTCCCAGGTCTTGTAAGGGCAAACTCGGTGTTGCCACCGTTGCGGCGCACGCCAACACAGCGCAAGCCAGTGGAACGGATGAAGGAAAGCACAGCGGAAGTGCCAACAAACCTGGTTTGGATGGCACCCAGTCGTATCACATGGATGTTCTGTTGCTTTATAGGGTATAGCACAAGTGGGATTTTCCACCCAAAGACTATGTACCATACAACCAACCATTTTAAACTGGATAAAACATCATAATGGGATACAAAATTTGCAATAGTTTGGTTTGTCAAAAAAGAGAAAGATATCCCAATTTTTATCCTCATTTTGCTGCTACAGAAGATGATCTGATTGACCATTGGATTTCGGGAGTGCCCAAAAAAAATCTGTCATCGGTTTCACTTGCACTTGGCTTTATGATGGGCTTGACGATCAGAATTCTTCGGAGTTCAGCTGCAGTTCTGGAAGATTTATCCCAAAAGTAGTTTTCGTCGTTGATCTAGGTCGATTCAATGAAAAGAAACAACACAACATTGTTGTCTGTAACGTTGCCACTTTCCCCAGTCAGTCATCGCGCAAAGTCATCGCAACTTTTGCCACCCAGAAACTGCGTGGGCCATCCACCCAACCAGTCCCGCACGTCAGTCCAGAAATCCATCTCTCGCATCTCAGAGAAATTCCGCAGGACCTCAAAAGGGTTCTTTCCGGCCTTCAGCTGGGGCCTCAACCAATAGATACCTCGCTGTGGCGGGTGAGAACGAATCATCAAGAATTTGATGGAAGCATCATCCCAATGTTTTATCCAATATTCAGAGTTTGCAGAATGAAAACTGGAATCAGGGACACCAGTCCATTCTTTGGCCACAAGCATCCCATTTTGATGGAAAATCTACTGAGAATCGTGGTTTCAACCGACCAGATACCCACTCCAATGTCCAAATGCTCCTGCTGTTTCATGCTGGCTTTGCGATAGAAGTCCTTCATCTTGATGATGTTGTCCTTCTCGTCATAGAACTCATCCGCATACACTGCCACCAGCAGTAATCCATCCTCTGCCAGTAGCAACTGCGCATTGTGGATAGCTTGCCAAACATCGCCCGTGTGATGTAGCACTCCCCAGGTATACACAATGTCAACAGGCCCAAGCGCCTCGGAGGATTCCTGTATGATCTGTATGTGGCAAAACCCTGGTACCCCCCGCGTCAACCTCAACACAGGAGCAGTTCATAAATGGATCTTCATCCCCAAGAAATTCTGGGATATCATATATTATAGCTACCAGCTTTTGAGCCGCAAGTGGAACCGAATCCTCAAGTTCTCCCAAAAATCAGGGTTTTCCCAAAGTTTTCCCCACTTCTCAGATCCAGCTGGAAACATCATCCCAACCCTCCACCGGGTCGCTGCCAAGCTCTTCGCCTCCAGCGCCGACGCTTGCGCCACCCGCCACGCCGGCGTCAGCGCCGGCGTCACCTCGAAGAGGCCGTGCAGCTGCCGCGTGGCTTCCAGCGACGCCGGCTGTAGATCTACAGAGGTCACCGGTGAGGCCCCCAGCAGGCGAAAGGCCAAGGAGCTGAGGCCCGAACCGCAGCCAAGGTCCAAAACGCTCAGGCCCTTTAGGTCCTGGAGCTGACAAAGATGGATTATAGAAATTATGGACTTTTTGTTGCTAGTGGGTGGTTGACCTACCCCTCTGAAAAATGATGGAGTTCGTCAATGGGTTTCGGATGACATCCCATGTATGAAATGGAAAATAAAAGTCATGTTCCAAACCATCAACCAGGAATTTTGTATATCTATCAACCAGTATATACAGTATATCTATCATAAACCATAGTTACCCATAGTTAACCATCAACCAGATAGGCTATTCCGATATTCCCCAAGAAAGCTCTGAAGTTAGCTGCCTTAGCTTCAAGTGGAGATGATCGTTGGTTGGAAAGAAGAAATGCTGATCCCTTCACCAACAAAAATACTACATAATATGTGGTTTAGTATGGTTCAGTTGGACCCATTCACTTTGGGGTCCCTTCTTGAAAGTATTTCATATGATCACATTCCCATTACTGAATTCTTACTGATGCCCTTGTTGATAGTTAAACCGCCAAATAGCCAGCTGGATTAAACCACAATCCCCATCTAAGCCCATGAGATTCCCATGACACCCATCCGTTGGGATTCACCAGCGGCTTCAGCTCCTGAATGGCTCCTCCCACCATTTCTCGCACTTCTCGCACGCTGCTCAGCAGTCCCTGCACGCTGATGCGCTGCCCCTCCACAAACTGCTGCCAGTTTTGCCCAAAGGCGAATTGTTCGTCGCCTTTGGGACCTGCGGAGATACTTTTGTGGAGCCCAATCCATGGGGAAAAATGGGAAAAGGTGCAAACATGTGCAAACATGGAGCTGCTTCCGTCATTTCACCATTGAACATGATAGGATTTGCCAGCAAAGTCCGCGAATGGGAAGATTGGAGGCTTTAGCGACATGGGGATCGCAGCAAAGAATCTTTCTGCAACGATGATCCCAAATTGACATTTGCAATCGCTGAAACGACCGCTCCGGCTTATCCAACCTGATGTAGAACCTAAAGTTAGTATCTATTGCTGTAGTAGATGCATCTCCATTTGCTGTGAATTTTAGCCCCAAACCTTTGATTTGTAACTTTAAAATACTTTAAACCCCATTCCATCACTTGGCCAATCAATTTTATTCAATTTCCCTATTGAGCAGTATTGAGCAGTTGTGACTTTCAGGGCATTCCCATTCTCCATTGCCCCCCCAAGTCACGGTGTATCACCTCGGAACGGATATGAACGGCCCCACTTCAAAACCCTCACACTCCAAAATCCAATGGTTCAAAACATGTTGACCCTCTGGCTATTTAACATAGCCATGGAAAATTACCCATTATAGATGGTTTACCTATTAAAAATTGTGATTTTCCATGGCTATGTCAGTCATAACCAGATGGTAACCCATGTTAACCCCTCATTTTCCCAACCGAGCCATTCCCTGGGTCCATGGTCAACATGCTCAACGCCACATCACCTGGAGGTTTCGGTAGCTCTGCAAGCTGGTACAAGTTCCTCCCCAGCAGCTGCAGCGCCAACTCAGGCAGTGTCAGCTGCTCGGTGCTGCGGTGGGACCCGAAGTCGCTGTACAAACTGCTGGGCGTCATCGGCAAATATTCCTGTCAGTGGTTGGAACATGTTCGAACCATTGTAAGGACCCCAGTTATATGGAATGAATATACACATGTGTATATATATATATGTATATATATACACACACATGTGTTATATATATATAATCACACATATATATATATATATACGTATATATAATGGAACAACCCAGTGCAGGGGACTTACTAAGCAGGCTTGTTTAGGTGCGAAAACCAAGCCACATTACTGCCTGGAAAAAAAAGAATAGCAAAAGAATGAAATCAAGTTCCTTGGTTCCTTTCACATCTTCCGCCCATACCATCCTCAAAACAAAACTTGAAAAAAACTACTAGAAAAAAAAAACATCCACCACGAGATTCCTTCAAAGAATTCACAAAGGACCCCACATTTCTCTCCAACAGCTTCTTGACCACCAAAGGCGTCACAGAGCCCTCCAGCAGCATCCCCGACAGAGCCATCAGCTGCAAAGCAAAGACACCCAGGACGCAGAGATCCGAAGAGCAGAGCTGCGTCAGGTCAAAGGACAGACTCTCCAGGGAATTCCTAGGGTGTTGGAGGCCTCCAAGGGGCACGTATATCCATTAGAATACCTATCCATTATTCCATTATGTCATATTGTCCTTTTCTATGATGCTGCATACATGCATCATAATTTCATATAGGTTGGAAAAACCAACGGTTTGTAATAAAATCCCAAATGAGCTCCCAAGAAAATGGTTATACATCCCAAATATTCTCTAGTCATGGCTGGTTACTGTACTTGGTTGTCTTCAACGGTCAATAGCTACTGCAACGCTTCCTGATGATTGAGCCACCCAAATATCAACTTTCACGAAAAAAAGACAAGTCAAGTCGATGTATCATTCTTAGCTTCACCAAACATCCAAAGATTGGACATATCCAGAAACTTCACCGCAAGTACCACTTAAACAGTACGTAACATTCAAAGATGTCGGAACAGTAAAAAAAATACCAGTTCAAAAAAAAAACAGAAATTTCATCAAATATCCCATAGCACCAGAATCTCTCCAAGCATCTCCAACAAGGGATGCATCTCCCGAAGATTGGAAGGATAGCTGGCCACCATGGCAGGCAGCTGAGACCAGGCCACCTGTGACCACTGCACCTGGAGGTCCTCCATGGCGTAACGGAGCGCCGGTAGGAGCCGAGATGATCTTCGAACGATATGGGGGTGTGTGGTGATATATAGATAATATATATATATATATATAGAGAGATAATATATATAATATGTAGATAATATATATATGTATAATACATATATATATATATATTTGGAATCCTGTTCTTCTCTACACATGTTGGTACCGGCAACAAGTATATCAAAACATATTAAAAAATGGAAAAAATGCCTTGGTAGTCAAAGGCGTTTCTGCGGCATTTGCTATTTCAGTTCCACCCTGCCGAAAAAAACACCATTCAATCTGCTAGCCACTGATCAAAATTCCGAAGCACTGACTAGAGAAGTTGCTTCATTTCTTGGATCATCCCACTTCATTGGATCTCCTGTATCATGTCACCTCCTGTCACAAAAAATCCTTGCCATTGGGTCTCCCCAACGAAGTCCAGTTCTCGATGAAGTCTGCCCAAGACCTTCAGAGACAATCGGTGATGCAATGCCCTAAAAGGGGGACCAAAAGAAAACATGTTTCAGTTTCAATGGTAAGATCACCAGCTATGGTAAGATTACCCAGTCATTACCATCTTACCTATGATTACCATGTTTCAATGGTAAGATCACCTTCCAAAACCCATTCAAGATGGGGGGTTGCAGGGTAGTTGTTAGGTCTTCCACTACCTCGTTTCCCATCAACCCGGATCGGAGGATCGACGGCCAGAACTGGGCCCCCAACATCCAGAAGGCACCATCGTCCTTGTCCTCGTATTCCAGCGCCTTCTTAACCTCAGGAAGTCGGTGGAAACACTCCCTGGCGGACAAGTGTCTCAACAGCTGACATTGAAATGTCCAATTGGAGATAATTACCCTTTGGTTATTTAACATAGCCATGGTATAGATGGCCCATTTATAGATGGTTTACCTATTAATAACATGGTGATTTTCCATGGCTATGTTAAATAACCAGAGGGTAATTCTCCAACTTAAGAGCTGTTTGGGGAATGTGTTCACAAATTCTTGTAAAATTGGTAAACGTCATCAAAATTCACCCAAAAAAGAGCTCTCAAGTTTCTCGCCCCTGGGTCGCCAGAGTATGGCTCCAAAGTTTGATCGAGATGTTGTATGGATTACCATTTGGTACCCCCATGTTCACAATCTTCACAATCTTCACCTCAATGGATGTGACCATTTATTGATAATGATATTCCCAATGGATATTCCCAATGGATATTCCCAATGGATATTCCCAATGGATATTCCCAATGGATATTCCCATATGATTTCAATATAATTTAAATTTCTGTCATCTACTTGGTGGTAAACCGCCATACTCTGCTTCAATCAATTGTAAGTTTCCTTTCTCCATGATATTCCAATCCATGGTTCCATATTCATTGGTGGGTCCAATGATATGCCAATATCATTCCAATGATGTTCCTTTTTTCGTTGATGGTAACTCCCAGGCTTTTCTTCCATTGAGCTAGTACTCCAATAATCTTCCAATTCTTGGCAAACCTGGAATTCCAATTCTTAAGATCAATGAAATGGGTAAATTATAATAATTCACTCATCTGATTTTTTCAGGCCATTTGGGGATGATTTCCCTTACTAACCATTATTCCCAGTAATGGTTGATCGTATTCCAGTCCCATCCTCCATCCAAAGCCGGCTGGAAAATCCACCCTTGACCACGGATTACTCACCATGATGAACCATGGTTGATCATTGCTAAATATAACACTAATGGTGATCTAATATAACTATTAAGATGAACCATTGCTAAATATAAATCACCATTCTTAATAGTTGACACTAATGTTAACACCATGAAAAATATTGAAACATCCACCATTTAACTGTTGCTGCCATGGTGTAACTTTGTGGCTATCACCTGGAATCTGCCATCAACCACCATCACAGCCAGCTCGCTGGCAACGTCTCTCAACGCGAGACCCAGTGGCCGCGGGATGTTTGCTCCAGAGCTCGCTCTTGTCGCTCCAGTCGCCCTTCCATTCACCTCCGAATCGTGGGAGAAACACTGGGACAAAATTGGGGATTTACCTCGGGATATACCAATGGTTAATCATGGTTAATAATGGTCAATGGAACATAGCCAACAACCATGGATAAATCATGGATAAATGGATACCCTCTGGTAAACTGACAGTTTGCTATTGAAAATGGCACGTTGATACAGCCCGAGAGTTGGTTAAGAATCCGAAAGCTTGAGGCCCAGGGTCCCTCAAATTCTTATTTTTTAATGCAGGCAAATTTCCACCACAATAGGTCGAGGGTCCCTCAAATGCTTTAAGTACCATGTGCTTGGTATAGCTGAAAATATGTAGCCCGCCTTGGATTCGAGCCCCTCAAATTCTTATACTAGTACAGTGAATTCTTATACAATATTCAAGCTGTAGTTGATTTACCTAAACTTTCGGAACATGTGGGGAGATAATGAGGACATCATAGCGATGATGGGGATGCAATGATCATATGAAGCTACCCTCTGGTAATGACTAACCTAACTATTGAAAATGGCACATTTAGTTTGATGACCGATTCAAAATGCTACATGTCGCTATATGAATTTACCAGAGGGTAATGAGGATATCATTGGGATGATAGGGGACATCAGGACGATGTGGACCCCAAGTTAGAGCATTCAAAAGCCCCAAGAACTCATTCCATTACTGGTTGGTGAATGGGAAATACTATGGATCCTGAAAAATCACCCATTATATCCATTACCCTCTGGCAATTTAACATAGCTATTGAAAATGGCCCAGTCGAAATAGTGGATTTACCCAGCTATAAAATGGTGGATCTTTCCATAGTTATGTGGCTGTTTACCAGAGGGTGTATATATATATAATATATACATATTGGATGATATTGGTTGGTATAAGCCCCTATATAATCCGTATAACAACAAAGCAACAGGGGTTTGGGTCACTGGGTCACTGCCTGCTGCAACGTCGGGGGGTTCAAACAGGATTCGCCCACAAACGATTGGTCAATGTGGGTCATATTTTGAGGCACGGCCATATGCAGTTTGCTGGAGGGTTTTTTTCAACATTCTGAAGATTGGTGGTACATCAATTTGATCATTTGATCCACGAAATTCTGAAGATTGGCTACATCAATTTGATGATTTGCATCATTCCAGCCAGCATGATATATATATATATATTCCAATCTTCAGAATGATACAAATAATTCCATATGCCATATTCCAATCATTCCAATAACATGATTTCTTCCAATCTCCTTTCTGACAATTCCATCTACAAAATTCGATTTCCCAAAAATAAAAACGGTTTCGCTCCAGCCTCGACCCCAAGGGTTTCGGATCTGGATCATCTTGTAGTCCTTCCAGGAAGTCCCGAGGTTTAAAAAGTCACCGGAGCTCAGCAACCCTCTGGTAAACTAACAGTTTGCGAACTGGAAAGATCCACCATTTTATAGCTGGGAAAATCCATTATTTCGACCACATAACTATGGAAAGATCCACCATTTTATAGCTGGGAAAATCCACTATTTCGACTGGGCCATTTTCAAGTTCGCAAACTGTAAACGTTGACCAGGTCGGGTAACCGGATCAACCGGCTCAACCGGCTTCTGGGATCCAAAAATGGCTGAAGTTCATGGCTGATCCCTTGGCTGCACGACTCATCCTTCCGAACAGTAAAACATCCATCGTTTTTGGCGGTGCTAGCTGTTTTTGATCCGTTTTCTATGGGTCAAAGAGTCAAACCCCATGGAATCCTCTCCTGGTTCACCCCAAAAAAACTGGGAGTGCGGATCTTCATTGCCCCATTAATAGGATTCCCATGATGGACTATGGAAATCTTCCATATATGTATTGGGTAGTAAATCTCGTATCTAACTCATCATAAAGCAACTATGTATATTTATATTATATCATATCATATTATATCATATCAGATCATATTAAATTATATCATATTATAATTATATATGTATGTGTATATATATATGTATATATATATATAATGGTCCCATAAGTTTTAACCCATAGCCGTCTGTTGAGTTTCAGTGGCTCGCCTTCCCGCCGATGCCCATGAAGCCGTCGTTCACCTTGCGAACCTCGGGTCAGGCCGAGTCTGCAAATGACAAGTGATAGCTGACGCATGAAGGACATATATTAAAGAAATATATTAATATATGAGTTTTTTTACGTAATTACACCATATCATAGTTAGGACGAGAACATAATGAACATATACATATATATATAATTATATCCCTATTTATAGCTGGTTAAAATCCATTAAGTGTGTATATATATATATTAATATATATATATAATATATATATATATACACATTCTACACTGTATCCACGCGAGTTGGACCGCTTCTGGGCTCCGTCTCATTGAGGATGCTGTAGGCGTGCCCCGTTACCAGGCCATCTTTGCCGCTGGCGCCGGAGGCACTGAGGACACTACCTTGGATCCAAAAAATGGGGGCTTCTAACGGTGTTTCAATTGGGAAATATTATATATACGTATATATATATATATATATCAGTGTATAATATTGTATAATGATATATTATTAATGATTATAATATTACGGGTAATATTATTGTATAATATTGAAATGATGGGGAATGATCCTTTTCGTAACTAGCATCCGAGAATCATCCGTTTTCGCACTGCCGGAGCAGTGAAGCAGTTCTCGGCGCCACACCCAAGCGGTGGTACTTTCGCATCATCTCAAACCTCAGCCCGTGGGTTGAAGAGCAGCACCGGTGGTGGAACACCCAGTTGCTACCCTCTGGTAATTTAACGTAGCTATGGAAAATCACCATTTTTAATGGGGAAATCCACTATAAATCACCATTTTCAATAGCTATGTTAAATTATCAGAGGGTAAAATGGGGCAACAAACCATGGAAAATTGTGTCTCTGTGTGCGTTCTCTTTTTATGTGAAAATCATGGGATTTTCAAATGCTTCACTCCAATCGGAAACCTGCCAAAGCAGCAGTAAACTCTGAAAAATCTCGAGTTGCTGTGTCAAGTCAGTCCATTCTGAGTTTGGTGTGTGAAAGTGCTGAAACTCCAAGAAACTTGCAGATCGATACAAAGTTCCAAAAGACTCAGGAAACATCCTACCATCAATGAGTTCCTTGAAGGGAAAATCAACACCGAAATGTTCCATGTGTTTTGCCATATGCAAACCAAGTTTTGTTTCCCGCCAAAACCAATCCAATCATATCCAATCAATCTATGCTCAGATTCCTGGACGGCATCCAGCCGGTTTTGCCGCAAAAAGTCCTCTGATCCCATCGAAGTGCCAAGATGCATCGTGTCGCAGTCAATGTGCTCGTCGGTGTGGTACAAGCCACACCTGGCGAGGCCGCTACCCGGACGATACCCTAAAATAGCAGTTTATGGATTGTTATTTCCCCCACATATGATAAACTTGTGGATCCCCATATGTGGATAAATAATGATAAATATGCTAATAATAGGTTTTGAATGGTAAAATGACACATCCACATATGGGGTAAGTCCTAGATTATCCTGGATTCCTGGCGCCAAAAAAGGCCAGCATCACTTGCGCTTGTCCTTTGGATCGTCAATGTTTTTCAGATCCTGGCGACGCCGAGACGCGCTGAGAAAAACGCACTGAACAACTCCAGACTCGGAATATACCCTCTGGTAATTTAACATAGCTATGGAAAATCACCATTTTTCATGGGAAAACTCACTATTAATGGCCATTTTCAATAGCTATGTTAAATTACCAGAGGGTACCCCAGTTCGGGGGAAAGCACTTTGACTCTTTTTCGCGCATTCCCAGAAGTGTATGTATAAAATTGTATAAACTTTCGAAATACTACACTACAGTATCCCGTCTCAACATGTCTCAACAATATCCAATGCTTCAGCCCAGAGCAAAACCATCCAAAACCTTTTAGATCAGAGAATCTCATCAATGCGTGTCAATAACTGCAAAGTGTCCATAAGTTTCCAATGTCTTACTCCATCCACAGACCTATGTCCATTCAAAAAAGGACGTCCGTCAGCCTGGCGATTCCATTTCACTTGGTCACCGCTCTTGTTTTGCTTGAAGGACCGCCTAAGGGGACCATGGTCATCCGTCAAAGGTACTGTGGATCTGGGGAAGTCTTCCCCAGACCTGGAGTGTACAAACTAGCCATTTTGCGGATCACTTGGTCCAGTTCTTTTTGCTCGCCAACACTAAACCCCTCAAGACATGGAAATGGGTTAGACGCTTAGATTCTATCAAAACGAATTGATTCCCCAAAGATTTCGGAACATTTGGATGGACCAATGACTCAAGAGTTACCCTCTGGTAAACTAACATAACTATGGAAAATCACCATTTTTAATGGGTAAATCCACTATTTCTATGGCCATTTTCAATAGCTATGTGACAAATTACCAGAGTTAGGAGAGTTATGTCTCCACACCTACGTGGCACAGCTGCGCCCCTGAGCCTCCACGCGCAGGATCCCCCGTCATGGCCCTGATGGCCCAGGTGGTATTTCCGCCCTCCAGGGCGGAGTAACCCCCGCAGAACTTGGCGAAGGCCTGCGGGAAAAGCTCCACCAAAACAACCTAAAACAACTGTGGGAAACCCAATGAGACGAATAAATCCAACCATCAACCATCCCCAATGTATTTAATGTATTATGTCATGTGTATTATATATATATATGTGTGTGTATATGATGTGATATGATATGAAATGAAATGATATGATATATGATATATGATGTATGATGTATGATGCATGATATATGATATATGATATGATATGGTATGGTATGTATGTATATATATAACATCATATAACCCCTGTGTTTTACTACATATTTATTACATTTTATTACTACATATTACTACATATTACTACATGTCGCTGCAGATGGATGGTCAAAGTCCTCCCCAAGTGGATCACGTCCTTGCATCCCGTGGCCAGGGGCCGTCCCAGACGGTCCTTCTCAAGGAGCATCACGTAGAGCTCGTTGTTCTTCGGCTTCGAGAAGAAGGGCCTTACCGAGCCATCGTGGTCGTAGTTCGCCTGGTCGGTGCTCTCGTTTCGTCACTGGGGACCCCCTGGTGATGGTGTTCGTGAGTTTGCGGTTCCTAGGGGTATCCCCATTTATAAGTAGGTAAACCATGGTAAACCAACCCCAGTTACTGAGCAGTTACTAAGTGTGGTGATCCTCAAAGTAATCTTGGGCCAACTCATTTGGAAAGGTGTAGAGTGCCAGGGGGTCACACAGGCCTTGTTGCAAGGGATGAAATCGTCGATGATGATGATCTCCCATTTCTCCTGCAACTGGGTACCAGCAACACGGCGTTATGGACCCACATCACCCCCGAACACAGACCTCCCCCCTGCAAGGTCTACACGGGACAGCTCGCATTTTCAAAGCAATGCACGGATCACCAGTGGATCTAAGCGCGACTGCGGACACAGACCGCTTCTGCTTGTGAAGCAGCTGTACAACCAGGCCGTTGTTAGCCGTGCTCAGAGGTGCACATGTCCCACATTTCCAAAGGAGTCTGCTGAGCCAAAAGCCTCTTGCGAAGCTGGCCTCTAAAACTTCTCAAAGGTGTGCTCTTTTCTGGATTTATCTGGAACATGCCAGCTAGACAGTCCAGAGCAGGGTGGTTCGCTGGTTCCACCCTGCCTCTGTGCACAGCAGAAGACTCGGCAACCAGGTGGTTGTCGCGAGCGCTGGACAGCTCGCTTGTAAGCCAGAAGTTGCTTCGAAACTACATCTACCCCTGGACTCACCCCCCCAAAAAAATGAGTAAATCATAGTAAATCTGCTCAATGGTGAAGCCTTGAAGATACATTGAAGCTTATGATCCAGGGAGTCTCCGTTTCAGAGCATTGGCATCGTGCATGTGACAGGCCACAAGGCGCACTGAGTGCTCTCTTGCTTCAGGGCGCACACCAAGTAGACCACCTAACAACAGTGATGTGAAGCCAGTTCTGAAGGGGCTAAAACTGGGGCTAAAACTGGGCGTCAAAACTGGGGGATCCCTCAACAACCAAACATTGGAAAGTGGAAAAATGATGATCAGCGGGTTGGAATCAGTTGGGTCTCCCCAACTGGGGGTTTCTACCAGTTCCAACCAGGGTGAAGTCCAACCCACTTCTAGCTGCGCAACCGAAAGAATGGCTCACCGTTTGGAACGAGACGCACCAAGCCGAAAACGTGCTCCAATGACATTTTCAGCTGTCTAAAATAGCTACTTGTAATTCATGGGTAGCTTCCAATAGTTGGATTGTATTGAATAGTCCCATCCACCCGATCTCAAATACCCCAATAACATCCAATAACCAAATCCCGTCGAACCCGGACTGGGCTTGGGACGTAAGTGACCAAGAAAAGTGCCCCGGACCTTGCCAATGTTGGCTCAAGGGTCGGACCCCTCCTGCATCTGTGAGTCTTGAATCAGCCAGTTGATGCTTATCAATTCCAGATCGACCATGATCGACCAATATTGACCATAGAAATACCACATGAAAGCCCTTCCACTGGGATCTCGGACCACTTGGGTAAAGAGCTGCAGCAAAAATAGATCAACACCTCAGTTCCAGCCGGAACTGTTCGGTGACCACAATGATCACTCATCATCATCATCATCATCATCATCATCATCTCAAAATCCTCGTGTTCCCCCCGTTTTCTTCATTAGAAATGGTTCAATCCCTTGTTTTTGTTGCCGACCCCTTCGTCCCATTGGGACGGTTTTTCGGCTCCCCTGGTCCCACCATCGCGAACGGCGAGTCGCCAGCGGCAGTAGCGTCACGAAGATCTCCACAATGGCCGGCTCAAAGCCGTTGATGACCCTCAGAGGAAATAGATCATGTCTCGATGACTGGGATGTAAACACCCCAGTTATGCATGAAAACGGGAATTCTATGAGATTATTTTGTATTGTGTTATGTGATATTATATGGTGTTACATGTTTATTATATTACACATATATATATATATATAGCCACCTATAGTGACTGGGATGCACATCATGTGATGTTTCATATGGAAAATTTGGCGACACTTATGGAAAGCGTCTCCTCCTTATCCTTGCAACAAAAAAGTGTGTCCTCTAGCCAACCAGCCATCTGGAGGTACCCCAAAATGGATTGCTAAAAATTGGAAATCCTATGAAAATAGATGATTTGGGGGTACCCCCATTTTAGGACATCCCCAACCTGTTCTATTCTTTAATTGGGTAAATCACACGTTTAATGAGTAAATCAACTATTTCTATGGCCATTTTCAATAGCAAACTGTTAGTTTACCAGAGGGTATACATTTATCAATTATTTTTCCATGGTTGTTGGCTATGTTCCATTCTTTTCCATTATTAACCATTAACCATAAATATATTATCAATATAAGTTATATCATGATTGTCAATGATAACTATATTAATGGTTAATAACATTTAACATATTTAACTAACCATATTATCTCATATTATGAGCCATTCTGAACCATTGGTATATCCCATGAATATCCCAAAATCACAGCCACAGCCACAAGGGGAATTCTCCCGTCGGCTCCAGGAAGATTGCTTGGATCGTCCAGGGAATGGCCAGGGCCAGAAAGACGTTTTGCACGTTGGCGCCCAGTGCATTGGCCACGGCCATACCAGCCTGGCGAGGAAATGGGAGTGCAACTGACTAAAAAATTCATGGAAAATGATGGAAATTATGGTACTGCAGTATAGTTTTTGATATATATATATATATATGTATATATATCTATGTATATTATATATATATACATACTGTATATATATATATATTCAGTATATATATATATACACCATTATATACCCATATTGAAAGGACATTTCGAGGTGCCTTGATTGGCCTGTGCCGTAGAGGTCTCAGGGAAGATCACCCATGAGAATCACTGGATGTTCATCCCGGATTTAGTTGTGACCATGATTGACAACCTTTTTTGGTTATCCCACGTTATCCCAAAAAAAAAACATATCCCACCATTCATGGTTAATGAGGGTATATATCAATGGAATGGAATAGATGATATAACTATCCACTAGATGGTATATGATACTGGATAGATGATATACCCTCTGGTTATGTCAAAATAGCTATTGAAAATGGCCATTTATTTCGTGGATTTTCCCATGAATAGCATGGTGGATCTTTCCATAGCAAACTGTTAGTTTACCAGAGGGTAACCACTGTGAAATACAGTGATCACCACTAATGATGTAAACCACCACATCCCCTGCCGCGTGAAACGCGTGGCCTTCCCCTGCCGTGCCACGCACATGCCGCTGAAGACGTTGGGAAACGAGGTCCCGGCCGCCGCCACAGTGAAACCCAAGACGTTGTTCGGGATGTCGAAGTCACGGTGGATGCCGTCCTCGGGAAGAATCCCATCCATGATTCGTGGATATCAATGGACTTATGTGTATGTATATATATATATATATAATTTACTTATATGTATATATGTATATAGATTATTTACTTATATATTTATATATATATATTTGTTTAGTTATTACAGTAAGTTATTTATTGAATTATCTACTTGTGTACTTATTTATCTATTTATTTATTGATTGATTGATTCATTAATCAGTTATTTTATTTTTAATTTATCCATATATATATATATATATGGTCAGCGGCCCCTCTGGGGCCTACATTTTCATATATATATATATATGTATGTATATATATATATATATACATGAGTAGCGGACAAAATTATATGTTAAATCGGTTCTGAGGATTTCAGTATTCCCGGAGGTATCACAAAGAGGATATCGGTATAGGGTCGTCCCCTATCGTTTAGTGCAACCTCAGAAAGGCCAAGGCGAAGCAAGACTAAATTGGTATTACAATAATTTTGTCGGTTACTCATATATATATATATATCCCACTATAGTTGATAATGGATATAAATGGCCTATGCGACCTATGTAATATTCAATAGTTCATAATAAATGAGGTATGTAATTCATAGTTTGATAAATATTAATGGATATTAATGGATATTGACATAAAAATGTCATAATCAAATAATATTGTCAACTATGGCGGTATATTATATTGATTATATATATATATATATATACAGTGTATATATATATTATACAGTATATATATATATAGATATACATATAGTAATGATGGATATGAATGGATAATCGCATCCCTCGGATAAATTTTCTCAACACCCCCATTCTATGGTCCCGAAAAGCAAAACTGTTGGGTGTGAAGTACTCAAATTTGCTGGAATTTAGAAGTACTGGACTGGATGGGTGGAAAATGTTGCATGTGATTTTTGGGGCTTGGGATTGTTGAAAGGATGGACGACAATGGAAAGAGAACCACCATGCACCCAGAAGAAGAGAAATAGAAAGATATGCATATAATTAGTTATAGACCCTCACTTCACCTAGCAAGGCAAGGGCCTGAAAAAAGATCCCAGAGAAAAGAGATGGTGACTTGAACTCAACAAAGATGTGGAAATCCGCCGCTGAGTTCATAGTTCAGCAATTGGGGTGAAACAGCCCATTCTATAGGAATAAACCACAGGTATTCGGAATTCATTATTTGGATCAATGTATTTGGTCATTTTTTGTTTTTGGAGGATATCTCGATAGATTTTTTTCGAAAGTTGGGTGCTGCTTCTGCCCTCCCCCCTATGAAAAAACGTGGGTCACTATACTATGCCAGTTGGGAGACTTGCCAGTCGGCTTCACAGGTACATCAAACATGAAAAACATCATTAACCATCATCAACCATAATTAACCATGATTTGTCCCATTTATCCCATTATAATCCCATAAATTACAAATTATAGTGACTAAATGTGATTACCCTCTGGCAGACCCTCTGGTTATGACTAACATAGCCATGGTATAGATGGCCCTAATCGAAATAGATGGTTTACCGTTCTTAATAGCATGGTGGATCTTTCCATGGCGAACTGTTAGTCATAACCAGATGGCAACCATCATTAACCAACCGAGACTTTGACACCAACATGGTAAACCCCAATCTGTGGACCTCTCATTTCCTCATGTCGAACGCTCATCCTGAAAAATCCTGGCAGATCCTTCGCCTTCGTCATCACCAAAGCACGCAAGCGTTCACCACCAGGGAGGATAGGATGCCTAACCACAACATGCTCATCAGGAAAGCCACGGGATACCAGTGCTGAGTGTCCTTGGTGATCCCGGGAAACCCCGATTCCGGGGCTGTTCTCGATTCTGACTCGGTGGCATGCATGGATCATGGTTACTACCCTCTGGTAAACGAACAGATTGCTATTGAAAATGGCAATTTATAGTGAATTTTCCCATGAAGAATTGTGATTTTCCATAGTTTTTTGTATGTTTACCAGAGGGTATCACTGTCTAAATGAGACGATCATTCAGTAGAATGGAAGATGGAGATCAAACGGGTCTCAAAACTGCCAAACTTGGAACGAAAAATAAACTTGGGCTGAACCAACATTGCTGAGATATTCAGAAAGCTGCATAGAAACCAAAAAAATTGGGGAGCGGTCAATATCCCTGGTCAGTCTCCATTTTTTTTCGGGTACTGTAACCCAATTTCTCAAGGGTCCGCAACTGTGGAATCGAAAAGGGAACCCAAGAATGATCCAAATTGTAAAGGTCATAGAACTGGATGATGGGAAAATTTACAGGAAACCACTATATTTGATGGTAAAAACCATAGTTTCCGGTTAAGATTTTCCCTGATTTTCCCTGAAGCCAATCCATTGTAAAGGGCGTCCATGGTCGATGGCCGTTTCTGGATGATCAGAAACATTGTGAACACAACCGCCAGTACGCCGCCCAGTGACAGGGCAGTCCATGTCTGGAATGGTTGCTCCTGGGATGGAAATCAACGAATGTTGCTGAAGCAAATTTTCGCAAACCACCCATATTCTGATGGTATATTTCTTCCATCCATTTATAGTAAAATGATGTAAAATGGGAGATGGTTTACTACTGCTTTCCTCATATCAAGCCGGAATTTCCAGCAAGTGGTGCGAAGATTGCAGGTGCCAGCCATGAAAACGCACTTTCAACACAACCTTCCTGTGTTCAAATAATTCACCCAGTATCACTATCATCTCCAAACAAACCATAACAAATCAACATACAAATTTTTAAATATGAAAAAAATGATGTTCCAGGATTCCGACTCTCCGACTTTCTTTCGGGTGCTCCTCCATTCCAAGGGATGACCTGCCCCCATCAGCCCCCAGCCCGTTGCCCAGCCCAGACCTGCCAGGGACTTCACTGGAAATTGTAACCAGCTGATCCACTCCATCACAAAGTTCCGAATCTTACGTCCCTGCGCTGAAAGTTGGCTGAAAGATCTGAAGGTTGGAAGTCAGTTAACTGTGTCTCGAAGTGGCGGAATTAAGAAAACCTTAAGCTCTAAATTTTTGTCGCGGGCTTTACCCTCTGGTAAACGAACAGATTGCTATTGAAAATGGCCATTTATAGTGAGTTTTCCCATTAAAAATGGTGATTTTCCATAGTTATGTTAGTTTACCAGAGGGTAACCAACAATGAGGGGGGGGAAGGTCAACCTAAGCAACAGAAAAAAGGCGGATCTATCCAGCGAAAATCGTTCTGCGACAGAAAAAAATCGGATGTGATTGACACGGCTGTCTCAAAATGGTGGATTTAACACCAAGCTTTGGCAAGTTCAGAGTCCCCAACTGGCTTATGACCCACTGGAACAGATCATAGGCTCGATGGGATATATATATTATATATATATCCCGCAGTTGTAAGCTGTGGATATCCATGGATACCTACTTTGACTGATGCTTGAAGCTTTTGGTGCCTCAAAATCCAATCTACGTAGCATGTCCCTAGGAGACGGCTTGATCAATCTAGCCTTCAACTCAGATATTTTCTGATTGGTGGTTTCAACCCGATCCACATCCCATTTCTGTTCAATGGCCATTTTAGGAACCTAAATTGGAGGTACCTACCATATATAAGGCCTATTTTTTAGGCCTATGTAAGGGAATATCCCCACAAAATATGGCCTTATATGGTACAGTACCTCCATTTTGGGATCCTGAAGATCTCCCATTGATCTGTGTTTCAAAATAAAAATATGTCCCCGGACCACTGGGAGCCACGTGATGTTCCCATGATTGGGACCCACTACCATTATTGATGCTTCAATCGAGTTAGCGTCTAATCAAACGTGGCTGGCTTGTAGGTCCCCGAACGTGGCTTGGTTTTAAAGGGAAAATCGAAGAAAATGGAGGAGTCTCCAATCATCAAAAAAAAATATAAAACCACCATCTGATTGATCAATGTTTATAAATCATCAAAAACTGATTTCGTGCTTTGAAAAATGGTCCATCATCCTTAAAAAAGCCATATAAATCATGATAAATCCCCCATCCTTCACCCACCAATCAGATCCAATCAGTCACCAGCCCACCTTGGGCCGCTCCGTTGATTTCCGCCTCGACGTTTTGAGGCGGTCGCGGAAGCTGTGGTACCAGGCCTGGCATGATTTTTGGGGATGACTTTGGCAATTTGGGGAGATGATTTTTGGGGCTATTTGACATTTATTGGGATGATTATGTATTCATAAAATCACTGGTAAATTGTGGTCTTGGATATGTTTCTATCTTTTAGAAGAATCACTATTTGGAGGACTTTCGTGATCATTATATACTGGGTGTTTGTTGGGAATCGGATTTTCTCTGATTTATATAATATCCATTACATTGCTATTATTTTCCTAGCTATCTTTATTCGTAACATGGACTTACAACGAAATGGTTTTACAAAGTTTGAACGCTTATACTATTGGATATTAAGAACAGGGGATAGACGATAGACTCATCATTTTTTTCGGAGAATTGGAGCAAATATGGCCAACCATCCAATTTTAACGCCGCATTTCCTATAGTAAAAAGTGGCCTTTTGTTGCTCATGTTTTGTCATGTTCACGCTGTTTGCTGATCCCCTAGGTTGATTACCTCCATGTTCCTGCGAAGCTTCCAAACAAAAATGGCGTTTTTCACGGGTGAAAAACATAAAAACCATAAGTTACGTCATTTTCTAAATGGCAGATATCTCCAAAATAGTACCTTGGACACATCATTTTCCGCCATGATGATTTCAAGGACCCACGGGGGTGCTCTCCTGCACACAGGCATCCGACTTCATTGACTTCACAGTGGGACCTGTCGCGGCGTCGCGGAAAATTCCGTGGCGTTATCTGTACCTTACATATATTACACTATAGTATAATGTAGATTTCAATAGATCTTCAAAATAACATATAGTTTAGATATTAGTTCATATAATTTCATATAATTTCATAACATCATATGACTGATGTATCTTACGCATATACTGGTCACCTGGTCACTTTACATTGCATCAAGCACCTGGAAGAGTCATCCCCTGTGAACCAGCCAGATTCAGCTGCTGTGAACTGGGTACACAAAGGAAAATCAGGAAATAAAAAACCATCGAACCAAGCAAAAACCGGCCAAAAACCGGCCAAAATCTCCCAACTCCCATGGGAAAATTCTCAGAATTTCTCCTCATCTTCCCCATGCGCCACCCTTTTCGCCCCATTGAAACATGGCCAATTTTCGGCCCATCGTCCGGTCCTAGGCCGCCGGGCTTCGGTTGTCGCTCTCACCGTCGGGGAGTAGCTCCAGGGTCACCTCGTTGCCCAAGGGACCAGCCACGTGGAGGAAGAAGCCCTGGTGGCTCAGTTCACCTCGTTGAAAAACGTAGGGTTGCTGGATGGGTTGCCGGGGGTTGGGATGATGATTATGGATGGATATGGGTCAAAATGGAAGACCGGACCTAGGGGACCTGTAGGGGACCACAGATGTTAATTAGTCTAGTTTAGTATTCACCATCAATTATTGGGGTATCTAATTTTGACCCATACCCAAATTACTAGGGATGGATTGGATGGATTGGATGGATTATGGATCATTCCCGAAAATTCCCTGCGTTGTTTTCAACGCAGCAGTAAGAAAAACAGGGATGATGAATCTATGGAATGACATGGGAATTGGCAATAGCAATGTTAGTCTGGTTTACATATCAATAATGTCCAATGGGAAAAAGGACATCTATGGAATGACAGGGGATGACCACTTCGATCGAGATGAGTTGTGCCATGTTGCTACGTTGTGCCAATTGCAAAAATCTATGGCGATTTGGATGAAGAAAATCATGTTAGAACATGGGATTAGATAAGCCACATGGAAATCTAAATCCCAAGAAAATGGAGGGGGTCCAAGGCGCCAATATGTAAGTTTGGCTTCAAACGGGGACTTAAAGTCCAAAAATGCGCGTGGAATTGGCAATTCTTCAGTAAGGACTGGGTCAGCGTTCGACTGTGATTTTGGTCAGCAACAAGCGAATGCTGTGGCCGCGCTTCAAACAAAACAGCTTTGTTAGCAAAGATTGCTTCGCCTTTGAACCATGATATTTCAATATAATGTTCAATATGTTCAATATCATGTGAATATATGTGAATGATTATGAAAATATATGAAAATCAGCCAGTCATCCAATCATATCCAATGATTGTGAGATGCGCCAACTAATGATACACCCAGCGCACATCCAATCTCGGGCGCCCCAGGGCTAGTGACAGAAGAGAATGTCCTGCGACAAGTGGAGGCGGAGGTAGAACTAGCAATTGACTACGGATTGACTAGGGGGTTAATAGGGAAATCATAAGGCTTTCCTGGGGATTTAATAGGGAGGTACTAGATTACTAGGGAATCCATAGGTGTTTACAATTGTGACCAAAATGGATATATGGTGATGTAAACTAACAACAATAGGTATTGGATAGGGGGACCCAGTAAAAAATTGTTGTAATCCCATCCCCCCAAGGTATTTCAATACCAAGAACGGACTGCAAATAAAAAAGGATCCAGTACCAAACCAGGGTTTCTGGGTATCTAATAAAAGGGGGCAGGAGATTGTAGTCATTCCCAAATGAGAAATCAACGACAATGTTGGGTGCCTTCCTCTATGACTCATCATTTACGCTGATGTCTCTTCACTAGGTCGCATATTGACTGCGATGTGGTAGTCTTTACGGGAATCCAACATTGTCAATTAATCTGACCAATTTGCTTTTGATTACCCTCTGGCAATGGCAAATCTCTCGTTTATATACATAGTTTGATGATTTTCCCATTCAAAGGCCGAGCTTTCCGGAATTTTCTCATTGCCATGTTTCATTCCCAGTACGTTCCAACAGGATTTCTGGCGATTTCCGTGGACGGATGGTTCCCCATTTGGGTGAAATCCCTCATCCCCAAAGTCGAGCCAAAATACCGGCGTCTTCAAAACATTTCAAAACTCTCTGTCATTCCAATAAAACAGAGATATCATCCATTATAATCCTGGTATATCCTGGTATATCCTGGTTGGGTCATAGGGAATTCCATGGGAATTTCCATTCGTCGATATGCTTCGATCCCCCAAATCCCCCAAAAAATTGAGGGATTTTGACACCCGAACTCATCAACCAAGCACCATTTTTCATACCAAAACTCTCAATTTTGGTCAGGCAAAAACTCTCGTTGGTTAAATCAAAAAAAAAACACATAAGGTCAGTTCTGGTCACTTCAAGTTCAGTTTTTACGTCAGACCACCAGGGCATCAACCCATCGGTGTCTCCCAACTGCCACCCTTTTGCCGGTCCTGTAGGGGGATAATCTCCCAGGGCCCACTGCGAAACAGACCCAGCTCCGCCAGCCCTGGCAGCGTCTTCGGCAGCAGCTGCCTGCGCTGCGCGTCCTCCAAGGTCCTTGGCGAAGCCCAAGGGGCGACGAACTCATCGGAGAACGCGGAAGCCACGTGAAACGCTCGGGCACAGGTGTAACCAAGTTTCCACAGAACTTCACCATTCTGGTTGCGTAGAAGATGTGTAATTACCTCTATATTCTGTGTTGAAATCTCTCTACTTCCAGAATCGAAACTGCCAAGTCACTCAACCCCCTTCGACTTGTTAATTGATCGCCCCTTGGAGGTTTACCAACTTCATCGCCCTTCGCGAAGGCCGAAGGCACTTGGGGCGCTTCACCAGGCCGGCGCGGTGCCAATGGTTCTCTTGCTCACAACCTTGGAGGGTAAAATATATGTGCAATCATGTCCTGTTCAACGGGGCGCTCAGCAAGAAAATATATCTAAAAATATCTCCTCTCCTATTCACGTGGAAATCCACTCACATGCAGAACGTCGTCCCCCCGGTACAGTCCCAAAGGAGTTCTCCAACGCACCCCCCGTGCGTCACCCAGGCGCGGTCGTAGACCATGTCCACATCGCACTGCGCCTCCCCTGCCAGGGTAGGATCCGCCACAGCGCTGATGACGAAGGACTCCGACTCGCCTGGTGAACTCCAAACGCGAGTCGAAGGCAAGGGTGGAAGGTGAAGTGGTCTATGGATGTCTAGGGGAGATAGATCTGCAAAAAGGTGTATTTAACCGGCAAAAAATTGGGAGTCACCAGCAAATAGTTGGAGACTTCACCAGCATTGCGCAGATTTAGCGGGATTCAACCAACCTCAGCCAATCAGTCTGGGCAAATTTCGTGAAGAAACGATCTTTGGAAGATTTTGGAAGCACTTTTTGGAGGGCTGGACTTTTTGGATATTTTTGGTCACTGCGGTTGTGTTCATGGCATATGGGGTGTGAAAATCGACTCCAAAATCTGGTTGATCATCATGTTCCCAATTCAAGTTGCCTTGTTATGCGTGTACACCCCATCTCCCGTATATCGGTTGTAGTTCCCATCAGAAAACTCACTGTATCCCATTAAAGTTGCCATAAAGCAGTGTTAAATCCCTCCTGGCATAAACCGCTTGCCGAAATTCATCGTGACCGAAGAAAACATGAGCTCCAACAAGAGAAGGTTTGCAGTAGGGCATGGTTCTTTGAGTTTGCAACTATTTGGAGGTTTCCATAAATGGGGGTACCCCAACAGCTGGATGGTTTATAAGGGAAAATCCCAATCTAAAATGGATGATTTGGGGCTACTCCCATTCATGGAAATCCCCATTTAAGGGTTACCATCTGATTATGACTGACAGTTCGCCATGGAAAAATCCCAACCATCGGAGGTTTCTAGCTGGGAAAATCATCCAGAGGGTACACCGAGTCGAACAAATTTTTGGGGAGGCCGGCTTCCTCCAGGAATCAAACATGGCAAGCATTAAAGATGGATGTTTTTTGGATGATGTTCCCATGAATGAAAATCACTATGAATCACTATTGATCACTATATATCATTATTATAATATCTATTAATCACTATTGATCACTCTTAATCACTATGAATCACTATGAATCACCATTGACAAATGATTTTCCTGTTGCTTTCCGTCGATTTGAAGGACTTCCCTAGGAGAGTCTTCGATCGCGCCTAGGAGAAACGCAAATCGATCCTCAAACCTCGGCTGAGCGGCGATGGCTGACCATTTGACACGTGATATTGTTGGTTTAATGATCAATAAACCAATGGTATCATGGACATGATTATCATGATTTCTCCCATGGTTATATCATGTTATATCAATGATCATTGTGTTCATTAGAGTGGTATATTCATGGGAGAAATAATGGGATATCTCGAAGCCACAATTAGAAACCCTTCGATTTACACTCAGTGAAATTGCATGAAATTGGTCTCGTTCAAAACCGGGCTACCCGGTCGATTGTTCATACCAAATACACCAAAACAGCTGCGAAAAGCTGGAGATGCTCGCCCCAAGAAGTGTTGGCCCATCCCTACTTCATTGCTACGACCGACTCAACCACAAGCACGCTTCAAAGCTTCGATCTTCAGTTCACTTTCTGAGTCCCCAGACTGCTAAACATACGTGTTAAATTGGGATATTGTCATTACGGGCGATAAATATGGTCGTATCGGATGATGATACTGGGATTTATCATGGTTGCACATGGATGATAATGAAGCTAATGATATAATATATATATACCAATGGTTACATTGATTCCACAGTGTTCTCATGTCTGCACATTATGGTTACATATTCAGAATGGCTGCATAATGGCTGCATATGATGATGTTGGGTGACCATTCCTGGGAGTAACTTCCCAGCCGGGAGCCATATATACATCAACCAATATATTGTAAATTACAATATAACTACATGTAAATAGATATATATATATATATACAATACTATGACATAAGTATGTTCATTGAACATTGTGTTACATAACATTATGATAAGTACATCATACATATTACTAATATTATTATAATATATCATCGATAATAAAGTTTGTAGGTTGGTGTATACATATAATAATAATAATAATAATAAAAATAAAAATAACAATAATAATAGTGATAATAATAATAATGGGTCAAAACCCTAGTACCCTTCTGTTCACCTCAAAATAGCTTCGTATGAACGTTCACCGCCAAAATTATATGGAACATCATCAATTTTGATCCATAATTCCATACCTATGTCATCTATGTCTATATATGTATATATATATATAATGCATTAAGGGGTATCCCAATTTCAACCCATATCATTATATAAATATATATATATAAATTATATCTCTATCTAATATATTACCATCTGGTTATTTAACATAGCCATGGTATAGATGGCCTATTTATAGATGGTTTACCTATTGAAAATGGTGGATCTTTCCATGGCAAACTGTTAGTCATAACCAGATGGTAAACACGTACGGTAAAACCAGCTATGTTTTCCATGGCTATTAATGGCTATTATATCTCTATCTAATATATTAAAACATATTATAACATAATTATATCTAACATACCTATTTAATATAATTATATCTAACATATTATATCTCTATTAATGTCATCTATTATATCTCTATGGCTTTATTAAACACATCTTAAAAAAGCCTTGACCAAATCCACCACTCCGAGGCGCTGATGATTCCGGTCCGCCAATCGACTGCGCATGTCGGCGCGGATCCGAAGGATGGAGCCACGCAGTGGATCGGTGCCTACGTGGGCACCGGTGCCCAGTTTTTTTCCTTGGAAAAATGATGGTTTTTGCCATGTTTTCCCATGAATTCCCTATTATATCCCTATTTATAGCTGGTTAAAATCCATTAAGTGTGTATATATATATATTTTTTTCTGGGTAAATGAAATAATATTTCACTAACCTGAATAGTTCGGCCATTTTGGGATGATTCCCCGAACACTAACTATGATTATAGTGAGGGAGAACAGTGAGGTCGTTATAATTTACCCAGATGATTTCCCATGAATTCCCAACAGAACTTGAGAGTTTAATACCTGGAAATACCTGGAAATATGTGGATGAAGTGTGGTTTTTTCGGATTTCGATTTGTTTCACTGCTGAACTGATGATAAAAGGGAAAATGAAGGATTTGTTCCATGAATTCCCAGAACTTAGGAGTTTAACCACAAAACTGTGTTCAGGAAGAACTGGAGTTTAACCAGCACCAGCAAAATTAGGGAGGTCAGAGGATTTCAGCAAGAGGATCCTATCACCTGCGAAAAAAAAAAAAAAAAAAAACATATTTTGAAGCAACAAACCTTGGTGGCTGAAAAGCACCAAAGATTGGAGGACTTCACCCGCAAGAATTGGATGATGCTGCTGGATCCAAGAAATTCATTCATGTTTTTTCATAACCAAAAATAGGAATTATGACGTGTGGCAATTGGCAACTGGCAATGAATGGTTATGAAAATTGCAATATTTTCTTGGAATTATAACCATTATAATAACCATATAACCAATTGGCATTGGCACGTTGCAATACCATATCCAAGAAATTCATTCATTGTTTTCCTATGGCAATTGGCAACGGTTCACTGTACCCTTTGGCAATCTACTTCGTGGCTGGAAAATGCCGAGGAGAAATGGATTTCTAGCTGGGAAAATCATCTACAAGTATCAATGGAGGGTTTTCCGCCACGCTTGATGACCACAGGTTACCAAGATTCATTTCAGGGATGGTCTCAGACAGGATCCAAATCCTTCAGGAGTGAATGTTTCTGGGTACAGGCTGGTTCTGGGATGATTCCCTATCCTCCATGAATATTGCTGCCAAGACTTCACCCTGATTTCCATTGATTTCCTATTCCCGCACCATTTTTGGGGGACCGGTATACCCCAAAAACACCATGGCCATTTTGGGTAAAAAACCTTCATCTGGCGTCGATCCCCCCGTCTGACGACCTTGCCGCGCACGGTCCCAGTGCTCCAAATTCACCGCTGAACATTGGCGATCCACCAAGGGTTGAACCGCAGAGCCTGACAAAAACCATGTGCTTTGAGGCTAGCTATCTGGCACCTAGCTATCTAGCTATCTAGCTATCTGAGCCATGGTGTCTCCTCCCAACAAGTCCTTGTTTCTCGGCCTGGGTGCGGGTCATCATTCCCGGAAAATGGATGCTGAAATCTTGAAAATACCCTCCGGTAATCAAACATAGCAACAGAAAACCCACCATTGATAGATGAATTTCGCATTAAACCCTCCATTCATGGGGACTTTCCCTGCCACGTAAAACCCGCAGGGTACCTCCCAAAAAACCAGCTGCCAAACCACGATTTCCAGGGTCCAAACAACCACCAACGCAGTTCAGCAGCCATTGGATGAAAACATCCAGTTGGTGACCCTGCGCAGAGGCCAGTGGACCAGACGAGAGCGATTTGGTTCGAAATGATGAATTGGTTTGAATATGATCAATCATAGACATTAATTGCTATAGTATGTTATAGTTATAATGATGAGCTATACTCATCATATCATATCATATCATATCATATCATATCATATCATATCATATCATATCATATCATCATATTGACTTACCATATTTCGATCTCACTGGTAGAATAAGATCAGTGATTTACCGTGTGATTTACCATGGTGATAAAAACCCAAAAAGATCTGCTGAGATCCCCGGGGCCCAAACGGCCCCTCAACGGCCGTCCTTCGGAGATAGATCACTGCCATGATGTAGCAAAAGCCCCCGAAGAGCCTGGGCAATCCCTGGGACCCAGACAGGACCCAGACAGCCTGGAAAATCTCTGACCCAGACAGAAAAGCCAGGAGTTAGTTAGAAAAATTGTGCTTATAGATGTTTATAGATGTTTATAGTTTATAGATTATAGATGTTTATAGTTTATAGATGTTTATAGTATGAATTGCATCCTCATCATCCTTCTCCTACTCATCCTCATCGTCATCATCGTCGTCGTCGTTGATAAAATAACTTGGCAAAACAATCCCAGCTGGTATCCCCATCAGCAAAGGTAGGGAAAGGGTGGCAACCAGTGAAACTCCTATCAAGTTTCAACCTGGCGATTGTCGCAACTTCATAACTTGCCATTTGCAGTACATCCATTTACACCCTCGTCTGTTGCCAGGGGGGGGGTGGAACCCCTAAAAAAATAAAATAAAATGGAGGGGCCTAAGGAAAAAATGCCAATAAAATGAGAGGGCATAAGGTAAGATAGGAAAACCCAAGTAAAATACAATGGACAGGTACAAAAAGAAAATGACGTCAGGCACCCTCCACCTGGCCACTGTTGGACCTACAATTGGCAACTGTTGGACCTCGGGCTCCGGCATTTTCTTTTGGGTTGATCTTGTTTAGTCTTGTTTCCTTATTTGATTGGTTTTAACCATGTTCAGTCTTGTTTGGTCTTGCTTGGTCCTTTACATTGTTTCCTTATTTGATTGGTTGATCTTTTTTAGTTTTGTTTAGTCTTGTTTAGCCTTTTCACGTGCCAACAGAAGGAAAAATTGCGCGGATTTCGATCAATATAATATATATATATATAATTGGTTCCACTTCTGACATCTGGACGGTTTCTAGAAAAGATACAAATAACTATAAATAAACTTAAGAAATCTCATTGGCTGCTGTAAGCTGCCCGTGTGTCTTTTGTTGACCAAGGAAGGCAATAGAAAATGAGGGGGGCCAACCCATTTTCGAAGTTAATGTCCAAGTAATTCCAAATCTCTGGAATGTTTCACAAAATGCTCAGACCGTTCACAGCTGTGCATCTTTGCAATCATGCTATCTCTGTCAGTTAACTTGATGGGTTAGGCACCTCAAAAATAAAATGCACCCACAAAATAAAATGCCGGGGTCTGACCCATTTTATTTTCATTTTATTTTTATTTTTTTTTATTTTAAAAGGGGCTCCTGCCCCCCCATTTTATTTTTGTACGCCGGACGGGGGTCATTTACAGACAATAACTTTCAAGTATTTTGAAATAGGAAACCACCACACCTGAACATCCAGAACCACCACAACGGAACCACCAGAACCATTCCGGAACCATTCCTGGGTTCCCCATCCCGGAAACACCCCTCCGGTCGCTTCCAGAAAAACCTTCTGGGCTGAGACCCCCTTAGAAAACGTTGGGGAATAACCCATGAAGTCGTCACATCCTCTACAAAGTGGGGGCCCCCTAGATAGCTAAGTTGGTTTATAACTCCAATAACTATGGTTTATGGTACTTATAACTGTAGTTACTCGGGTTTATAAACCAATTTATAACTGGTGGGCCCACATTGTACCTGCAGTACAAACAACAAGCAGGACCACTGGTGAACCCAGCCACAGCATCAGTGCGTCCTCCCGGGTCACGGTACCATCACGCAGGGCCACGAAAAGTAGCAGGACTGAGGCCATGTAGAAAAAGATGTCCTGCAGATGTCATCATTTCCGTCATACCGTCATAACCACAAAAATTAGTTGGGGTTGTCTCAAAATATGGCACCCCACGTACCCCCAAAAATTTCAGGGTCTATCCTCATTTTCCCATCAAAATTGTCATACAATTACATAAATTCCGGATAAAGTTGGTAAAGCAATCATAAACCACCCATATGTTGATTGTTTCACCTATCAAAATGGTAAACAAAAATGTAGTCCTTTCCCATTGCTTTGCTTCACATTAAATACCCTCTGGTAATTTAACATAACTATGGAAAATCACCATGCTATTAATGGGTAAATCCACTATTAATGGCCATGTTCAATAGCTATTTTGACATAACCAGAGGGTAATTCAGAGGGTAGCCACATCTTTCGAACTCAGACCCGGTCCCTTGAGAAGGACAATTTGCTGAGCTTCAGCGGCATGTATTCGTCCGGCGTGGCCAGCACCGCTGTACCGATGATCACCAGCACGTTGAAGACCTCGCCGCCCACCACCGCACCAACGCCGATGCTGCTGGGCTGCCAGATGTTGATCATGTTCAGTGCCAGCTCAGGGCCTGCTGGAAGTGGTTACTGAGGGATACCCTCTGGTAATTTAACGTAGCTATTGAAAATGGTCATTAATAGTGGATTTTCCCATTAAAAATGGTGATTTTCCATAGTTATGTTAAATTACCAGAGGGTATTCCAAATTCATCTGGTGGATATGGGTGGCTATAACACATCTAACTGGGATGCACCAGGCATGGATGATGGATTTCGATGGAAGTGTTGGAAGTGAAACTCCGAAAAATTGCTGTGGGTCTAGAAATCTGAAGGCCCCCCCAAGTCCCCAGCAACCCTCCCCGCACCGTTGCATCCTAGGGCCATCAGCGTCGCGCCCGCCACATCATCAGGGATGTGGAAGCGCTCGCAAATTACCTCCAAACACTTGAGTTAGAAGAAAAATTGTCAGGAAGACCTTGACATTTCCCGCAGGTTTTCACCCCAAGAACCTCGATGGCATAGAAGAAAATGAGATTGGAAAAGGATTTTGTAAACAGAAATTGATGGACTTTGGGGGCTTGTACATCAAATCTTTGGTGTTTCACTGGGCACCCCACCTCAATGGTGCGCACGAAGTGGATATCACAAACCTCGAGTCGGGTGCCAGTCGCCAAAAACGCCAAAAAACGAAGGCCTTTCCCACTGGCTGTGGCTCAAAAATATACTCCCCCCCCATATGTTGCGAGGCTTATACATACTTTAGGGATAAACTAACATAGATGTGGAAAAAAAAAAACGTATACCAATAGTGTTCCTGGGAAAAAGTTCTACAGCAGAGTTTTCCGCATCTTGGTTAGCAATATGTAAGCTATATCATCCAAAAGTTAACCCAACATCTGCTGACTTCAGGGCTTCGGGGCTTCGGGGCTTCGCGTCGCTTCGCTTCGGCCAGGAGACATGCGCCATGCTCCAAAAGAGGTACAGAATGGCCGGCCACCACAGCCTTAGAGGTGCAACCCCAAAATGTCTTGATCAGCCTAGGGCCCCTGGGGCCTAGGCTAGTTATGATCTTATTTGCTCGTTTGATCATAGTTGATCAATAACATAACATGTATATACATGTATCGATAATGTAACATTGATCATAATTGATCAATAGTTCTAGATTTTATATTTAAAAAAATGTTGCAATATGTTACAATAGTTGTATGTTATATGATGTGTTACATGTTATTGTCAATAGACTTAGCTTATACTTATATAACATGTTCTGTTGGACAACAATATTTAGAAAACAAAACAAGGTCAGTTGCTTTATATCCATGCATAGTTTACCATCAGTGACTGTTCCCTGCTACCCTTGTTCCAAGGAGCCATCGGTAGAGTGTGATGTTCAACTTGGTGTGCGTCTTCCCCGGAATATCCTCAGGGAAAGCGTCGTTCCTTGGCAAACTGAAAGGGTGAACGAAACCCAGACTGGTTGGTGGTTTCAACCCCCCTGAAAAATATTATATTAGGTAGTCAGATTGGATCATCATCCCAACTACTGGGGAAAATAAAATTCATGTTCCAAACCACCAACCAGCAGACTGTGTCAAGCAATGTTGAATCAAACATCCTGGTCCCTGCGACGACATGGGGGAATCCCGGCCAAACAGCAGGGGCAATGTGCGGCAATGGGGACTCCCAAAGCAGCCCGAAGCCAGTCACTCAGCAAATACATACCCAACAAAAAAAACATGTGGTAAACCCAATGCCATAAACCATCCCCCAGTCATCACCATTTTTATGGGTGGTATAAACCATCCCCAGTCATGGTAGGTTTCTGAATCTGAATGGTTTGGGGTTCCCACATTAGTAAGGCCCAGTGAGCTTGGATTCTTCCCCCCACTGATGGGCAACCCAAGTGGTTGGGACACAGCGCCTTTTTGCCCCCCTTTGGTATTCATGACGGGCTGGAAATCCATCCTATTTCAAAACGGGTGACTTTCCAACTAGAGAAACAGGCCAACAACAGAGATTTGAAAAAAAAAATGGACATAAATGTCTCCTACGGAAGTTTTCCCCTTTCTTTCGGATCAAAAAAATTGGGCGACTCCCCAGCCAAAATCCTCGGCCGAGGCTCTGTAGCAGATCTACTGCAGCTGGTTCCCCTGAATCTTCTAGCCTGGCCATGGGGGGATCCCCTCACCATGGGCCAGTTTCAATATGAAGTCATGGTCCAATTACCCTCTGGTTATGTCAAAATAGCTATTGAAAATGGCCATAGAAATAGTGAATTGTCCCATTAAACATGGTGGATCTTTCCATAGTTTTTTGTATGTTTACCAGAGGGTAATGACTTGGATGATAACCGGGGGTACTTCTATGACTTGGGAAACCTCTCAATGACTGCTATTTGAAGTTGCCTCCCAAAACACCTGTTTTTGTCAGTCACCAGACTCTAACGCTTCTGACGCTGAACAGAGCATTGCCAGAGCCATGAAACAAGACATCCTTCGAAAACACACTTCTCAACCACAACTTCAGGGCCACCGAACTGGAAAAAAATGACTGGTCGTGGTTTGAGAGCTGAAAATGAAACCATGTTTTGCCACCCAGCGACCTAAGACAAAGCCAGGTCTTGGTTTTCATCTTTAAATTTTTAAACATCACATTAGGGGCAGGGGTTTGATTACTATTTGAACCAGTCGGCTGCGTGGATGACCATTCTTGGATATCAAAGACCAAAAAACGTGTGGTGATATTTAGAAAACATACTGTAGAAATGATAATTTGAACAAAAAGGTGCAATAATGTCGTATTTACAAAAAAAATAAATCATTGTATTTCTAACAATGATATACAACAATCATAGTACTTATAACAATGATAAATATGGTAAATACCTTGGTTTTAAATAATACCATAGTTCTAACAGTATACCATTCTTACTTCTAACAACAGCTATTTGACAGGGCTCGATTCTTTCTGTGGATTTACCTATTAAAAATATTTAAAGATTGTGAATTCCATAGCAAACTGTCAGTTTACCAGAGGCTACTTCTAACAACAGTAAACACGATAAATGGTACTCTCTGGTAATTTAACATAGCTATGGAAAATCACCATGTTTAATGGGAAAATCCACTATAAATGGCCATTTTCAATAGCTATTTTGACATAACCAGAGGGTATCTCCGATGAATATCCCATTATTCACCATTATTAACCATAGAAAATCACCATTTATAGTTAAATTAACCATTAAAACATGGTAAAACCCTCGAGATCATTCGCCCAAAACCTGAACGAAACGCCTGGCGGAGGGGTCAAAAGGCCCTCGGAGGTGCCTCGGATCAACTGGGAGAGTTGGACTTCCACTCTGCTGTGGATATAATATCAACTATATTAGATATTAAGTTAATATATATATATATATTACTACATTATATATATCATATTATACTATATTATATTATATATATCATATTATACTATATTATGTTATTTTAAATTATATTATATTCTATTATATTATGTTATGTTATATTATATTCTGTTATATTATATTATATTATATATTATACAATATTGTATCATATTATATTATATTATACTATTCTATTTTAAATTATATTATATTCTATTATATTATACTATATGATAAATATATATATTATATTATATATATTTACTATATATTTATTATATTATTTTATATTATAGTATTATAATATATATAATTATATTATATCAAACTAGGGTAACTTCGTAATTCACTCATTTAACCATCAATGTGGGATAAATCTGGGAAGAATCTGGGGATTTGTTTTTCGGATTTCACCAGCAACCGTTGGAGATTAATCTCGTCGGTGGTTGAGCCCTACCCCTCTGAAACATGTGAGTTCGTCAATTGGGATGATGAAATTCCCAACTGAATGATCTGAATGGAAAGTCATCTGCCATGTTCCAGTCACCACCAACATCACCAAGCAGATACTGTGTTTCATGGATTCAAATTATAGTGGGATATCTATAACCAACATAATAAGATCATCTATCCCTATGTATTCATCCGGCTGTGTCTGACAATGGGCTGCGCCACCATCTGACATTCAACAGGAATGATTCGGATCTTTCTATCTGTTTCGGAGGTCCTTGTTTAATGACTATGGCGACCACAGAAGTCTGGGGGAAATTCATGGAAATTCAAACCGATGACCCCAAGAACATCTGAAATGCGGTGCCGTTTTGGGTATTCAACCCTTCACCGCTTGGGGCGTGAAGGAAATTTGCTGCGCCAACCTGTTTTTTGTTCCCCGATGTTCCCCGTCTCCAAATCGCAACCAACCAACCTGTCTCAGCTGGGGTCCCAGCGTGTCTTGTGCCAAACTTGAGGTGTGTCCAGCACAGATCAAAACGACCAGCCATCTTGACGTACGCACCATGGCGCACGCGGAAAATGTGGACGGCTGGTGTCAGCGATCGTTCCCTTGCAAGCTACCATTGGGTAGACAAGAATCTCAATGTCTTCTGTACCCGGTTCCTGTTTGGTGGAGGGGAAAAGCAGCCAGACATGAGCCACAGCCATGTAGGTTTGGACTGAGACCGACCCAGGTGTCTCTTTGGAGTGTTTTCTCGCTTGTGCATGGCCGCCTATGCACCTTAAGATACCTTAAACTTAGCGATTTGCTTGAGCTTCCCTGGGTTTTCTGTCTCTTTCTTGAAGAGAAAGCTGAGGGACACACGCGCAAAAAAAAACGTACCTGGAACTGGAAAGAGCCGCTCCGTTTTTGTGAAGCCATGTCTTCAGGATCTTCCCCTAAAAACCAGAGGCTTCCAGCGCCAAATCACCAGTGACTGTGGTGACTATGGGCATCCCATGTTTCGGGATCCATGAGGTTGACCCTCAATGGTGCTCTCCGTGGGATCCGGGGTATCACTTGGTACTGGAAAGTCTCTAAAAAAGGCAACAAAAAAATCCCACTCCCAAAACTATCCAAAACTCAGTTCTGAAGACTCAGTGGCTTGAGGAAACAGGAAGCCCCTCTCTATATAGCCATGATGAAACCCTCCATCGTCCTGCGCTCCATCGTAGAGTCGCAAGACGTACTTGCCACGGGGGTTCACCTCTTTAGTCCTGGAAGCATCATCGCCCAAGGTGCCCCCGTTTTGCGTCGCGACGTTTTAAGGTCGTAACCTGGTGCAGCTTTAAGGGTGATATGACTATAGTAACTATAGACTATAGTGCTAGTCACTAGTCAAGAGTCAATAGGGTTTACTAACTATTATAACTTGGCCCCAACTTGTGACAATGTTTCTCCAAAAATCCACAGTGAAAAGAAATGAAAAGAAGCAAAGTTTTCGCTTCGCCCTTCAACGACGTGTTTATCTGGTTTACCTCCAGCCGAACCTTCTGCATCAAAGTGCTCCCATCAAGTTGTGCTCCTATCATCTCCCATCAAATCCACCAGAAAATCCCATCAATCAATGGATTGGTTTAAGGGAAAATCTTAACCGGAAACCATAGATTTTTCCATTAAATATAGGGCTTTCCTGTAGATTTTTCCCAACAAAACCAATCCAAATCCCATCAAATCTCTCCCAAGAGCCACCTGAACACGGCTTGGATAGCACCGTCATGCTCCGCCAAGCAGGCAATGGCTGCCAGCAGCCAGCAGTCTCCTAACGCTCCTGGGGACTTTGGAATTCAGCAATGGAACCCCAATCCATGACCCCAAAAAATGGCCATGATCACTAGGAAAATCAGTTTCCAAAATTTTCCAAAGCCCATTGAATTGGGGTAACCCATGTTGAATATAGCAACGGCTATGCCCAATTCCTACTGGGATCTGCATCCCAGGCATCGTAAGTAGTTAAGCTTCACATAGCCAATGTATAACCGGAGATATTCCAGATATTCCATGAATCTGGGGCTATAACATGCTATAACCCATACTAAGTGGGATGCCCCGGCCCAGCCAACATAAGATTCACCAAGTCTTGTGTCTTTGCGCCCCATGATTTATATGGACGGCTCCGCCGCGGCTCCGCCGCGGCAACCCGCCCCCGCCTTGGCAAATGTCGCGGCTGTCGATCTCTGCGCTAAACAGCTGCATGCGGCGCTGACGTCCCTGGCATCTGATCGTTTCTGTGGGCAGTTTGGGTAGTTCACCGAGTTACAAATGGGATAGCCTTAGGAATTGGGGACTTACTAAACGGGGTTTCTGAACCATCAGAATAGCAAGGTTTTCCTGAAAATAAAGATTGACCAGCAATGCTTATTGAATGTTGTGAATTTCAGTACTGCTATGATTCTATGATGTGTCCAACAACAACGACGACGACGACGACGACGACGACGACGACAACAACAACAACAACAACAACATGATAAGAGCATAATAAGAACAACGAGTACCGCATCGTTCACCACCAAAAAGATCTGACCCAAAAGCGGTCCTTCTCGTCCTTCGGGACTGGGAACTTGCCTCCCCTGCACCAATGGGGGAAGAAAATCGCGCGCTTAGGTCCTTTAGTGTCCTTTAGAAGATCTCAGCAGACTCTTGGTCACTCCCAAATCTCCCAAGTTTTGAAAGGAAGGCCCGGGATACCACATGATACCACAGCATCTGGAGGTTTTCTCAATCTTTGGTGCTTTAGCTTCTCGAACCCGGCGACAAAAAACCCTGCTGCGTGACGCCTGACCCATGTGACCTTCCCGGCAAACTTGCGTCCTGAAGCTGAACGTTTTGCAACTTTCTTGGCACTTCCCCCTTTTCCATCTGTATACATTTTCACGTTCAATACGTGTTTTTCATTGGGAAAAAAAAGAAGTCCATTCCAATTGCCACTTCCACCAAGCTTCTTTAGAATCGAGTGTCATGTTTTCTTATCTTCCCTAGAGTTTCATTCACCTCAGACTTTCAGAAAACATCGGAAGTTTCATTCGTCCTTCGTCGCCCGCGGTGTCGCCTTTCACGTCGCCCAGGGACTCTTCCACAGGGGGGAAGTCCTGGTGATGGTGATTTGTTGATGTTTGGGAAAGTGTACTGGGATAATCTGGGATATACCCTCTGGAAAACTCACATAGCTATGGAAAATCAACCATTTTAATAGATATAAATCACCATTTTCGCTATTTTAAATACCAGAGAGTATTGGGATATTGGATACCGCTCCTTGGCTAACAAACCAGAGAGTTTTGAGCTGTGACAAAAGAACCACCCCGATGTCGGGCGAAACCGCACAACTTATCCGACGAAGTCGGGGCTTCAAATAGGGGCTGCTAGGCAAGTACGGAAAGCCAGAATTGAATTCGGTTCTTGTCCGGTTTTTTTTTCCCCAGTCGCTTGCCAAATTTGGGGATAGTGAATGAAACCATGGTGAAGTGGGGTTCTACAACCAGCAACTTCGGGAGTCGTCCCCCGGTCATCTCATCTCTCTACGCATTGTTGGTCGTGTGCCCACTTGGGGGTTGTAAGACCTGCATTTTGGGGATTGTCCATCCGCGCTTACATACATGATCATACATTTTTCTGGTACCTACAGTACCCTAATTCTAGATGTTTATGGATCCTTCCACACTCAGACCCGCATTTCTGGCATATTTTAACCCTCAGAAATGCATAAATCAGGTTGAATGCCGGGGAATTTAGGGATTTGGATTTGGATGGGTCTTTATCTTCCCCTGCCGTGAAATCCTTGGCACATCGCCGATCCCATGGGTCCCATGCCTTGTCCGTGTACATCCAACAGCAGTTGAAGGCGCGACAAAGACAGCAGCAGAACTTGTAGAGTCCGCGATTCATGTAGACCCTAAGACATCCGCAGCCTAGGCGGAAAAAAAAACGGTTGAGGGCATACCCTCACTGGCCGGGTTTCTGCGGAGGAGCATCCTGGAAGAGTGAAGGTGTCAATGGACAAACAAAATTGCTCCTGTTTACAGAAATAAATATATATTTATTATATAAATAAAGTGTCCAATTTGAGAGGCAAATACCGCTTAGCGATTGCCATCTGGGATAGAACACAACAAAATACAAGGATGTGAATGGGAAACCCGCCAATATCATGTTTGATTCGTGTGAATTTCAACCCTCCACCGTGATGCATCTTCACACAAAACAGGCATTACCTAAAGGTGTTCACCTCTCCCGAACTGAATAATATCTAGCCACGACATGAGAAAAAAAGGTTGATCGCGGCAACATACCAAGGTAAGACCCAAAGAGTTGCTGATACGCTTTGTTCAACCCCCCCAAAAAAAGGCATACCCGGCATGCCCGCATCTTTCTGATGAATGTCGGTGCCCTAAAAACTGACCCAAACTCTCTGACCTTCTGGATCTGAAACATTGATAAAATGACTGGGGCCGCAGGCAATAGATGCTGCAGGACCAAATGCAGAGAACAAAGGGGCAGCATACCACGTTCCAAAAGCAACACCTCATTGGATGATACACCCTTCATCACCACACTGCCGGTCTAGTACTCTAAGTACACTGGATTTTCAGATCTGTTCAATGTCTCGGGGCAAAGGACAATTCACCCGAGAAGCAGTGTTCCTAGCCCAGCCGAGGGCTTTCATATGCTCTCATGACAGTTTTCCTACAGGGCGATAAGGTCGGCATTTGCTTTAATACTGGTTGGTTAAGAACAGGACTCCCTAATGGATAATGATAATCCCTAATATATTGATATGATATATCGTGTAGGTTGATTATGATTGGTCTACACAAAAAAATGAGAATGATCATGGATTATAATTCTACACAATGAGTATTGTTGGGATTATTGATGATTATATCGGTACGGGTCAAAATTGGGTACCCCAATTAATTGGATGATCAATACTAAGAATAGACTAAAACCTGTGGTCCTCCAGGTCTTTAATTTTTACCCATACATGCCCATATATAATCCCTATAAGTATGGATTATAATCATCAACCAATACTCATTATACAATGGGGTTATGTTCTATAATAATTCTTCTCAGGTTACAATCCCATTAAATCCATTATTGTCATTTTCCATTAATATACGGGATTGTAATCATATATAATCATCAACCAACATGGCTTCTGAACATTGCTAATTTAGCGCGAGCAGCATGGTGCTGGGCCAGAGAAGTCCCCCGAACTAACCGGGCATGTGTCAACTCCTTTGGGAATCCACCAAAAAAATGGCGGGTCACGCACCCAAAAAGATTCATAAACGTTACCCGTTTCCCGTGATTTTGACCAAACATTGATGATCCAAAAATCTGATTCCCATCTCAATCATCAGTCTCCATCTTAGTTAACCCATGGTCAACTTCTTTAGGACCCGCCCTTTCCATGAACAAACTCTCTGGGTCCTCCCAACTGGGTCCTCCCCACGCTCGGCCCGTCATCAACTTGGACCAGCAGCAGAAGGCATCCTGCGGCAACATATCCACAGAAAATCATGTGGGAAAAATCATGATAAAACAATGGATCCAATGGGATATCTCTATTCTCAGACTAACTTCACATCAGGAAACTAAATTCAGATGTTTTTGTTTATCTGGGTATGGATCAATACCTATTATACCATTTTTAGGAGGATGAACATCCATTTACCAGCTATTTTGATGTTCACCAGGGGTACAAGGTTTTGACACACTGCCATCTTTTTTTCACCGAATAACCAACCCCAACGATCCAAACCACAACTCTCTACCCGACTCAGCCGCGCCACCCCTCTCCTTCCAGGTGATCGTCGTGGCTCCCGTCATTGCGCCGCAACGCCGCTTCTGCTCAGACCAACTGCAACTATTAGTTGGGTCATTGAATGTCCCCATGGGTCACATCACCCAACCATGAATGGTATATGGTCAATGCCATGGCTACTTTTTCAGGTGATGTCCTTTATATTCCCAAAATGGGACAGTTACCAACCAACCCCTGAGTAAGTACTGGGAGTTCTTCCTGGATGAAAAATCACTTTCATTGGCCGTGCATCAAACCATCGCCCCAACAGCCATTGCTTTTTAAGAGAGTTGCTTCAACTGTGGTCGCAACTGTCCTCCACCATCTGGGTTTCTGGAAAAGAAGGACATTCTGCCGTCGCCATGGTGCAACAAAATGTGGCTTTCTGGTGCTGAATTTTCTGCAGCAATTTGATCAAGTTTTCATAGAAATCAACTCCCTCGAGCCGATGGCTGATGGTGGAAGCTCATGACCACCCGCAGGGGTACCAAAACAATAAAAAAAAGGGGATGTGTGTATGTTAATAATATATGTAGTATATAACCATATATATATTGTATTATATATATATATATTATTACATATGTATATATTTATGATTATCATTATTATTGTTGTTGTCACTATTATCATCATCATTGTTATTACTATCATTATCATGATTATTATTATTAGTTGTTATTATATATATATATGTATGTATGTGTATATATATATATATATGTATGCATACAGTATACATATCAATGGGGCTTCCCAACTCATGGATTCTGATGAACCCGAATATATTAAGTAGTAAGACTGCCTTCGTATATAGAATTAAGAAGCAACTTGTTTTGGAAACTGCTCAAATGGGATGTCTAACCAGCACCCCAAAAAAAAACACCTCCAAAATTGTGTGTAATTACTTTTCCCAGAACTTCATCTATAAGGGGTTAGCAACCATGGTTTCAAACCAGTCATATGCGGGATACTTCCAGTTGCTTGGTTTACAGTACTCGCCTTTGCTGTTGATCAGTAAAGAAACTTGGCAACCTTAATGGTCATCATGATCATCATCTTTGTTTATCTTCACAGCCAAAGAGTCAATTGCGCCATGAAACCGTCGTGCAATGATATTATGATGGAAAAATATGGTCATCATGTAACATAATATGTAACATTAACACAATAAAATAATATCAATGATATTGGTTACATGTAACATTACCTCCCAAACGTATACTCGTCATCTCAACCAATCATCCCTTTTGTATGGTCGAAAACAAGAGTAAAAACAAAAGAAACCCCAGTTCCCAGTTCCCCTCCTGTAAACTATTGTAAACTAACAGTTCGATTTGGAAAACCCACCAAATCGAATACAGTTTTGTCGATCATTTTCTAGGGAATCCATTGGTTTTCCATTTGTCCCAGGATATATTTTGATGGTGATTGTGAAACACACCAGGCTGCGGCTGCTACCGTCCTCTTTCCCAAGACGCGTTTCTTGCGATCTGATGGCCCCCTCATCTCCCTTTGAGGGTGATTCGGGCCTGCAACTAAGTCTCCAGTAATTTAACATAGCCATAGAAAATGGACCATTTACGGATGATTTATATACCTCAAGTTACCTTTTAAAAATGGTGATGTTTCATAGCTATGTTAAATCACCAAAGTGTAAGTTCCATTAAGTTCCCCAACCCCCCAAATGGAGGATTCAGCATAAGTTCAGGTCTTTCCAGCAAATAAGAGGTTTTCTTTGTGTCCCCGTCCACTTGTCAAGGTGGAGACTTATAATATATGTATGTTAATTATGTATGTATGGTCACCGACAGAATTATGGAAAAAAATAAAACGTTCAACTTAGACAGGCGGCACCTGCGTCCGATTTTTCCATAATTGGATTTTTCCCCATAAGGGTTCAAAATATCCCGGAAGTGATCCGAACCTTTTTTTTTCCATAATTCTTGGAGGTGGCCATTATTTCCATAATTGATTTTTCCTGTAAAATCAGGGGGCTAGGGCAGATTGACCGGTTTTTCCATAATTATTTTTTTCCATAATTATTTTTTCCATAATTAATGTTTGGGGCTCCACCTGTTGGACATGTCATGGATCCACAATTCAAACCCCTTTTTTTGGGGGGTTATGGAAATATGTATGCAAATGCAAGTATGTAGTATCAACCCAATTGGTGGCTTGGCAAAAGGATACATCCCGCATATGTATGTACGTACAACAATGAGTTTTGGTGGTGCAATTGTATATCAATGGAAGACTTAGGGGCATATACCAGATCTTTAGACACATATTTTCTATAATTCAATATTCCCCCTTAAAATGCATTCAAATTGCGAACATCACATAATATTATGTATATCAATGGAAGACTTAGGGGCATATACCAGATCTTTAAACACATATTTTCTATAATTCAATATTCCCCCTTAAAATGCATTCAAATTGCGAATCGATGGACATACAGTCACCGACAGAATTATGGAAAAAAAATAATTATGGAAAAAATAATTATGGAAAAAAAAAGGTTCGTAACTTTTCTATCATAGACAGGCGGCGCCTGTAAATTGAAACGTTTTTTTTTCCCATAATTCTGTCGGTGACTGTATATATATATACATACACATACGTTTGTAAGGTCTTTTTGGAAATAGACATCAACAAATGTTGAACTCATATGTCTGGTTCTCAAACCAAAAAGTGAAATCAGATCATGATGCATTAAAATGTTCTAACTTGAAGCACGTGTCGTAATTTTTGTGTATGTATGGTGTTTACATATATACATATATACACATACAATCATGCAGCATGCACCCCAATTGCAAGTGATGTGTGTATATATATAAACATTATAATATATATATACACACATTGAATCCAAAGATTGGTTTTCATGACTGATAAGGATCAGAAAAACAGATGAAAAGGTTAACAAATAAAATGCTCATATTTCTACACAAGAATTGCCTGTAACACAGGCACAAAACACAACAATCAAAGCACACACTGTGTCACACATCATCTACAGAATGAAGCGACAGAAGACAGCGAATCCAAAACGGAAAACTTGGAAAAAAAACAATGTTGCAAGAAAAAATGCGAAACATTTCAAGCCACTGGTGATAAACCTAACAACATACATGTACCATTCGAGCGTACTGGATCTGAAACCTATTTACAATATTATTTTACAATGATGTCTTCCGGATTTTGAAACATGTGACTTGGAGATTGACTTTTATTCATAATGAAAAACAAGACAAAGAAACGCCAGTTCGACTGGACTAGCGACTGGATTTGCCGCCAACGAATTGGTATTATGTCATTATGTGTGTATGTGTATATATATATATATACATATATATATATATGATATGTGTGTAGTAATCTTATTAAATCAACCACAATGGGGATATCATGCGATTTAAAAAAAGAAAAAAAACGTTGTCCGAAAAATGATGAAATTGACCGCCCAATTTATGGATCTGATTCACCTGGGATGTGAAACACATCGAATCCCTGAAAAATCAAGCGATGGTAATTTGCGGTTGACAAATGATCACAGCGTTCGACTCATTCCTCTCCGGTAATTTAACATAGCTATGAAAAAAGTATAAAAAGGTCCATTTATAGATGATTTATAGATGATTTATAAATGATTTATGGATGATTTATAGATGATGTACCTATATTTACCTGTTGATGATGTTCCATAGCTATGTTAAAATACCAGAGGGTTTCTTTATCCTTTGCTGATAGTTGGGGCCGGTTACAATGTGTGACAACCATGGATAGCAACCATGGTTGATCTCCATTGCTTTAAGACTTCCAGTCGTGTTGGAACATATCCATTTTTTTTGGTCTGTTGAAGTTTCAAACACCAAGATGTTTCTGTTGAATTCTGTTGATCTAAAATATCTATAAATATCTCAGCATTTCCGATGGTGCCTGTGCCCATCGCCAAAACGCAACCCACCCACTTTGAGATGCGAGGCGCTCGAGGGCATTCGATTCATGACCGAAATGGAAATGTGGGGCTTTCTTTTTTCATGGCTCCCCCATGACATCTACACAATGTGGCAGAATGTTTGGACGTTGGACACGGGAGGTCATCCACGATGGCAGTTTCACGATGGCAGAAACGCGGAACGCGGGCTACGCTACGAGCCTCCAGGAAACCGTTGATCAAACTTTAAGATCCAAGAATCCATGGAGTCAGATGGTGTCGTTGCAGTATTCATCCCTCAATATATGGTTAATGATGGTTATTACATGGTTAATATATGGTGAATATATGGTTAATATATGGTGAATATATGGTTATTATATGGTTAATGATGGTTAATAATAATCTGGTTGGTGGTGCAATAACCATCTTGAAAAATGATGGAGTTCGTCAATGGGAAGGATGACATCCCATATATGAAATGGAAAATAAACAATGTTCCAAACCACCAACCAGTATTCATCCAATATTTTGGGTACGGTAGTGCCCAACTTTGGGTTCCTTGGAGGCCCAAAGTCCGCAAGGCCGTCATTTCTTGTCACTCCCGTCTCGCCCAGCTTTCTGGAATCAAAGGTGGCTGGGAAAAATCATCGAAACCGGGAAAACCCCCAACTAGCCATGAAGGAGGTGGGAAAAATCATCGAAGTAAATGGGCGATTTTCCAGCCATGTTTGTTTCCCCCAAAACACCTCTGGAAACCGCAGGAATTTACATCCACATCCCATTGCATCCCATAATTAGTCTCCCGTCCAACTGTTGCTGAAAAACATCAACTTTTTAGATGGTCTACTAGTCTAGCCTCTGGGATAGAATTTTGAAGATAGCTATGATAGTTCGATTAATAGTTCGATGGCCCAGAAATACTTCGATGATTTGATGGTGAGGCCCATCTGGTTCCATATGATTCACCTAAAAAACGGTGATTTTCTCATAGCTATAGCAGCTATGTTCAATCACCAAGGGGTAGCCTCCAGTAAACTGACACTTCCATGTGGAAAATCCATGAAAATCCACTATAAAAATAGATTCGATTGCCATATAGGGAAACCATAGGCTTCTCCACATCGAAGTGCGCTCGTTCCCGTGCCCAGCACCTGGGTTGGCGCTGGCATCCCAGGTCTGCGCTCGATGGGATCCTGGGAGTCGATCGATGGAAGTTTTGTTGGGAAAATCGGAAAACCGGAAACCCATGGGTTGGCTCACCATGGGTTTTTACCATGTTTTTACCATGGGTTTTACCATGAAATTGGATGATGAATTGGATGGTTGGGGTTTCCGGTGAACATTTTCCCATCCAATTCATCATCCAATTCTTCCAATTCTGAGATTCCCAGATGACTTTCACAAAAACCAAAGGGGCACAGCCCGCCCGCGCCGAGTTGGCAAAAACATGAGCCATGTTGGTTTGGTAAGTGAGCCATGCACATCAACCCCCAGAATCGCTGGATCTGGAGAATTTGAAGAAATCACTATTCTGGGAAAAGGTCGCTTCTTCTTGATGATTTCCTATTACCCTCTGGTAAACGTTTACATAGCTATGGAAAATCACCATGTTTAATGGGAAAATCAACTATAAATTGCCATTTTCAATAGCTCTGTTAAATTACCAGAGGGTAGCCTATACTAGTCATAATTCCAGTGACGTTGCAGTGAGCTTGTTATCATTCATCCAGATGCATTCGATGGCTTTCTTATCATATCCTCAATAACATTACGTACATGATTTCCCGAAATATCCTATCATGACCAATTAAATGAATGCTATAAACCCAATAATAAATCATCCCATTAACCAAGCATTTGGGGGGTCATTTTACATTCTCCCATTTCAATTGGTATAACCAATAAACCTCAAATTTGAGGATAGTTTAGGCATTGGGTTTACTACATGATTTTCATCTGGTGATCATATCCTCGATAGATATTTACATCACGTAATTATGTACATTATTTCCCCAGATTTCCTATCGTTTCACATTATTTAATCATTATTTTCATCTGGGGGGTTCCTAAATGGTGTTACCCAAAAATAATTCATGTGTTTTTTGGATTTTCCACTACAACCATCCATTTTGGGGTACCCTCATTTTAGGACACCTTCATCTGATCATAATATTCCCAGATCCAATGTCAGTTCCGACGCCTTTTCTTATCACCACCCGACCCTTTGCGCCCGCACTGCCGGTTCCACGCTCCATCTCGAACTGGACAGAAATCGAGAGCGTTTACCATGGGAATATCGTTTTTGGATATAAGCAGGAGATTAAAAAAATATATAAAAATATTAAAAAAATGATATCATGGGAAAATCACATTTAAATACATTTATATAATGGATTGAAGGGGAAATCTGAAAACCGGACATCCTGGAATCCTCGTTTTTGCCATTGAAAAAAAAAAGGGATTTGCAGATGGTCCCCAAATCAATTCTAGGATTCAGCCAGTCACCCCCACACAATATTAGCGAGTTATGAGATCAAGGAAATATGACATAATATCACCATATATCACCAACGAAATTGATCCAATCACTGGGGGATTTCATGGGAAAAACGTATGGGAGTTTTTCAGGGGCGTTGGAATAGACTGGAATATCATGTGGATTCAATTAGCGACATGCAGTGATATTTGGGTTTTCTGGCCCCAAATTTCACGGCCAATCATTCAACATGTCCCATTAAAATATGGCTGTTTGATGGGACCGGTATACCCTAAGACGCACCCATAGGAGTTTGTGTAATCCTAAGTAGATCGCTACCATTCACCATCTAAACGCCTCTGTCCCACGGAATGGCTATGTGGCTTTGTCCAAAAATGGAGAAACTTCAATTAGTTTGGGAAAATGATGATCAACCATCAAAAATGTGAGGCAAACCCATTTCTTATCTGCTTCAGTGGGCTCAGTTACAAGTACCCACATCATTCGCCAGTACGTTCCCGACCCTACCTCCACTTCATCCGTCCCCCTAATATCGAAATCAAAGACCCCCCAGAAACTGTGATAACTGTGCTTCAGTAGGGGATTTAGATGCATTTGGAAATATTTCAACTATTTCTGTCGTATTTGATTTGAGTGATGGAATTACAACGGTTGAACCCTCTGGCAATCAAACCCGGCCGCCTGGAAATATTGAAAATTCCAACCCATCACATTGTGGCTTCGTCTCCAAAGTGGGGGACCAAAACAAAATCTACGGAAAAAAACCAAACAGGAAGCAAGTTGGCTCAACTTCAAACCATCATCATCTCGAATTTTGGGGGCTTACGCCAAGAAATCCCCAGTCTGCCAGGCTTCGTTGCCACGTCCCCCACCTTCATCTGCTCGTCATCGGAGTCCAACAGATTCGCAGCGTGCCCCAGCGACCGGCGCCGCGGCGCGGCGTCGCTGTCCGCCGGGGAGGTCTGCCGCAGGCACACGGGGGGCGGCCGCTCGTCGAAGGGGTACAGAGCCTCGGATGAGCATCGGTGAAAGGGGAGAAAAATCACTGTGAAATGGTACCAAGGTGTAGCAAGCCTCAAGCCCAATTAATGTATCTTGGATAGTCTTACACAATCGCAACTCATACGAATGTGGATAGTCTTGGATTGTATTTGGGAGATATGAGAAAAATGGATCTGAGGTTTGGTAGATGGGTAATACACAACCACGTGAAATCCCGTTCTACATTGGAGTTGTGCCAGTTGTGCCAGTTGTGCCAATCATTTCATAGAACTGCCTGTTGGGGGCCGTCTTTGCAGGGATGGAGGCAACTGATTCACCAAAGTTTTATGACCTGGAAATTTGACATGGGAGTTACCCTCTGGTAATGACTGTTACATAGCTGTTGAAAATGGCCATTTAGTTCGTGGATTTACCCATTGAAAATGGTGGATCTTTCCATAGTTATGTGTCATCAAACTAAATGGTGTATTTTCCAGAGCCACGACGATTTTCCCATCTACAAACCTCCACAAATCGGCTCAGGGACTTTCCAGCCACGTTTGATGGAGGGTAGACCAATATGATGTCCTTTGTCAGTGCGTAATTACCAAAGAAAGGAATCAAAAGGTATTTTTTGTAACAAAATGGTTCGCAAATTTTGTCGAGGACCAACACACGTGGCTTTTTTTGTAGGAATAGAATTGAAGCAAAAGACGTGCAACTGTTTATCTAGCCAATCAAAATGATGGTGAAATCTGCTTCATAGCACAGCTAGATACAGCTAGATACAGCTAGTGCCTGATAAATTGGATCATCCCCCCAGACCCAGGCTGGGTGTCCGCTCCATGCGCTGGTAAATGGACTTAGTTGGCAGCCAGGGCCAGGGCTTGGCAGGGCATTTCGATGAAGCACATGAAGAGGTTGCTTATAGCCCCACAAAGGTAGAAAAGTGTAATTGATCATTATTTCCGTGGGTTTGTTTCTACCTTTTTGTGCGTTGCTCTACACATTGAAGAATCATGAATGAAACACCAAATTAATCCAATTAAAAGAAACAAACAGGTGCTGTTGAGGCACTTTGGCCACAGTGGTGATATCCTTCAGAGGGTGCGCATTCCGATCAATCGGTTGTCCACAAGTTGGGCAATGTAATTCCATTTATTCCTGATTGGTAACGGTTGTCTACCAATCCCCTATAAAAATGATGGATAATCAATCCCCTATAAAAATGTGGCGAATCTAATGATGAAAATATTGGGTCGAATACCCTCCGAACTGGTCAACCGACAGTGTCTGCCACTTCCCATGGTTTCCCTCGGGCGAAAACATGCGTCATGGTGGCGAAACCATAGGGGACCATCCAACATCAACCTTAAAATTGACATGTACCACTGTAAGCTAAGTCTTTATTTTACAATGACACTTCTCCATTTCTTGAAATAACATTTCTTGAAATAACAGATAAATAATTGCCCATCTTTCATCAAATCCTCCAAACTCCAACCCAAACTCCAACCCGCCTGCGTGGGTTCCCCGAATCCCAACCCGAATCCTTTCGACCAGCCGAGGCGCCAAAGTCTTCAGCATGCTGCTGGGAGTGCCTGGAGCAATGGCCGGCTCGGTGACCTCAAGTCTCGGCAAACCGAAGAGAGTCCATTGAAGTTCTATCCGCTTGGGGTGTGATATACATATATATGTATTTATATATATATGTCATGTATATATATATTGTATAATATATATATATATATGTATTGTATATATATATATGTCACGCTATATATATATTATTAGTGTATGATAGTGTATATTATGAGTGTATGTGGTTATGTGTGTGTGTAATCTGATCTCATCTCGTTTGGATATATTGTAAATCGAACTTCTATCTTATCTGATCTCGTCTTGTCCATCTTTCCTGTGTATATATATATAATATTATATAATTATATATATATACACAATATGTACCCTCTGGTAATTTAACATAGCTAGTGAACATTGCCATTTACAGTGCGTTTTCCCATTAAAAATGGTGGATCTTTCCATAGTTATATAAACGTTTACCAGAGGGTATATTAACAGATATACCAGCTGCAGTGATAGTCTTCAAGACCCTGACATTCCTGAAAAGCCGATTTGGCCTGGTCAAAGCACTAAAGCTGAAAGCTGTCCCTCTTGCTTCATCAAACATCTGTTTCATCAAACATTGCAATAAGAAATGACCAGATCTTACTTAAGTATTCATAAGATTTCATAAGTGCATTGCCACAAAACCCATCACAAAAGCCGTTTTTTTTGGCCACCTGAGCCCCGCGACGAAGCGTCCCCGCTGCGGCCCCGGGTCGGACACGTGTTGCGCGGCCGGAAGAGCGGTGTGGGAGAAGGACCGCGACTCCCTGGGCGAAAACAAATCAGCACCGGAGTGGGGATGGGCCATGGGATTTTATCCAGAAGATGATTTTACCCTCTGGTAATTTGTGACAGTTTGCTATTGAAAATGGCCATTTATAGTGGATTTACCCATTGAAAATAGTGATTTTCCATAGTTATGTTAGTTTACCAGAGGGTAAGAGGGATCTGGGAGATGTTGAGATCATCCATAAATGGTGATTCAAGGGGGGTCTAATAGCAACACCCAGTTGCTCAAAATCAGGGAGTCCCAATAAACTTAAGAGTAATAATTAGAGAAATGAATTTTGGGGGGGAACCACCCCAACTCATAGTCAGGGTTTTAAAAATTCCATCCGTCCATCCCCCAAAAATTCCCCGGAAAATCCTTCACCTTTCAATCTCTCTATGTCTGTTCATCTCCACTGTGCCACAGCTCATCCCACCTCCCCAGTTACGCCCACTTCACAAAGTCTCACTTAAATGTATTTGTCCCTTACTCGGAAGCTTCACAACCCAACTTCCCAACTGAGAAAGCATCGTTTTTGGTTTCCCGACTCATCAACCCAGGCTTTTGAACACTCAGTTTTTGCATTCCCAGTACCCTCCGGTATCGTCAAACGTGGCTTGCTGGAAACTCAGATCAACTAATGGGAAATGTGAAAAGATCACCAATCTGCAGCAAACCCAAGGTTCTATTTCAATGTTCCCATGAAAAATCCCATGAAAAATCCCAATCTTAAATCAAATCCTATCAAATCCGATCAAGTCCAAGTCGAGTCGAACGTTCCCATGAAAAATCCCAATCACGCGAAATCCCCATCAAAGTCACTATCAAAGTCACTATTTTTTGGTCACTGAGTTACCCTCTGGTACACGTTTACACTTTGCGAACCGGAAAATCACCATGCTTATCAAGTTTGGTAAATCAACAAACTAAATGGTCCATGTTCAATAGCTATGTAACAAATTACCAGAGGCTTCCCGCTGGGCATCCCCCACAAGCCGGGCCCCAAGTCGTCCACGTGCGAACGAGGCGTCTCCGGGATCACCTAACCCCCGTGAGCCACCCAAGAAAGGTGGGAAAATGTGGGATTTATAGAATTCAGAGTTGGGTATGGGTCAATACCTATAGATACATTTTTAGTGGGATGAACATCCATTTACCAGCTATTTTGATGTTCACCAGGGGTACAAGGTTTTGACACACTGCCAGTTGACTTTTCATGCATCTTCTTGGCTGAATCCTCAATTCTTTTCACCATGATTTCCATCCAGAAGGAGAATCCGCCGGATTATTAAACTGTGTTAGAATGAAATTTGGAGAGTTACTCCCCAAAATAGTTTTCGAAATGACTCTTCAAATTGATCCATGGATCTCCCAAAAAAAACCGGAGCCCCCTACTGGTACCCAAACGAAACCCGTAGAGTTCGTGTTGGATTTCTATTCACGTGGTGGTGTCCACTTGGAGGGAGGTTTTTAACATCAGGAAGGGGATGAGATTAACTATCCAATTATTAAGCACTATAGTAACCATTATGAATATCACAGACATCACGGATGGATCTTTCAACAATTATTTAACCATTGGTAAATCCCCATAGAAAATGTCATGAAATCCCATGAAATTCCATGAAATCATCGACCGAAAGGGGGAGACCTCGTAAGTCTTCCCAGACATGGAGGACACATTCGACTTGGAGCGCCTCCAACGTGCCGTGCAATTTTGGCTGGTCAAAAGAGGATCATGCACCCCGCAGCATTTAAAAGGGAGTACAGCCAAATATGTGCATACACATGTGTATATCATATATGTATATAATATATATATATCTATATATATATATACATACAAAATTACGTATACTGTATTTTTCAGTATGCATATTTTTGGTTCAATGACCAATGAGCCACTGATGGTTGCAATTTCATGGCCACTATAAAATCAGGTGAAGCTGACCGAAGCACCAAGGCTTGGGATTTTTTTTGTCATGGGAATAACATGGGAATAACTGGTTACTCACCATTAATTACCAATTATAATTGTTGATTATAGTATTAATTATGGTGAGTAACCAATAATAATGGTGATTAATAATAATAATAACGATAATGATAATAATAATGATACCCTCTGGTAAATTAACAGTTCGACCCTGGCAGTCATCGGGGTTGGAAGATTAGTTTCCTCTATAAATTGGTCATTTTCAGGGTCTATGTTTATTTACCAGAGGGTACCTGATCATGGCTCAAATACTTACTGGTGCTTAGCAGGGAATGAGGGAATGATCCATAATCACTATTAGTAATCTGGTTGGTGGTTGACCTGCTCCTCTGAAAAATGATGGAGTTCGTCAGTTGGGATGATTTTCCATTCCCAACTGGATGGAAAGTCATAATCCAGCCATGTTCCAGTCACCAACCAGGATATTGTGCTTGAGATAAAACCCGTGGGACGTACCTTCAGGATACTTCAGGATCATATTGGTGCCTAGACCTTTCGAATTCAATGGCCCTGGCTGATGTTCTGATATGTTTCAATGCCACGCACAAAAAGTTGTCTGTTCGCAGAGGGAGCTCTTTCCATGGCTTTGTTCTTTGTGGCTGGCAAATATCAGTACCATCCATAACCCAATCCTTCCAGGTTCAAACAGCATCCGCATGAAAAATCAGAGTCACGGATGAGGAAAGCCTGCAATACCTAGCAAAAAAGTGCCTGCAGTGTGGATATGCCTGATACAATCCTGAAAAATCCTTGAAAGCACCAGCCATTCGGTTTTCATCTCCAGTTCAGAAGGTGCTTTAACCGCCAGTGACGCGCGCCCCAGCGCCAGAACACCCCAGCGCCTCAGGTTTTCTTTCCGGTGCGGGTTCGGATGTGTCGTCTCCGACCTGGCAAAACATTCATAGAATGTTTGGTCTTTCTGTTCAAGACGATTCAAAAAAATGGCCAGAAACACAGAGAACCGAACTAAGTATAGATGTGTTCATAAATTTCACCTAAAAAAATCATTTATTTCACATACCCTCTGGTAAATTAACAGTTCGACCCTGGCAGTCATCGGAGTTGGAAGATGAGTTTCCTCTATAAAACTAGGCCATTTTCAGGGTCTATGTTAATTTACCAGAGGGTAATATTCTGGTAATTTAACATAACTATGGAAAATCACCATGTTTCATGGGAAAATCCACTATTTCAATGGGCCATTTTCAATAGCTATGTTTGACATAACCAGAGGGTAATATTCTCAGATGTACTACATGTTCACCCGAAATCAGCCCCCGAAATATTCTCGCCAGCGCCTCGGTGGAACCTTGGGATCCAAGACTTGGAACCACCGTCTCCCCAAACCCGGAAAAAAAAAAACGGGTCCCGGTGATGGGATTAAAATCCATTAGATTATGATATTTTGTGAAAAAAAGAATTGGGATTAATATATATCTAATGGATTTTTTCATATATCCCAATTGGACATAGCCCAGAAACATGGCTTTCATTATGGGTTATATATGGTTAATATTCCCCAATCGTGGTTGATTTATTTGGGTTGGGTGCCCCTCTGGGGCACATGAAAAATATCTATTATATAGGTACAGTATGGTTTTTTTAAATGTTTATTGTAGGGGTATATACAGTATTATTTTCTATATCATGTTTGTATTATGCTTATGTTATACATATGCAAATATAACCTACAGTATGTCTGTATATTAGTATTATTGTGTCTCCAAGAGTTCATGTGTGCATATGTATATATATATACTGTATTGAGTTCTTACTATGATGGTAATATATTACTGTACATACTGTGTTCATGTCTTGTTTGATAAAAGTAATATGAGCAAAAATAGTATATTTGTATGCGGTATATAGTTATACGTAGATTAAAAGAAATAGATATACGTAAAAATCCTGTCGCCATTTCATTCTGTTTGCTTGCTGTAAGGTTGGTGTCATTTCTATCATTATTGTTATCATTATCATTCAGCATTGAAAGCGCGTGTATGTGTATCATCTAGCAATGTTATCAGTGTCGTTCTTAGCATCATGATCATCATGTGTTGACGAATTCAATTATGACAATTATTATAATCATTATCATTAGTATATTATTACCACCTTAGTATGTTTATTATCTTTGTATGATCATCATTGTATATTCTTGCATGTTTTGTTCCATTCCATTCCACCGCATGGCATAGAGTCTCCTCGCGGCTTGCAAAAAAGAATTAAGATGCCTCAAGTGCCTTGATAGTCGGGCAGGAAAAAAAAACTCGTTATGATCAATGGGAGATCTTCAGGATCCTAAAATGGAGCTACGTTAGTACCATATTTTAGGGCATATGTTTGCTGGGATATTCCCTGAAATTTAGGCCTAAAAAATAGGCCTTATATATGGTGGGTACCTCCAATAAATCGGTTCCTGAAATGGCCATTGGTTTCCATCACCGTCTCTGCCATGACTGGGCCCCAGGCCTCTTTGGATTCCACCTACATGCAGCTTCCATGGGGAAAGCAACGCTGTGATTTAGGGTCCGTTATTGTATACAGCTATTGTCAATAGTACTATATGACTTTATGACTAAGTAGCATGTTTGAAAAAAAGTGGAGCTGGAAAATATCATACTATACATATAATATACATTACTATTAATATCATAGTCTATGCTATACATATACATTACTATACATTACTATACATGTACATTACTATACATATACATTACTATTAATATCATAGATAAATAGCACGCATATTGTAAGCATAGTGCTAGGCCCAGGGCCCAGCCTGGAATTGGATCATGATCCCAAGTGGCCCGTTCTGTGTAATTTCTGTACATGGGCCATGTACTCAATAGCTATGGTTCAAAAAAAAAAGAGATGGTAGCCTCTGGATCTTTAAGTTGCCATAAAACTCCTTTTTTTTCGTTTTTTCGTTTATTTTTCGTTTTTTTCGGTTTTCTGGTCGTTACAGGAAGCGTTGCTTTCATCGGAACACGTCTTTAAAGAAAACTCGTCAGTCTCTCTCGGCATCCTGGTGGAATGTACTGGACCTATTCAGAAATTCATACCTGGGGCTCCGAAAAAAAAAAAAAAAACTCTAGACACTTTACAACTCATATAATATATGTATAATATATTTTATATTTTTTATACATATATATATATATTATTATATATATATTATAATATATATATACCCTCTGGTAGTCAAACATGGCTTGCTGGAAAATCCCCTAGTTACTTCGATGATCTTACAATTTATAGAAACCTCAATTTACTTCGGAGATCAAAACCATGATGTTACCATGTTTTCTAGGGGAAATAACCATGGCTTCGGGGATTTCAAAAATGCCGTCGCGTTGCAGGGCTATTTGGCGATGCTCCGGTGCTGGGACGCTGCGGGAGCTCAGCACCCTCAGACCTAGCGGTCGATGTGTGGCCCGAAATGTCCATCTTCTGTCTACTTCAGGATGTGGGGGTTTCCATAAATGGAGGTACCCCAATAGCTGGATGGTTTATAATGGCAAATCCATCTAAATGCATGAGAACTGATGAGAACTGGGGGTACCCCTGTTTCAAGACACCTCCATGTATACAACCGATATACAGTAGACACAAACCATATAGCAGCTCTATGCTGGTTGGTGGTTTCAGCCCTCTGAAAAATCATGGACTTCGTCAGTTGGATGATGTTCCACTCCCAATATATGGAAAGTCATAAACGTCATGTTCCAGTCACCACCAACCAGTATATATATATATATGTATGTATGTGTATATATATATATGTATGTATATGTATATATATAATATATATATATTATATTATATATATATATATATATTATATATATATTATATATATATATATATATATATTATATATATACATATATATATATATTATATATATTATATATATACATATATATATTATGTATATATATATATTATATATATACATATATATATATATATATTATATATAACATTAGTATGGGTTTTAAAAACATTTAGCACTTACCTCTGATGCACCCCAGGAAGCGATCTATGCTGAAGGTCATTCCGCCAAAGAAAATTAGATCGCCAGCCACTCTTTGAGTGGCTGTTGATGACAAAACAGTAGAAATCGCATGTGAAAATGAATTTGAAGGTATATAATAGGCGGGATCATGTAGAAATATAATAATTTGAAGGTATGTAATAATTTGAAGGTATGTATATATATATAATAGGGATCAACCAAAGTAGAAATATGATGAAATATGTGCTTTTGAAATATATCATAGTAGCCTAATCTAGGCTGGATGCTGTTGATGTTAGGGTTTCTGTCAACAATTAGCCATTAGGGTACCCCCAAACCAAACATGGGTTTCCCTGTGGAAAAACGACCAATGACTTTAGCAGAAAAGAATCATATTCTAATACGCTGATGTAATTATATGATGATGTAAAAGTGCATCAGTATCTGTTTCTGAGGAATGATCTCAGGACAATAAACGTCCAACAAAAATGATATGATATATCATTTCCAAGACTAATGTTGACTTCGGGTTGGTTTGATTTCATGGTTCCGCTTTTTTTGGGGGTAATCTTCCTGATAAGTCAGCTGGAAATTGCTACCGGGATTGATTCTGCGTTGTAGGGACTATCACTGAACCAACTCTGGCCATTGAAGTGGTTTGAGATGTTTTGACCCATCGCCTTCTACACAGTAAAGGGACCCCCAAACCATTGGTTGTTTGGTTGATAACTTGGCTGACGGATTTCTGGGGGAACCATCTAGGCACCCAGACGCGATCACGGCACGTGCGTAACGCTTGTCGCGCTCCAAGATCCGAAAGCCGTAGGTATTGAGAAAAAACATGCCAAAGATTGCATAACCTGCAGCGGCTAAACACTTGGTCGTTCCCCTTGGGCAGCAAGAAGTACTTGGATTCTATATATATATGTATTTATTTATTCATTCATTCATTTATTTATTGATTTATCTATTTATTTATGTATCTATTCATATTCATCCCAACTGCACATAGTTGATGACTCTTTTACACCAAAAGGCCGACCCTCAGAACACCCGAACTCTGCCCAGAGATGCCCAGGTGTCCCTGCAGAAAATGTAGAGCCTGGCCGCCGTGAAGATAAACTCGCGCGCCTGAGATGGGAAGAAACTGCGAGCTTTGGATGAACCCTGGAAGAATCACCGGCAGAAAATGTTGGCTTTGTGATACTTGGGTGAAAATCAACAGTTACATCAAGGATTTAAACAATGGAATTTGCCAACAATAGATGGGAAGCGTGCCTAACATAAAATTCCCCACATGGGTCCCTAAAATGAATAGATCCAATACTAGAGGTGTGTATTTTATATGAGGGATATCAAGGACAGTTTTAAGCAACAAAGGGATTCTTCGGAAAACATTTGTCAAAAACCTAAACATCTTCGGATTTGTCAAACTCCGCAAGTACTGTTCATTCCTGATTTAAGTCCAACAAAACAAACTATATGTGAAACTAAAACGATGCCATAAACCATCCCCAGGTATCACCATTTTTATAGCTGGGATTTTAACCATTCCCAACTTCCGTTCACCTCAGCTCGATCGTCCACAGGCACGTCCTGCGATGACATATGTCTGGTTTACAGAAAATTTCGGAGTTTGATCATGGGGGAATTATAATGGGGACTTGTATGTGTATATATGTATTGTATGCAGTGTATAAATATATATATATATATAATTATATATATATATATATACATATTATTTAAATATATTCACTACCTGTGAAATACTCTTATATCAAATATCACTAACTATAAATATGCCATGCACAAGCTATGCATCTATATTTTAAATAGAAAAAGAATTTCCTGTAAAAATGTTTGTACCCCCAAGCAACTTCTAGGTAAATTCCCAATTTTCGTTAATTTGTAGTTAATAAGAATGCTATAAACATACCTCGAAGGAGGCCAAAAATTTGTCAAGTCTGTCCTGAACGTCCCAGTTTTGAAAAAAAAATCACCAGGTGATTCTCAAAAATTTTGCATACCTCCAATCCCATCATTTGATGGGCCATTGAAGTTTTTCAAAAAACACATGACTTAAGTTGATCATAGTTGATATATCGTTGATATGTCTTCTTTTGGGCGTCCTGGAAGAAACGCTGATTCACCGGAACGGCACCCAGAGCACCCTGGATGGTCGCCTCGACACTATCCGATTCCCCGTGATGTTTTTGGGTTGCTTTAGAAGCCGATCAACTGATGAACTATAGATAGAATATAGATAGAATATATCATATATTTACCACAGTTGCCATAGTTAGCCATAGTTCATCTATGTTCATCTACTTGTAAATTCGCTCAGCTATCTATAGGACCCCATCTGACGTAGTAACATTGTGGCCACAAATTGAGTACGGGATTCACCCAACGTCATACATGAACCATACCATTCACCAACCACAATACAAGGGGTGTCATTTCATGTGTGTATATATATATATATACACGTCATCCCATTATTAGCGGCAACCTCTGGTAAACTACCAGTAGTGCCGCACAAGGCGGCTACGGAAGTTTCAGAATACGAAACCTATAGGAGAGCTTGGTTGTTGCAAATCACGGAATCCACTGACGGACTGAAAGGCGGTTGGTGTTGTCACCTGGTCGGTCACCTCACCCACAACTGCTGGATGTAGTGTGGTCTAGCGCAGCTGTAGTTGTAGTTGTAGCTGTGGTGTAATGTAATTAGTGTAGCATAGTCGCAGTTGCATCTCTGGCGGTAGTGTAATGAAATGTAGGGTCATGTAGTGTAGTCTAGTGTAGTGCTGCGTAGTTGTAGTTGTAGCTGTATATAGTTGTGGTTAGTGTAGTGTAATGTTGTGTTGTGTAGCGTAGCGTAGTGTAGTGTAGCGTAGTGTAGTGTAGTTGGCACACGCCGCATAGACGGCCGTGTGCCTTTCACCATTTGTCAACATTTTCCAGGGTTTTGGCACGAGGTTGATACTACGTCCACGAGGGTCTGTGGGTGGGGTGGGGTGGGGCATGTTAACGTTCCCTGTACGTTGCACACGTTGTTGATGTTCCGCAGCTGCCAGGATGTGGGGCAGGGGCTGGGGTGGGGTGGGGCATGTTAACGTTCCCTGTACGTTGCACACGTTGTTGATGTTCCGCAGCTGCCAGGATGTGGGGCAGGGGCTGGGGTGGGGTGGGGCATGTTGACGTTCCTTGTACGTTGCACACGTTGTTGATGTTCCGCAGCTGCCAGGATGTGGGGCAGGGGCTGGGGTGGGGTGGGGCATGTTAACGTTCCTTGTACTTTGCACACGTTGTTGATGTTCCGCAGCTGCCAGGATGTGGGGCAGGGGCTGGGGTGGGGTGGGGCATGTTAACGTTCCTTGTACGTTGCACACGTTGTTGATGTTCCGCAGCTGCCAGGATGTTTGAATGGCTCCCTGCTCATATCAATGCCACACAGAAGAAGGACGGTCACACTGTGCTTTCTCCAATAGTTTCGGAACTCGTGTTTCAATGGCTTGGCGACGGCACCAAGGACCCATGTCACCAACTCAGTTCTTCACTGCGCTGCAACGTCTCCTGAAACATTGAAAAAAATGGGACGAAACGAAGATACGCAGATGTTCCTTGCAAGAAATGCTGATGAACAAACGTCAGTGCGAGTTGCAAAAAGTGACCGAAACGCCACGGCCGTCTGTGCGGCGTGTACCTAGTTTAGTGTAGTGTAGTGTAGCGTAGCGTAGTGTAGTGTAGCGTAGTGTAGTGTAGTGTAGCATAGTATAGTGTAGCATAGTATATAGTGTAGTGTAGTGTAGCGTAATGTAGTGTAGTGCAGTGCAGTGCACTGCAGTGGAGTGGAGTGTAGTGTAGTGTAGCGTAATGTAGCGCAGTGCAGTGCAGTGTAGTGTAGTGTAGTGGAGTGTAGTGTAGTGTAGCGTAATCAGTTGTAGTTGTAGTTGTACTTGTTCTTGTAGTTGTAGTTGTAGTTCGTGTAGCGTAGTGTAGAGTAGCGTAGCTTTGCGTAGTGTAGTGTAGTGTTGTGTAGCGTAGTGTAGTGTTGTGTAGTGTAATGTAGTGTAGTGCAGTGTAGTGCAGCGCAGTGCACTGCAGTGGAGTGTAGTGTAGTGTAGCGTAATGTAGCGCAGTGCAGTGCAGTGGAGTGTAGTGTAGTGTAGTGTAATGCAGTTGTAGTTGTAGTTGTACTTGTTCTTGTACTTGTAGTTGTAGTTAGTGTAGTGTAGTGTAGTGGAGTTGAGTGTAGTTTAGTGAGGTGTAGTGTAGTGCAATGTAATTTGTGTAGTGTAGCGTAGTGTAATGTAGCGCAGTTGTAGTTGTAGCTGTAGTGGTAGTGCAGTGGAATGTAGTGGTCGTAGGTGAAACTGCTACAGAACCCTCACGTTTTGCTCACTTTTGGCAAGGTGCAGAATCCCTTGTGCCTGCCACGCAAAACGAACGTCGCGCACTTTTTAAGACAGCTCAACTTCCAAAAGTGGTCCGGGACCGTCAGTTTTTTACACTTTCCACTTCGAAATGTGCTTCGCGCCACAGCGGCGTGCAATTTTTCATCTCTCATCTGACCAGATGTCTCCCTCCGGACCCTCCGCTTTGGCGAGCCTACTTTTCGACCCTCCGGAGCCACAAATCATTGGAAAAACACTGTGAATCGCGACTTTTCTACCTTTTCGCGCACCTGCATCTTCTTTCTTCTGACTCTTTCTCTTCTTTGATCTTCTCTCTTCTTCTCTTCTCTTCTCTGACTCTTCCCACCTGTGCTTTTTCATCTGTCCATACTGTCCGAAGTTTGACTTCTAAACTTCCTTCGAACATATGGAAAATCACCTTTTATAATAGGTAAATCAACTACACATAAATGATCATGTTCAATAGCAAACCGTTAAATTACCAGAGGGTGCAATTTCAAAAACCTCCATTGGGGATGGTTCATGATGCCGCTGTCGTCCCTGAAAATACTGCCTGCTTAAAACGGATTTCCCAGTTGATGGACTATGATAATCCCCAATATATATTGCGTAGAAAAAAAAACGAACTCATCAACCAACCATCATTTATCAGTTATATCAGTTATATCCACGTTTGTATCCCCAAACTTTGATGGTTAAAAATCACGTTTCTCGCAGCCCATGGCTTTCCAGGGGCCACCTGAGAACTGCTGGGCTGGGCACCCGTGGGAGGCAGGCCAGGAAGCAGAAGAAGGCATCGTCCATGGAAGGCCGGGCGCCTGATTTCAGGCGACAGGCGGTGGCGGAGCGGCAGCGTATATATATATATATATTGATATTGATATGATGATCCCCATGAACCAAAAATCTCTGATTGGGATTTTGGGGACTTCTGAATGGGATTCATGGATTTACTCCTTGGTGTCATCAAAGCTTTCGCTAGAAGCCTCCATTGAGTTCTGACCTGGCTATGCAGTGGAAAAACCTGGCTTATGGTCCAGGACGCCATGGGCAACAATACAATGGATGAGAAAAAAAAAACTCATGGGAAAACAAACCTCTAACATCCTCCAACTTGAGCATGGCATAGATGGCTTTGGAGAATATTGTGACAAGATTGATGATTAACATGGTTGTGACTATATGGAATCAATATGATATTGATGATATAGTCATAACCATAACAAAACCATCCACAATCATTGACACAGTTAAGTATAACTTTACAAACCACATGCCTATGAGTCAACTCCCTGGGACATATTAGGGACTCTAGCCTAAAATCCATGGTTTATGGATGCTTCTTCCCCAAGCCAGTGATTTCATAGGTGTTGACCCATCCCACCTGACCCATGGTGACCCCACCTCCATCCCCCGACTGCTGCACCGGATCGGCAGCGCCCGTCGGCACCTCATGGTGAAAAAATGGGGATGGGTCATGGCACCCTGGTACCGTGCCGGGTTCACCCCAAGTCATAGCTGGGTTAAAATGGATGTGAATAACCCACAACAAAAATGGATTACTATAGCTATTGACCCATACCCAAATCATTTTCTGACTGATTGTAAAATGGTTCTCTGACGGTCTCTGGATGTTTCTGGTGCGTTCTCATAGAGGTTCTATTTCAATCGAACCACGATCGAAGACTGTCTCGCAATGGCCCAAGTCCAAAATCCTACACAAACCCTGCCGTTTTTTCTCGAAGCTTTAGTAGCACCTTCTTCAGTTGCCACTTTTCCAGCATTCAAAAGCTCCGCTCCAAGCCAAAAAAAAGCGGAGATTCCCAAAAACATCCCCAAAAACATCAATTTTAGGGCGGTTAAACTTTCCAGGTTCTTCAAAAAAGTTTGGTTATAATATACTATATAATTATTATAATATTAATATCTTATACTAATAGTAGGTTTTTCATCGTTGATTCAGACTCTCCAACCCCCCAACTTCCACCCAACATCAACATCTTTATCGCCTTAAAGGCCGCCAGATCCATGGGGAGCATGGAGGCCATGACTCCGACAAAACGCACCAAGAGTCCAATGGCCTTTCAAACCAGATCAAAAAAGTGGCAAAAATCTGGGTAAATTAAGGCCATTTGGGGATGATTCCCCTTACTAACTATTATGATTCCAGTGAGGGAGAACAGTGAGGTCGTTATAATTTACCCAGAAAAATGCTGAAGGTACCATAGAACTGACCATATAAATACCCGGATATCAACCTGGTACAAAATATTTGGCATTTTAAAAAAACCTGGCAAAAATGAATGGTGGTACCATATATCTTTGGTACCATATTTGACATGTTTTTTGTACCTTCACATGGTGAACTCATAAGGTTGTCGAAATGCAGACCTATGATGATCTATGCGAATCCATACTTCACACCACTTTGGCAAAAGAACAAATGACCAAATCTATGGCGATTTTCCCATGAGAAAACCAACTCCCCGACCAGGCCCATCTGCCGCTTGTGACAACTTGTGATTTTTTCGCTTGGTCCCACGCCATGATTGGCAAGACTGTGGTGACATCTGGGAAAATGGAAAAACCTCGGAATAGAAACAGATCCAAGATTCCAAGATGAATAGAACTTGGATTTTTTGAGATAACTAAAGCCATTTACTCACCATAGATTCATGTAAATGTGGCAAATGCAATAGTAAACCAGCTGGGATGTTCTGATTCTGGTTGAATGGTTGGTTGCTCTGACCCCCCGACTGGTCTTGCTGCCAATCATGGTGAAGAGCACAAGCCTAAGCCAGGGGCTTATTACGGCGCTTCACAACCAACGCCGTTTTGAACTCGTGGAGACTCAACATGGAAGCTGGCAAGATATCCATCACCATCCCAAAGAGCCCAGGAAAAGAACCAAACAGAACAAGAATCTGAAAATGGGATGGTGATGGTCTGCTGTCAACTTCCATTCTTGCGGATGAAATTGATGAAATTGATGAAATCCCCCCATGAATTTTAAGCGGAAACGAAAATTCCATTCTGGGATGGTCAGATGGTCACACCTCTCGAAAAAAACTCTCCCATGTTGCCCCACCAATTGGATGCCTTACATCCCTAAATTGAAACCTCAATTCAATGGGGTCTCAAAGATGACAATCCACACTTGGATATTGTACATTATTGTAACCATTTCTAGGTGCCATTTCTTATTCTCCATCTTAGATGCAGACAAATAGAATCCAAGTCCAAAATCGTGGTAAAGTGTACCTTTTCCACATCTCTTTGGGGGTTATGCAGAACGCAGAAAATCCCTGGCTGACTCATTTTACAATGTGGCTTATCATTGCTATCGGGGATTAAATAAGTCCTTTGACTTTCAGGGCTAAGCACACCAAAATTACCAATCCAACCAAGATTTACCCAAATATCCATTATGATCTTCCCACGATATTCCCATTACCCTGTGGTAAAAAAATGTGGAAAACAGACATGTTTTTCTAATTAGTTGATGAAGACATCGATCGAAGTTTTTATTGAATAAATGGATATAAAATGATGTAAATGGTGCATGTTCCACATCTATGGGGTTTCTAGAGATCATCGTTTTCCAGAAACATTTTCCACATCTCCCTGTCCGCCCTGAGCTGGTCAGGCTGTCCGAAGACCCAGACTCCACCCATGGCAGTGTCCACCTCCAGGGTGTGGCTTGTTTAGCCATGGGAAATCCTCCGGTTTTTGTCCAACGAAGAATCCATTGGTTGGACAAAAAGTTGCCAATTTTGGAGCTACGTTTTAAGACTATCCCCCCAAATTGATTGGCTAAAAATTCTGGCTTATTCTCATTTATACCCAAAAAAAAAGAGTCTGATAGATTGAGGTTGTCTCTTACTCTATGCAAGTCTGATGGAAATCTTGAAAATGGCCATTTATAGTGGATTTTCCCATTAAAAATGGTGATTTTCCATTGTTGTTAGTTCACCAGAGGGTATCTCCAGCCGGTCGACCTGTTCAAGGACCTTGAAGCACTCCTGGTGGTGAGTATCACAGTACCACGCGAAGGTGGATCCTGTGACCTGCATTTGCCCAACCCAAGGCCAACCCTGGTATCCCCGGCGCTGATTTCATAGGTCATTAACGGTCATAGACGGTCATACCCGGCCTGGTAAACTAACATAACTATGGAAAATCACCATTTTTAATGGGTAAATCAACTATAAATGATTTTCAAGATGATTTCAGACATGATTTTCAGAGCATTTTTTGCTGCCATGTTTTTCCAGGAACATTTCGGATGCAGGAAATTGTCGGAAGACCCGGGACCCCGGACGATGACCATCAGCTCAGGATGGAACAAGGGACCCATACCTCAAGCTACGACCAAACCATGTTGGATGGCACCGGAGAGTAAACCTTGTATTCCTGCTATATTCCACTACATTCCCAGTACATTCACATCATATACAGCCCAGTATACATTCACAATTACCAGAAGCCATGTGGTTAGTTCGTGGATGATTTCTTCCTGCTTTGCGGCCATCCTGGATGAATTTGAGATTGGAAACCTACGAAAATCGAGGTTCTACAGTCAAATTGACCTTGAAACATCTAAAAAAACATCTGAAAATCCCCTGGGTTGAGGTCACTCAAAGCCTGAAATGGTTAAAATATGTTAAAATATGTTAAGATGGTCCCTTGCCAATCCCAAAAACGGTCACTTCAAACTTTCAACTGTCAAGAGATTTGGAGATAGGTCTGCATAGAACCAGTCCTCATATGCTCCTCATGGGCTCGCAGTTTAGAACCTGATTTTCCCCATCGAACCCCTCACAGCTAAATCATCGAACCCAATGGACCATTCTCCAAGGCAAAAAATATGCATCAAATGGGTATGTCTGAAAATGGTGATCATTAACCATTGGGTGTAGGGGTACACTATTTTCAGACAAACCCAAATGGGCCTACTGAGGGCCGAACTGAAGATAGACATCCTCACAGGGCGCGGCGGGCTCTCGGCAGGGAAGTCCATGCACCGTTCAGAGGCTACACCCTGCTGTTCAGCATCTTAAACCATCCAAATGTACCAGAAACCTGAAGGAAAACGGTGACAAATGATGGTAGGAGTTCCCGAAAAGAAATACCAATTTACCAAAGGTTGTATGAACATCATGGGCAGTATGAAAAAACTCGCTCTGAGCCAGATTCAGAAGGTCAACCCATTGATAGACCATTCCATATAAATCAATATAAACCATATAAACCATCCAAGTTGGAATGTTCATATATATATGTGTGTTCCATTATAAAACATATAAACCATCCAAGTTGGCCAGCTCATTATTGTGTTCACCGATTTATCAAATCTTGGGATGTTCGAAAGCCACCTGGGTAGCCACACGAGTTTCCGCCCAGACCATAGGCAATCAAGGCGATGCCCTCGTTTCGAGGACCATGGGAATTTTCCATGGCCATGGGATTCTCCAGGTGAAACGCTACTGAGTCCTACTGATGGTTGCGACATCCTGGTTGGCAACCGTCAGGTAACTATGAAACTTTGCAAAGAATGGGATAAGTTAAGAGTTAAGAGGATAAACATGGATAAACATGGATAAACATGGATAAACATGGATAAACATGGATAAACATGGATAAACATGGATAAGCCAGATACGAACTGGTGCAGGATTTACCATCCACAGTGACTCACGGATGAGAAACTCTTGACTCAGGGCGTCCCTAGGTTCCCAACCAGCAGAATCAGGAAGGATTCCACGGCTGAATCGTTGAAGACGGGGCGGTCATCATACATGACCTGCCGTCGTGGAATTTCTTGCAGCTCCCAGCTGTCTGGGACCTGCTGATCTTGTTGCGTCCCTTCTTCATGTTCTTGTTGCGTCATGTTTCCATGGGAAAAAGCATGTCAACTTGACCTAACTTGACCATAAAACTGACCCCCAAAAAAAATCAAAACACCCGCCAAAATATGGAAGAGGCCAAAAATAACATCGCAGTCTTCACGGTAAGAGAATCATCCCCCCTGCACCAGACTTAGGGATGACATGACGCCACCTTGCCACGATATCTGATGGCACAGCCGGCTGCAAAGCCCATCAAAGCCTGGGTGACGCATCCCATTCCCCCGTTCACATGCTCCAAAACATGTGGAAATGTCCTAGACATGTCATACATGTCCTACATGTCCCATGGTTTCCTTTGGGGTGTTTCATAACGGGAGAAGGGACCAATGGTTCAGTGCCTTAGTGACTCAGTGGTTTGGAATAACCCCCCAAATGAAAGGATCCAGTGCTCACGGAAGTCCAGTGGAGTATTTCAAATAAATTCAAATACATCCAAAGAATGTATGGAACCCCAAAATCGTTGGAAAAAAAAACGTATATTGGATATAGGCGTGGAAGCCCATATGGAAGATATACCATGGTTCCATACAATCTATACAATACCTATACTATTTTAAACTGTGTTCCGCAGTTTTTGTAATAGATTGAAATCATATAGTTATATCAGCCATATCTTCAAAAAAGAACTGCCATGAACCATGGAACCATGGTATTTTTCTACGATATAAACCAGATACCATCTGGTTATCTAACATAGCCATGGAAAGATCCACCCATTTTTAAGAGATAAACCATCTGTGAATGGGCCATGGCTTCCATGGCTATGTTAAATAACCAGAGGGTATATATCAATGGAATGGAATAGATGACATAACTATCCGCTAGATGGTATATGATACTGGCATATATGGAACCATGGTTATTTTCTACGATATAAACCATATATATATACCTGAACCCTCCAATGGGGTCACTTTTGACTCATGACCTTCAAATTTTAGGTCGGAACTAAAATTTTAGGTCGGAACTAAAATTTTAGGTCGGATTGCTTGTGATACCCAAATTTTAGGTCGCAAGAAAAAGAAAACAAGAACATTGAAGAATTGCTATCGCGTCTTCTGAAATCAAACAAAACGCCTGTTTGCGCAATGGAAATGCCCAAAACATAGCTGGCATTGACCCAAACAAGGTATTGATAAGTTTTGACTGGCTATTCGTGGACAATCTACGTTGCGCACCCCAGTTTGCAGTTGCCCGGTAGTTTTATCAAGCCCACTGGGTACAATGCAAGGATGATGATTTGACAAAAACACGCACCTGCATTTGCGAAATTTGCAGCACAACAGGATCAAAACACTTGAAAGATCGAAAACCCACAAAGGAGAAGACCCTGTTGCCCAACAGTCATATTGTCACCTTCGTTGTTGTATATTGTTTTTTATGCAAAAGCACTAGCTACCTCGACTTGTTCGATTTTTTTCTTGCAAGCATTTCGACCTGTTATTTTGTGTCTTATTGAATTTGCAAATTCTTTCAGTATGTTTGTTCTTGTATGTTCTTGTTTCATTCAACCGAAAACCCATGCATGTTGCGCCTGGTGCGGCTTCCGATTCTTGCAACTTCCCCCAACCAACTGTTTTTATATTTAGCATGGCTGGTTGTGGAATCCCCTGCGAGGCAATGTTGCACGTGTTTACCTCAGCATGTGAGCAAAATCTACGAGCTAGCTCATGCATGCCACTGCGAGCGCATGTTCATTTAATCTGTGTTGCCATCTGTTTTACCATCTTGCATCCTCTACATCCATCTTCGTCCATTGTTGCCTTCGCAACCTGCCCAAACTTGACGCCAATGTCTGTTGTATGCGGGATGTTATTTTTTAGATCTATTGGGTTTTCATATTTGTACTACGCATGCTGTTTTATTATCAACCTCATGGGTTGAAAACTATTGTTTCTTATTTCAAAATCCTCTGTTACTTCACAGAAACCAACCCCACTGTGTATAGACAGAGCCTTGGTGGATAAGGCCTGGGCAAGTGCAATTGGTTTGCCACATATGCTCGGTGGGAAAGAGAAGAGCTCCAGAAAAAGTACCACATACGGACTTCAGATACCATCATGAAAAAAAACACATATACCAAAACTGCGAGGAGGTGATATGGGAAAAATGCTTTCACATGTCAAACACAAATGAGATGGGCCACTCATCTCTATGGTCGCTTACCTGTTGATCTTACCAGGTTCAACACGTATACGTCGTTCAATACTACAAACAAACCGCAAAAGAAAAAACAACTTCAAACTTCTGGGAATCAATCAAGCTTGACGGACAACAAATCATATGTATACATCCAGGGAATTGGCGGCAGTTTCCACAAGGTAGGGCACCAAAGGATATTGACTAAACAAGGTACCCAAAGAACAATGGAGCCATTGATGTCGTTTGAAATCTATAGCAAACAAATAATCATCGTGAGGGGTATAGGCGCTGTTGAAGGTGACGTTTTGACAGTTGATGTCTATTGGCCACAGTGGGATGGAATGTGCGAGAAAGAACCAGTGCAAGTTTCAGTGATTGGCCTTTGCTTTGCACAAAGGCAAAGGAAGGTGGCTTTGGCCATAGGTAAAGCTTAGGTAAAGAGATTCAAAGCGCAGTGTTGAGGTTGGGGATTGTGTGGACAACCGTTATATTTCAATCTAAAGTGTTCATTCTGCCTGTGCATGGGGCCATACTTAGCTGACCAGAACCGACAGGATAACAGTGGATAATATTTGAGATAACAATATAGTCCAAGAGCACATGAATTTAATCAAACCAGATTCATGGAAGATCATGGAAGAGAACCAGGCTGGGAAGACTGTTGAAAGTAGCCTTGAAGCAATTAAAGATTGATGTTTTGCCAGCTTCTGCACCTACACATTCCTCTGTGCTTGCAAGACAGTTTCACTGACACATGAGCTAAACCAATCCCCTTTTGCCTACACATGTTTTCCAGCCGTTCTGTTGCTCTTTGGTGATCGGTCCCTTTTGCCCCTTTTGCAAACCAATAACCACTCCAGCTTAAGAGATGCACATGGGAGTTGTACACTTTTGTGACCCAAAATGTCTGCCTTCTGAGCTGGCCTTGCTGCTAAAATTAGACCCAGAGGAACTGGTCGATTTTGATTTGACTAGGGTTTCCGTTTCAAAGTTGGATTGGTTTGGTTGAAATGCTGGCCTGACCAAAAAATGCAAAAAAAAACTCGAATCGCCTGCTCGCTACTTAGAACTCACGTTCTGTCCCCAAAGGTGCGCTTAGGGCAAGCAGTAAAACAATCACAGCTAAGTCCCCAAAAAGACGGCTTAAGAATGTGTACAAAACCCAGAAATTGCATAAGGAAACCAAGAATATGCGTAAGAATGCATAAGAATGTGTAAGAAAATCTAAGCCGCTCGAAACGCGCAGTTGAGTGCAGAAAAGCTCCGCGTAAGAATGCGTAAGAAAGCCAAGAATTTGCGTAAGAAAGCCAAGAATTTGCGTAAGAATGCGTAAGAATGCGTAAGAAAATTTTAGCCACTCGAAATGTACGATTTTGGATATTTGGGACTGGTTATTGCATTTGATTTGTTTAAAACCCCAACTTCCATTCCTGACTATGTTCTCTTTCAAATTATTTCAACTTGCAGGAGCTTCAAAACCGGAGGGCCCTTGGAGTGGGGCAAATCTCATTTCTTCAATTTCTGAGGGGCCTCCCCAGCTTCAGTGGCCACCGGCAATATAGGCCAGTCTAAAACTACTGTAGCACTTTGGGATTTGCAACGGGGGTTTAAGAAACAACGGACTCACAACCTGAACCAAGAAATTTGAAATGTGTGTCAAAGTTTAGCAAAGGTAATCATCTATATGAATCTAACTTCATCTATATATGTTTTGGTTGCATCACGTAGATACAATCTTTGGGCAGCATGTTTGGGTATTTTGTTTCGGTTTGGAAATGTTGTTTGGAATGTCACTCTTTCAACCATGCCTGCTGCAAACCACACACCAGTGGACCAGTGGACCCAATCGCAACCAAAACCAACCTACTGCAATGCAGTGTAGTAAACGCTCAATTCGGACACCGCCCTACTAAACCTCCCTCTTCATATTATTATATATGCATATATATATATGCATGTACCACTAAAGAACCCCTATCTTCCCTTTGAAGAAAGTGTAACAAAGCTGCAACCTACACAAAGCAGCAACCCATTGTGTATACATAATCAGTTTGCGTATTTCTGTAATTTTCTGAGCCTACCTCTTCCGTTATAAGCAGGACTAAGCCCGGTACCATCAGGCTTGAACACTGATTTTTACATTCCAAGAAAAGAGTCTGAAATAGTTCCAAACCTCTTCACATCCTCACTATTTTCTGTGTTCCTTCGTGTTCTTTGCCACCAAGTCACCTTATGGGGCTACAAACTGCTTTGGGGAGGTTGTTTGGTTTTGGCGCCCAGGAATCCTACAATCCGCTTCCCTGACAATCATTTGCATTGACCAGATCACATGTGTTTGATTGTTTTTGCATGCATTTGTTTTTGTTGTTGTTTCCAGCACCAATATGTTTTCCCCGTACTACGGTCCAGACAAACTCACCACACGATGAATGAGAACAGTGTGCAAAGTCCAGCTAAATCCAAAAGGATGAAAATACATCCCCGACAAAGCACACAAACTGGGGTGCACATATCAGCATGCTAGCAGAAATTAAAAGAGGTCGCCTAACAATCAAAGGCGCAAACACCTGAAATGCATGTCGCTACAATCACTATATGTCACTTTATCCAAGCGGAATTATTTAGGAAGAAGGAAGCTGGCAGGCTGGGCTTGTAAAAAGATTGAGCTGCTAGATTCAAGTGCAAGAGGGGTTGTTGGAGCTATACTAACTTTGTTTGGCGGGTTCTGAATGGGACATCCAAAAGGTAAAGATTATATAGACAAAAACAACCAAATGAAAAGGTGCTTTGGAAGCTAGCAGGAAGAGAACGCATATATAACATAACATATCCAACCAAATCAAATGGAAAGCCACTTCCACATACGGTCGTAGTAAGATAAACGCGAAACAGTAGGGCCTTGGGAAAGAACCCATGTCTCACAAAGTTTTGCCCAAGTACAAATGGCACGTCGTTGTATATAGGTTTTATTTTGAATTATTTAATATTAGATATTAATATGTTCCTCAATCCTGATATGAATATGGTTTGCTGAATGTGACAGGACTAGCAGCAGTGATGCGTGCGAACCAAAATATTGAACGCATCCAATGCCCACGGCAGAAATCCCAAGTAAAACAGCGCAGCTGGAACGACAGAAATCAAAACAACAAGAGAGGGGCTACTGATACTCCAAAGACAAATGAAGGCAAATTGATCGATTCGAAGGAAACCATACAGAAGCAATACAACAAAAACAGGACGAACCTGTCCAACAAAAGCGGCAACTGAAATCAAATTGACCTTCAAAATGATAAAAACAAAACACCCTTTCGCAAAAACTGCCAGGCGATAAGGGAAAGACGGAGGTAGACCTGCAGTACCACTGATACTTTGTTTGTGGCAATGGCCGCGAAACATTTTTTTGCCTACTGAGCCTACTGTAATATATTGCAATCCTGTCCAGGGCAATCAGATCTAAAAAGTAAATGAGATGTACATAAATTCAGCTGAACATGTTGAGGAGGAGTAAATTGCAGCTTGCTGCTCTGCAGCTTGAACTAGTGAGTGATTGGTCGAACATGTTCCGCTTGCTTATTGCACAAAGCGATACGCTACAGGAGGATTTTGGATAGTCAGTGCATATATTGGGGTGGAAAGTCCCACATCGGCCTAAAGTAAGAAACATGCTGAGACAATAAGGATGGCTGTGAGAGGCACATGTCCTATAGTTTTCTTATGAACTAAAATTTTAGGTCGGACCTAAAATTTGAGGGTCGTGTCGGGAAAGCATCAAAACTGTATACGTTGGAGGCATCAGGTATATATATATATTATATATATAAACCGATATCTTCCACGCCATGGCCTTTGAAAAACGGAGCCAAGCCACGCCCCCGCAGACCGTGGCGAGGACACGTAGCACGGTCCAACTGATCTGGAAGATGAAGTTGATGTCCGGCCTGGAACATGGGAAAACCATAGGAAAACGACCGGGAAAACCCGGAAAACCGTAGGAAAATGGGAAAACCATGGGAAAACCATGGGAAAACCACAGGAAAATGGGAAAACCATGGGAAAACCATAGGAAAAATGCGATTTAATGAGATTTATAGCTGATTTATAGTATCTAAGCTGGTGAACATAACTCCAAGAACTCTGGTTTATGGGGAATATAGCTAAACATGTTGACATACTAAGTTGGTTTATATACTCATATGACCAAAACTAGGGTTCATGGTAGATTATATCTACAATTATCTATAGTTAATGGGGGTTATAAACCAACAAACATGTGGGTTTATAACCTGTTTGAAATCATCTGATGGTTCTTTTCATCATAACAATTCCAAACCCCATCACTTGAAGGCTGGTTGAAACCCCAAGTCCATAGACCTTTGGGCCACCGAGCATGCTGGCCGGAGCGGAGACAGATGTGAAGACCTAGGGTCTGAAACAGAAAACGCTCCCCGTTGAAGCCGGAGAGAAAGTTCAGAATTGCCGAAAAATGATATGAAATAAAACTCGATCGTGAGCTCAGCCAGCTCCAAAAAATGACCGAAAAAAAAATCCATCTAAACTGCACCTTCATGTGAAGTAGATGCTAAGTTACCCCAAGATAGAAAAAATCCTTCACCAATTCATCACTTGATATCTGGTAATCGAGGTCCCCAGCACCGAAGAGTGCCAGCACATAACATGCCTCCCGGTGCCGGGAGACCAGCCGGGCCCAGCCTATGGTGATACCACAAAACCATACCAAAATCATCCAAAATCTTTGATTTTCCATAAGAAATGATGGGAAATGATGGGACATGATCCAGAAACTCCGGTTTCAACATATCAAACCCCTGCAGAAAAATGCCAAACATGATGCTGTGCTTACATACCATGCTTCAACAGCTGAAACCGGCAACTTTTGGTTCTCTTCAATGAGGTGGGTGCTGGCCGAACTTCCAAGGTGCCAAGCTGCCAGGGATGTTGACCAGCCAAACAATGGTGGGAACCACAGTTGATTTAGGGGATGAAACCACATGTTTGGAACCATAAAATGTGGATGTTTCCATATTAACGGGGGATGGGATAATACATTATAGCCAAAAAGTATACACTAAGTATACGACAGGTCTTGGTTCCGCTAGGTAAATATGGCCGAAATGGCTCGTACACATCAGCGTCTCTCAGTAGAACTTGTCGATGTCGGTACCTGAGGCTGAACATCTGCAGAGCTCTTTAGCGGATGTGTTTAGCTCGACTGGTGAGACTTTCACTGTTGTCATTCTTCAGGGTTGACACGTTGAGAAAAGTTTGGAGAACGTTAGAAGATTAGAAGATCTATCGTCTATTTACCCTCTGGTAATTTAACATTACTATGGAAAATCACCATTTTTAATGAGAAAACTCACTATAAATGGCCATTTTCAATAGCTATGTGACAAATTACCAGAGGGTAACTGTTAGAGGGTCTACCTGGCAGTGGTTCATGTCAGTTTGTGTCACTTTTCATCTACTGATGTGGAATCTTTCAGAAGGGTTTTGAAAAGTGCATGTCGTCTAGGAGGGAGTTGCTGGGTATGGTCTAGCAACGTGATGCAATTCATATCCTTGTAATTCAACCTAGCTATCGAAAATCCCCATGGTTCATATGTAGATCATCAAACCAAATGGGCCATGGTTTCCATAGTTATGTTTACTGGAGAAGGGAAACCTATGGCATCTCCAACTTGCGGCACAAGCCGCCAAACTGCTTTCCCGCACGTGTCTTCTCAACCAAGTTTTTGAGCCGCTTCTGAAACTCCTGGTGGATAGGAAGATTCTGGGTAAATTATAATATTTCACTAACCTGAATCTTGCGGTCATTTGGGGATGATTTCCCTTATTAACCATGATTCCAGGGTTCGGGAGAACAGGGTTCGGTCGTGATGAAAAAATTTACCCAGGAAGGACCTGTTTCATCCTGCGGCTCCCTCGCAAGGCAAGTGATCTACCTGGTAAGTAAAATAAGTACCTGAAATATTAGAAGTGCCTAATCATAATCAGGTACCAATCATAATCAGGTTTGCTGAAATTTGGTACCCTCCAATGGACTCCAAGGATCCAACCCCTTGGTCTCCTGAGGCTCCACATTGCGCTTCTGTTCCACCCAGGCCACGCGAATGCGGCGGTAGGAGCCGCTAAAGCTGCGCCAACAACGGCGCGCGGCCGGCTCCTGCAGGGATTTTATCGCGGAGCACTTTGGGAAAAATGACCACTTCACCGAGCAAAAAGGAAGATGTGTGAAGAACTTGCTTGCTGCAAGACTGATATTTGCCCGCCCTAAAGTTGTGGAAGGGTTGCGTATTTCCATCTGTCTATGTGATAAACATGTATGTATATGTGTATAATATAAAAATATAATATAATATAATATAATATAATATAATATAATATAATATAATATAATATAATATAATATATACACATATGTTTATATATGATTATATATGTATACCTGCATATCCCACTCAACATATTGTACAGAGGGGGTGGGAGATTTGATCCCTCATGAAGATAAGTGGTGGGTTTGCCCATCCGGGTTTTCTGCCATTCTATGCCATTGTTTTCCCAACATGTTTAGACTTCACCAGTCCTTCTCCAGTGCCGAAACGATATCTTTGGGCCACTTAAACTTGGCCTGGCAAGGTCTTCTCAGCTTGAGCTAACTTCCTTGACCCTTGAGGTAACCAGAAAGATGGGGAAAACCTGGGGCAAAGTATGGAAAAAATTGTGATAATCAGGGAAAATGAGAAAATGCAGGGGTTAAAAATCCATTCTCCCGGGTGCCAGACATATTTCACATTGCCCCGCAGCACTCCTATTTGGCTGGCATACCTAGTAAGTTGGCAGTGCCTCTCTGAAACTTGGTGCCCCCACCTCTACCCACAAGTTGCCCCACAGCACTCAGTACGGTTCGAATAAGTCAACAAAACAGGTGCCTTCAGCACATGGGCAATCTTTGGCCTCACCTCTGGCTGAGAGACTGAAGGGGACTGCTGCTACTAGGAAGATCTGAGAGGTTTTGTGCTGCGCAAAGCTTTGCTTGGACACTCAAGTGAAAAATGGTCTAGAGCAATCGGTGTGTCCATTCACAACAGGACAGTAAGTTGTGGATCTGTTTTCCAAGACAAATGACCTACGTTTCTGCAACTACAGTGACACCATCAATCAAACGACCACGCTGGTCAATCCCAACCCTTCCCCCCCTCCAACCAAGAAAAACCTACCCCCAACACATCCCCTCCCCCGACCTCCGGATGGATCAACTTCTTTCGATCCAGCCATTGCAAACGCTCCACGTTGGGCTGCGAGTAGTTCTCCGAAATCTTCCGCCGCGGCGTGTAGCGCTGCATCCCCAGAGTGCTACTCAGGGGGCGGTAGGTGCTGTCGATCCAGCCGAAGCACAAGGCCTCCTGGGAACGTCACACGCTGCTGGAAATGTGGCGCTGAAAGGGTGAATACTGACGAGTACAGTACCCATTTGCGAGCCACTAGCATTGAAACCAGCATGGACGTGGGAAAAATAACATGAAGAAACTGAGAAACTCTCATAAATCTCGTAAAATAGACTGATCACTTGCGAAGTCGTTGTCAGAGGGGGTTCAGCCATTGCACTTCGCAGGCTTCCCACCGATTGCAGGGTGGTAAGGGTGAGAGTTGAGACTGCGCAAGTCAATCCGCAGCCAGAAAACTATGAATCTGGCCCAGCAGATGGCATTGATCAGGCTGGGATCACCCCTTAAAAAAAAATCTGGTGATAGGAATATAATATTTGTCGATGCCAGCTGTCGCATGCATGTGTGTTTTCCTGTTGCAGGCATGTGCAACATAGCATTTCACCATCCCCCACTGTTTTGGGCTCACAGGGCGCCCTTTGAGTGGCACGAGGCTACATGGCGGATCAACCGCATTGAGACCGAGAAGGAAAACAACTGCTGCCCATCCGCAACTTCGTGCGTGTGCTTGGGAGATCTGGTTTGGGTACGGGTTCCTCCTGATAATCCCCTACTACCAGATCGATATTGGTAGCGGAGCCCAATCTGGGCTGCCGCAGGTACTTCGTCCTGAACTTGTTCATCACCCTTGCCTTGGACTTCGGTGGCAACGATGGTGGGTGGACAAGCATCAGACGGTGCCAACAACCCTGGAGGAGCTGCAGTACCAGGTGGATCTGCTGGTGCTAATGGCCCTCAACATGGTGGAGCAATAGCAAATGGAGCTCAAGGTCAGAACGAGTTCAGCCGTGGTTTGGACTCAGGTTTGGCCAAAGCAGCACCATCTGCTGCTGGACTGACGCAGTCCACATACAGGTCCTTCAGAAGGAGACTTGACCTGTTCAGCCGACAATGTAGAAGACGAGGTCAAGGAGTAGCTCTTGAAGGAGCTTATCTAGTTCTTTCACAACTACAAGACGTAGCATGGGAAGCCACAGAGGGATTGGACTACGATGACATGGAGCTGAGCGATGATCCCTTCAAACCCTTGCTGGTCATCTTGGACAGACTTTTTCAACATGAAGAAGAAGTAGAACTCCCTGAACGGTGCCAAGAGTTCTTTGAGAAGTTTGCCCGAGAACGAGGTGAAGAACTACAAGCCTACTTGGTGAGGCATCAGTCGATGCTTCGAAAGCTGAAAGAGCTCCAGGTGGACATACCACCCCTTCTTGCTGGTTGGCATCTTTTGCAAAGGTCTGGAGTGCCGCGGTGGACCCATGTCCAGGTCAAAGCGATGTGCAACGGAGACATGTCAGTTGACCGAGTCTCCAAAGCTTTGATCCGAATGTTTGGCGGTGACAGCAAGCCGAACGCCAAGGACTCCATTCTCAAAGGTGAGATTCACTATATGGATGCCGAGTATGATGACCTTGAGGACTATGGCTTTGACGATGTCTACTACCAGGATGATGACGCCTACACCTATGGCTATGATCCTGACTATGACGACACCATTGATGAGGTGGAATACACAGGTGAAGCTGACGAGGACATCCCGCAGGAGCTTGATGAAGCCTCACTTGCAGTGGAGGATGCATTCATCAACTACTTGGACTCTAGAAAGAAAATGCGGGAACTTGCTCTCAGCCGAGGTTTTTACCCTGTGGTTGCCATCGGCATGGATGACAATGGTGGTGCGTTCAAGGGGCGTGGAAAAGCCTCTGGTGGAAAGGGCAAGTCAAAAGGAAAAGGCCGTGGAAAGAGCAGCGGAGGAAAAGGCAAATCTGCTGGAAAAGGACACCCTTTGCCTGGTGCGCGACGATACGTTTTTGGACGTCGGCGTGCAGGTGAATCTACATCAACTGCTTCGACAACGGCATCTGCAAAGTCCACAACCAGTGGAAGCACGTCTCAGCATGGCCCAAGATTCAAGCGCTACAGGCTTCCAGCCAATGGCATTAAGGAAGTCCCTGAGGAAGTCACCATGGTGGAGGACAACTTCGTCAGCGAGGTGAATCAGATCCCTGTTGACTACACCACCCATGAGAGCATCAACTTTGTCAGCCAAGCTGTTGGTTGGGCTATCATGGACAGTGGAGCTACTCGCACAGTCTGTGGTGAAGCCAGCTGGAACAAGATCTTGGACTACCTCAGCTTGAGGAACATGGAGCCTGACATCGACAAGGAGACAAAGGATTTCAGGTTTGGAGATGGTGCCATGGTGAGATCGCTTTTCAGAGCGATGATCCCTGTCTGCGTTGGCAAGACCTGGCGACAACTCATTGTGCACGTCCTTCCAGGACACACCCCTTTGCTCTTGGCACGCCCAGATCTTGAATCTTGGCAGACGGTGGTGGACTATGGAAGAAAAACTGTGATGATCGGTGATGTGCAGGTGAAGCCAGCGTTCACAACCAACGGGCACTACATGATCAACATCTTTGACGACCTTGAGGACGTCTTGAGCTTTGCAGAGCTGGACAACATCGACGTTTCTGTGGAGACCTTCGTGGATTCAATGATCACCGATGAGGTCTCTGACTTTGAGGCCGACCTTGACGTTGAGGTGTCAGAAAAAGAAGCGGAGGAGTTTGTCTTCGCTGCAAGCATGAAAAGCCAACAACACGAGCGCAAGCTCAAGTTTTGGGAAGTCTATGTGGATGAAGGGAACCTGAGCAAGTACCTGCAACGAGCATATCATGATGTGGAGGTCCGGCAGTTTTCTCTGCCAACTTGGAACTTTGAGATGAAAGAGCAACAAGCCGCTTTTCGACGTCTTGTTGAGCAAGAAGAACCTCATCACATCATGGTGACTCCTGAATGTCGTCTCTGGTCACCAATGCAGAATTTGAACTACAGAACACCAGAGAGACGGGAATTGCTCAGAGATCTGAGGGTCTTGGAAGAAGAGACCCACTTGACCTTTTACAAGGACATCCACATCGACGGCAAGCGCCTGGTCTATGACACAACTTTTGAGAACCCTGCAGACGCAGCTTCATTCGAAACCCCAACTTTGGACTCCATGAAGGGCTACTTTGAAACAGTCCTGGATCGCTGCCGCACAAAGCTGAAGGCAAGTCCTGAGGACGAGATGTATGTGAGAAAGCCCACAAGGTTTCGATCAAGCTCAAGAAAGGTCTGCGAGGCTGTGAACTTGCGTTGTGAATGCCCCCGAGGAGCTCATGTCCAAATGATGGGACGCGGCTCTGTCCTCAAGAAGATGCAGAACTACGAGCCTGAACTTTGCCAACGTCTTGGCAATGCCATTTACTCTGCAATGGAGATGGCATGGAAGAAACGAGGACAAGCTGAGCTGATGACCATGGAGGTCGTCGAGAAATCGACTGAAGAGATGCAGTACCTGGAACAGAACAAAGAGCTCATCAAGATCGGTGGCCATGAGATCCTGAAGTCGGTGGCCAATCTCCATCGACAACTTGGACATCCAAATGGAGCCAAGCTGGTTCTGGCGGTGAAGGCACGACACCTTCCCAATGAATTTGTCCAGGTGGCCCGGAGGTACAAGTGTCCGACCTGTTTGGCCAGGGCACAACCCAAGAATGTGCGTGTGGCGACTTTGCACAAATCCCCACACTTCAACCACTCCGTGGCCATCGACACCTTCTACGTGGAATGGGATGGCAAACAGCGTGCGGTCTTCACCATCATGGATGAGTTCAGTCGCTATGAAGTTGACATGGAGATCAAAGAAGAGACGGCCGACATGGAGATAGCTCTCTTCGAGTCAACTTGGAGCCGATCTTTTGGGTTCCCAAAGGTTTTGCGACTGGATGCCTCTGGTCCTCATCAAGGGCAACAATTTGCCGATTGGGCATCTGCCCATGGAATGTACATGGACCTGATCCCACGAGGTGCTCATCACAGGCTTGGAATCCTGGAAAGAAATCATGCGGTCCGACGACGCATGCTGGAGATCTTCCACAAAAACATGCCCGAGCTGGACTTTGAACAAGCCATCTTGGTGACCTGCCATCAGAGAAACCGTTTGTCTTCGGTGGAAGGTGCCACGCCTGCCACTTTGGCATTTGGCTACGTTCCCTCCGAAGGAGGCAATGCTGATGACCCTGGACCCGAACAATTTGGTGACTCTGCTGACTTGGCGCAGGTCATGGAAGTCAAACAGAAGGCTGCACAGGCCTTCCACTCTGCCAACTTTGACCTGGCGGTTCGATCAGCCGCTTTGGCTCGATCACGTGTGGATGAGGACGAGCTCATGGTGGGAGACTATGTCTACTACTGGAAGCCACAAACCCACAAGCTCGACCCTTTCAGGTGGCGTGGACCCGCGATGGTGGTGTCCGTGGAAGCCTCAATTGACCGAAAGACCATGATGTACTGGATCGTCCATGGAAGCTCACTGGTGCGAGCAACACGACAGCAGCTACGCTTTGAGACTGTCCCTGAGCGCTACGAGCGTCAGAGCAAGCCTGCCTACCTTGAGAGCGTGCAGAAACCCTTGCAACAACGACTTTTGGAAGCTCTCAAGCCAGTGCGTGGTCCAGTGAGGGCCATTGACATTGCTGGCAAGGCTCAATCTCCTGACGATTTTCCTCAGCTTGGGGGGACTGGAGCAGCCGCTGTCGCACCTGGTGATGCCCCTCCACATGAACCACATGAGCCTCCTGACCCACCGAAAACTGATGACAAATCAAAATCGAAAACTGCAACTGCAGAACTTGACACTCCCGGCAAACCTGCCGACAAGTCCAAAGCTCGGCCGAAGGCCAAGCTGCCTGAACCCCGAATCGACTTTTGGGTCGACTACCCCGACAGTGAGAAAACCGAATCTGAATCCAAGACCACTGACAAGACTCTCTTGGATGAAATGGTGGCCAACAAGGACAAGAACCTGGATGACCACACTCAAGGCATGACCGACATCCAGAAGGAGATGAAACGGAAGCTGGAGGAAGAACATCCGGGCATCATGGACTCCTCGCATGGGGTGATCGACAGGCAAGATGATGAACCACCTGTGGACCCTGATGATGTGAGCGTTCGAGCCCGTGACAGACGCTTCTATGAACAAGCAGTACGTGCTGCCAGTTTCCTCTCCCACGAGAACAACCGACGACTGGATGGACTGCCTCCTTCCGGACGACAACTGCCTGCAAGTGCTGCCGCACAAGCATCACGACCTGCTGCAAATCTGGTGCCTCCCCGAGCTGATGATGGTCAACCGAAAACCAAGCAACCTCGAACTGAGGAAGTGCGCATGGTGGAGGTCCCTGAGGACGAGGTCATGATGGCGGTCGTGGAGAGTCGGCTGTCTGCCGATGAGAAAAGAGCCTTCACAGAGGCCAAGCGCAAAGCTCTGGTCCCATGGCACGAGAACGATGCTTGGAGGCCCTTCAAGAGGACAGCCTGCCCTCCTGGAACCATCGTGCCGATGAGGTTCCTCTTGCGTTACAAAGAGAACAAGCCACATGCTCGAGTCATTCTCCAAGGCTTCAAGCACAAGGATGTCATCGAAAGCAAGCTCGACACAGAGTCACCCACGGTGTCGAGACTTGGCAAGTACCTGATGGTGACGCTGTCTTGCGTCAAGAGATGGAAGCTTGCCACCATGGATGTGAAGTCTGCATTTTTGCAGTCGGACTACATCACCGAGGAGGTGGAGATCTATGGTGAGCCCTCAGCTGACATGAGACGCTTGTTGGCTGAGATGATGGGACTTCAAGAACATCAGGTGATGCAGATGACGAAGCCTGCCTTTGGAGATGTCAGAGCACCCAGACAGTGGAACGAAACGGCCGATCGTGCGTTGATCCACGAGGTCAAGCTGTGGAAGCACGAGCTCGATGGCTGCATCTACATGTCAGTCAGACTGGCAGTGGATGGTGACCCTCCTTTTGAGGTGTTCGAGCACGAGGGCAACAACTATGTGGTGGACGGTGTCTTCTGCATCCATGTGGATGACATCTTGACTGCAGGAGAGGGCGTGCGCTGCAAAGAAGACGCACGGGAGCCCCATGGTGAGCCGACTTGCTATGCAGAGAGACTGTATGTCCTCTTGCATCGCTTCAAGTTTGGCAGCGTCGACTATGGCGACAAGCAAACGTTTTGTGGATGTCAAATGACACAAGCCCTGGACTCTGCCACTGTCACCTTTGACCTGCAGAAGTACATCCACCAGCTCAAGCCCCTCAACATCGAGAAGGCCAGAAAAGCACAACCCAACGACAAGGCCACTCCGAAAGAGCAGAGCCAGTTGAGAGGTTTGCTAGGTGGGCTAGCCTGGCCTGCCAACCAAACGCAACCACACCTGGCAGCGTCTGTGTCCCTGGCTCAGGCCGCTTCTGCTTGCGCAACCGTTTCTGAGTTGCTGGAAGCAAACAAAACGTTGAGGTATGCCAAAGAAAGCTCAGACGTGCACTTGGTTCTCAGAGGTCACGGACGTTTGGAAGAGATCCGGTTTGGGATCTACAGTGACGCGTCCTGGTGCACAAGACCAGACGGGAGTTCCCAAGGTGGCTGGATCACCTTTGTCGCGACTGAGGCGGAGATCGGTGGCGACAAGCCTTTTCCCCTCACCGTGATTGACTGGTCTTCACGAAAGCTGACCCGAGTGTGCCGAAGCTCGCTCAGTGCAGAAGCTCAAACTTTGGCAGCTGCAATCGACAGCCTGGAGTGGACCAAAACGGTGTTTGCCCTGATGATCTGGCCAGCTCTTCGACCAGACAATGAAGAGATGATGCGCTGGTTGGGCGACTCACCTTGCATCACTGATGCCAGAGCTCTCTTTGATGCCAGCAACAGCAAGGCCCCTGGGATGAAACTTGCTGAGAAAAGAACTGCAATCGAAATCAAGATGGCATGCGAACGCATGGCTGCAGCTGGAGGAGTGCTCAAGTGGTGCAACAGCCATCAGCAGTTGGCTGATGGGGTCACAAAGGTGTCAGCACGGCAAAAGCTTGCAATGGAGCTTCGACGCCGCATGCACTGTCTGAGATATGATCCTGAGGGAACAGCTTCAAAGAAGGTCAAGCAGATCGTTCGCCAGGACGAGCAAGATTCACTTGATCAAGCTGCTCAGGAGTTCCAAAAACAACAAATGGTGAAGGATGGCATCTACAAGATCGAAGAGATGGAGTCAGAAGAAAAGATGGAGTGCAACATCTGCCTCCTGGACGGCTGTGGTTTGCCAGCTGAAGATGGCAAGCGTTTCTGTTCGAAGCGCCACTACCACGCCGCAAAGCACAAGCAGAGCAAAACAAGCTCAGCCAAGAGCACCGGAGTGATTTGGTGCATGACTCTTGCGAATGAGATCGTACCCGTGGCTGCTCTTGAGTTTGGGTTTGTGATCTTCCTCAGCTTTGACAAGATCGTCGGGTTCTTCTTTTTCCTGGCCTTTGCCTTGGTGTTTGCGTATACCCTGGGCAAGCGTGCTGGACGCCGAGAAGTCCATGGTCTCATGGCTACGACTGAGCCAGTGGAGACAGCTGAGGGAGAAACACAGGCACCGCCGACACCGCGAACCAGAGCGGTGACTGACTGCCAACGCTTCACGGCAGCTGAGCTCTCTTTCCTGCTGGGCGAAGGCTACGAGGTTTGGTCCGATGACAAGGTGGAGCAGATCCGGCGTGACTTCATCGCTGAGTTGCCTCCGTCCATCGAGGACTACCTGCCCCAGTCCGAGATCGACAAGCTGATGGCCGGTGAAGAGACCGCAGCTCAGGTACCAACAGCACCTGAGGAATGGAATGGCATCAGCCGCCAGCAGAGAGAGGAATTGATCCAAATTTTGGACGACAGTCTTCTCCTGGGCGTTCCCTGTGGTGCCATGTGCCCAGAGCTGCGAGATGAAGCACGAGCCCTGCGAGCTCAACTGACGACCGTACGGGTCGTGGAAGGTGAACTACAACCTCTGAGGGTGGTAATGAGTTCAGTGCCAGATTTGCCTGTTGGAACAATTTTGAGTTCCAGCTCTGGCCGTAGCAACGGATAGCTGAGCAGGTACAGACGACATTTTTGGGCCTCTTTTCACTCCAATTTTTCTCTTTTGGGCCTGCGTCGATGCCAGCTGTCGCATGCATGTGTGTTTTCCTCTTGCAGGCATGTGCAACATAGCATTTCACCATCCCCCACTGTTTTGGGCTCACAGGGCGCCCTTTGAGTGGCACGAGGCTACATGGCGGATCAACCGCATTGAGACCGAGAAGGAAAACAACTGCTGCCCATCCGCAACTTCGTGCGTGTGCTTGGGAGATCTGGTTTGGGTACGGGTTCCTCCTGATAATCCCCTACTACCAGATCGATAATATTATAATACATTTCTATAGTTTTATACCAAATATATATATATACATATATATATAGTTATGCTATGTATATAAATATATTATCCTATATAATACAGCATATATCACTAAAAAAAACATGGCTTCCCCCTGCCCGGCCATCCTCCACCGCGTCATTGTAGCGCACGCTTGGCAGCTTGGACTCCTTCTTTGGGACGACCAACCAAACCTCAGCGAAGCGAAGTCCGGCTGGTTTTTCCAGGTAAAAATGGGATGTGAAACATATAATAATAGTATAGTTAAACCATTAATAGTATAGTTAAACCACCTGAGAAGGGGTGGAACGAAAGCCAGCGCTTGCTTTTTGACTCGCGCGGGGGCGCGTGAAACTCCACCTCATCCATATGGCATGGCTCAAACGTGAAGCGCCACAACATCAACAAATGCTATCGGGTCATAATTTTCCAAGCATTAAATGGACCTTTTTAGGGTAAACTCCACGATTTTGTAACTTCTATATCCAAATATGTTTCCTACAATGTACTGCGGCATTGTGAAAAGTTCTATCTCAAGTTCCTCAAATCCGCCTTTGGTTGCTCATTTATCTTAAAACAGCGCAAGTTTGCTCCCACCTATTTTTTTGTGTGAACAGTGGTCATGTGACCTCTCAAAGTCTAAATTGTTTTCTCCACAGAATCGTGGTCCATGCTTCTCCGCGAAGTTCCGCAACATTTTGGCCGTACGGTGAGAAATCAAAACATAGCTCTACTCGCAAAATGGGCAGTGCAAACCCAAGACAATATTGTAACATACGTAAGAAAGGGTATAAGAACGAATGAAAATCGAGGAAAACAATGCAAAGCCACGGGAAATATAGAACAGTGGCGAACATGCAGTCCAAATCAAAAGTATATATATTTAGGCCATTTACAGACCTGGGTACCCCCCCCACCCCCCCAAGGGTCTGGAAAATAGGTATTTTACAGGAAATGTCGCGGAATAGCATCATCCCTGACATCGATAGAGATAATTGTTTGGCATCCCGGAAAATCTTCTCAGCTATCACACTCGCCAAACATCCCTTTTAAAAGGCACACATACTATCACGGACGTACAGATGCATATCATTCCCGTCATTGCCATTAGAAGATTCAAATTCTTTCTCGATGTTTTAGTACAAGATTCACTTTTAGTTCTGTTTCAGCCTTCTCAGTACGGCCTCTTACAATGATATTACAGCATTTGTCTCCTAACCTAGGTGGCTCCTGGGCGCAATCTTCATTCCAATGCTTTGTGACAATAACCAGAGGCCTGGAGCCTATGCATCACTTGACAGTCGACTCAGTTCTAAACCGGAAAGACTATTCCTTCCGTTTACCAGTAGATCGTTTTTGTAGTTCTTATCACAAAACTACCAGAATCAGGGAGGCACCAAAAAACGTCAAACAGTTTTAAGCATTATAAATACTCTAATCTGCAGATTGTATTTATTTTTCTTACTCTGTGAACGAAATCACACTTTTCTAACTTCACACAGATTACCATGAAACCAATTTTCCCATGCAACTCCTAAAATCTTACAACTCATACATCTTTTTTCCTATACCATCCGCATCTTGCTCCAAGGTTTCATGGCAATGTCTTGTACGCGAGTCAGCCACTATTTCCTATCACCAAACTACATTGCTCATCATCTAACATTATCTACAGAAACCAAATCGGATTTCCTGCTCAACGTTTCCGCTCGTTAACATTGTCTTGGTTTTCACTATATTTTTAAAGCATTTTTAGTTATAACATGTTCCTAGGTTTTCACTGTATTTTTCTAACATGCTACATGCCTCCTAGCATGTTCACGCGTGTCCTCCATGTTGCACTGTTTTCTACATCGTTTCCTCTAGTTGTTACAAGCATTTCCTAGCTTGCACACCGTTTTCCTAATATTGTCACAACTTTTCTTCCAGTTTCCACTGCTTTTTCTACCGTTTCCTGTGGTTACTTTCTTCTCTTTTGTAGGTTTTCACTGTGTTTTGTCCAGCTTTTTTTAATTACATGCTTCCTACCATTTTCACCGCTTTCCTCTATGGCTTTTTGTACCATTTCCTCTCGTTTCCTGCATTTCATGCATTTTCAATATATTTTTCCAAGAGTTTTACCCGTCTCCTTCAGTTTCCGATCGTTTTTGCACCATTTCCTCTGGTTGTTATCGCATTTTCCTGCACTTTCACTGTATTTTTCCAGCATGTTTACTGCATCGTCATAGTTTGTTCCTAGCAGTCGCACCGGTTTCCTCCATGTTCCAACAGATTTTGCACCCTTTATTCTGGTTGTTATCACATTTTCCTGCCAGGTTGTTATCACATTTTCCTTCACTGTATCTTTCCAGCATTTTCCAGTGGATTTTGCACGATTTCCTCTGATTGTTATCATGTTTTCCTGCAGTTTCTATATCATCTATATCCTCTTCGTGGGTTTTCAGTCTATTCATGCATGTTTAATCTATTTTTCCAAGATTTTTACCCGTCTCCTTTTTGCACCATTTCCTCTGGTTTGCTGCATTTTCAATGTATTTTTCCAAGAGTTTTACCCGTCCCCTTCATTTTCCGATCGGTTGTTATCGCATTTTCCTGCACTTTCACTGTCTTTTTCCAGCATGCTTACTGCATCGTCATGGTTTGCGCCTAGCATTCGCTCCGGTTTCCTCCATGTTCCAAGGGATTTTCCATGGTTTGTTCCTAGCATTCGCTCCGTTTTCGTTCGTTTTCCAGGGGATTTTGTACGATTTCCTCTGATCGTTATCATGTTTTCCTGCAGTTTCATTGTATTTTCCAATACATCCTCATGGCCTCTCCGGCCACCAAAAAGGCGGACCTAGGGGGAATCGATACCCCACCGTCAGCAAATTACCTAGTGATACATAATCCAGCAAAATGCTCAACACAGGGGCACGGCGAGATTTCGTTCCCTTTCGGCAACCACCCCCCACACCCTCTATTCTCACTTCGTTCGCAAACAGCAACTAGCCAGCTAGCTGGCTTTCGTAATTTTTTAAAGCATTTTTAGTTATAACATTTTCCTAGGTTTTCACTGTATTTTTCTAACATGTTACATGCCTCCTAGCATGTTCACGCGTGTCCTCCATGTTGTACTGTTTTCTACATCGTTTCCTCTAGTTGTTACAAGCATTTCCTAGCTTGTACACCGTTTTCCTGATATTGTCACAACTTTTCTTCCAGTTTCCACTGCTTGTTTCTACCGTTTCCTGTGGTTACTTTCTTCTCTTTTGTAGGTTTTCACTGTATTTTGTCCAGCTTTTTTTATTACATGCTTCCTACCATTTTCACCGCTTTCCTCTATGGCTTTTTGTACCATTTCCTCTCGTTTCCTGCATTTCATGCATTTTCAATATATTTTTCCAAGAGTTCTACCCGTCTCCTTCAGTTTCCAATCGTTTTTGCACCATTTCCTCTGGTTGTTATCGCATTTTCCTGCACTTTCACTGTATTTTTCCAGCATGTTTGCTGCATCGTCATAGTTTGTTCCTGCAGTCGCTCCGGTTTCCTCCATGTTCCAACAGATTTTGCACCCTTTATTCTGGTTGTTATCACATTTTCCTGCCAGGTTGTTGTCACATTTTCCTTCACTGTATCTTTCCAGCATTTTCCAGTGGATTTTGCACGATTTCCTCTGATTGTTATCATGTTTTCCTGCAGTTTCTATATCCTCTTCGTGGGTTTTCAGTCTATTCATGCATTTTTAATCTATTTTTCCAAGATTTTTACCCGTCTCCTTTTTGCACCATTTCCTCTGGTTTGCTGCATTTTCAATGTATTTTTCCAAGAGTTTTACCCGTCTCCTTGATTTTTCCGATCGTTTTTGCACCATTTCCTCTGGTTGTTATCGCATTTTCCTGCACTTTCACTGTCTTTTTCCAACATGTTTACTGCATCGTCATAGTTTGTTCCTAGCAGTCACTCCGGTTTCCTCCATGTTCCAACAGATTTTGCATGGTTTGTTCCTAGCATTTTCCTCTGATCGTTATCATGCTTTCCTCAAGTTTCATTGTATTTTCCAATACATCCTCTTCGTGGGGTTTGAATATGTTTTATCCATTTGATCTATCAGTTCTTTCACACCTTGGAAAGACGTCCCACCAATCAAACGGAGGTACAGTCATCCGATCTGCTGCTCTCCAACACATCTCTTACTTTCATTCGGTACCATGATCACTCCACTTCTCCAACCCTCTAGCTTTTAACGTTCTCCACTTGCACTCGTCGCAATACATTTTCCTAGCGTTCTCAACACTTCTGCCACTACTTTCGAAACCCGGGGGGGGAAGCAGGTCTGTAAATTGCTATATTTTTGTCCACCAATTTCCAACACTTTTCCTCTTTTTTAACGTCGTTTTCGCAGAAAATCCTGCGCGCCACTGGTCTTTCCATCGTTTCCGCTCGTTAACATTGTCTTGGTTTTCACTATATTTTTTAAAGCATTTTTAGATGTAACATTTTCCTTGGTTTTCACTGTATTTTTCTAACATGTTACATGCCTCCTAGCATGTTCACGCGTGTCCTCCATGTTGTACTGTTTTCTACATCGTTTCCTCTAGTTGTTACAAGCATTTCCTAGCTTGTACACCGTTTTCCTAATATTGTCACAACTTTTCTTCCAGTTTCCACTGTTTCTTCTACCGTTTCCTGTGGTTACTTTCTTCTCTTTTGTAGGTTTTCACTGTGTTTTGTCCAGCTTTTTTTATTACATGCTTCCTACCATTTTCACCGCTTTCCTCTATGGCTTTTTGTACCATTTCCTCTCGTTTCCTGCATTTCATGCATTTTCAATATATTTTTCCAAGAGTTTTACCCGTCTCCTTCAGTTTCCAATCGTTTTTGCACCATTTCCTCTGGTTGTTATCGCATTTTCCTGCACTTTCACTGTATTTTTCCAGCATGTTTACTGCATCGTCATGGTTTGCGCCTAGCATTCGCTCCGGTTTCCTCCATTTTCCAAGGGATTTTCCATGGTTTGTTCCTCGCATTCGCTCCGTTTTCGTCCGTTTTCCAGGGGATTTTGTACGATTTCCTCTGATCGTTATCATGTTCTCCTGCAGTTTCATTGTATTTTCCAATACATCCTCATGGTCTCTCCGGCCACCAAAAAGGCGGACCTAGGGGGAATCGATACCCCACCGTCAGCAAATTGCCTAGTGGTACATAATCCAGCAAAATGCTCCGTTTTCTGGCGCTCAACACAGGGGCACGGCGAGATTTCGTTCCCTTTCGGCAACCACCCCCCCCCACACCCCCTATTCTCACTTCGTTCGCAAACAGCAACTAGCCAGCTAGCTGGCTTTCGTAATTAATAGTATAGTTAAACCATTAATAATCCAATAGTAACTATAGATCATTGATTATTTATCATCCATTAACTGGTTAACTGGTATTTTCTGGAACAAAAATGGCAACACATATGGAAAAACAAAATCCATATGTCACTGGAAAATAATGGAACATGTGGCAAAAAAAAAAACATCCAGTGTTGCTTTTATGGCCGTTGCTTTTTGTTGGTCTCATTCCCCTTTCTTCAAATGGGAAGATTTTTCTTCGCCACATTTCGTGGGAGATTCAGACAGAAACTCCTAGTTGGAAGAGGAGAACATTGGGGGGTGAGCATCACCCATGGATCCTGAAAACCATGGAGTTGTCGCAATCCAGCCAATCTATTCCCAATACTGGTTTCACCATGGTGGGCTAGCAGTCGCTTTGTCGCTTTTGCTAGCATCCTCAGGATCAACTGATGGATGGTACAATCGTAATTCCTGCAACACCTGCAAACCATCATCATTCACCTTTGCGATTTGCAGTCTAAAATTTCTCTGAGAAAATAACGTGAAAAGATGTCCAATAGATGTTTCACCAGCCTGAGATTGCAAATGATCCCATTTAAGTAACCCCCAATTCAAATCCAAATACATAGCCAAGATTTGCCACATGTCTTGCTTCAGCATTTTGGGATCCCAGCTATCATGTCGGGAATCTCAATTCGTAGCTCCCCAATGCTCCCCAGGTTAGAGGGAGAAACAGTTGGATACAACCCCAATGCTCAGTTAAGTTTCCTCTATTTACCGGATCAATGTGTAGTTTATGTACATCATCCCAATTCATCCCACCATTCAGAAACTAATTAGTTCCCTCCAGGCACCAGGCCAGGCAGGCTGGGCCAGGCCGCATAACTCTTGGATTTGAAGTTTTTGCCCAGCCAGCTGCGCCACTTCGCCCGACTCGCCGCATAGAACGCGTCGGAGGGCACCACCGACAACTCGCTTTTGGGCGCGCCGAGCGTCCGTGGACGCGGGGACGTGGTTTTGGCCGCGGGGCGCTTCATCACCGGACACACAACAGGCTGGTCATTTGATGTTGTGAACCAATTCATTTTCGATTCAAAAATGTTGAGCCATATCTGCTTGAACGATGCTGGTTCAACCGATTCCGAAAACAGTGGACATTTGATTGCCAGCGCGGTAAGCGTCCGTAAGCGCGGCTTGAAGCCAAAAACTTTGTGCAAGCATGGCAAGACCGATGTGTCTGAGTGGCCTCTAAGCCGTTCCTCTTTCATGAATGCTATATAGATCTTTCTTGTGAGAGCTGAGTGCATAAGTCGATGCCACCCTCCAGGGTTTCCTTGAAGGCCCCCGGAAAGAGTTTGTTCATGTACAGGGTGAAAATGCTATATGGCTCTGGCAAATCAAAAATGGTGCACCAATGAACCCACAAAAGGAGTCATGTTCAAGAATAGACCAGTCAAATTCAATTTTGGGTGCAAAAAATCTTCAGCGATGCTGGGCGGACGTCGTTTCTTACCCCAGGCACCCAGAAGTTACCCCATCCCCATGGCACACAGGGTTACCCCAGGCAAACCGGAAGTTACCCCAGAGACCAAATCCTATTGGCACACTGGTACCGCGCCATCGTTTGTTTTGCAAACAAAGTAGTTAAAATGTGTCCGTGCCATTGCGAAACACATATTTAATACCATCTCCTTCGGTGATAAAACCATGTTGAAAGTTGGCAACCGCCAGTGGCACACACGCATTGACAGCAAAACAGCTGCTTTCCATCCAAATGAGAAAAGAAGCCAATTCTGCAGCACACGCCCCGTTTTCTTGTCATGACTCTGGACATGGATTCGTTTGATTTCGGTACTTTAATTATCTGCTTCCCAATGGCACACCTAGTGCGAAATAAGTCGTGCAAAGCATCTCTGACCCGAGCCCCGGCGTGACCCTACGCCATTTACTAGAACTTGCGCCAGCCGCATGGCACCTTGCCCAGAAGCAGCAGCACAAGCAACAACAGCAGCAGCAGCAGACTAAGCAGCAGACTAAGCAGCAGACCATTGCAAAGCCTTTCCAAAACCTCTCCGGGCTGGGTTTTGACTGGCTGCAATTTAAACGAGGTCCGAACGAGGTGCAAACGAGGTCCAAACGAGGTCCGAAATCAAATTTTGGGAGACTGACCCCCCAAGTCTCCTGACATACTCTTTGGTAGCCACACGCTTTCGCATTCTTTTCAGAACAGTAAAACTCAAGAGCTTTCAGCGGTGGAGCAGAAGAGGAAACCAAGCCAAGCAGCAGCTGCAGGCAAGAGCAAAAGGAGACAGAAGAGGAGACAAAGGGCGAGTAAGGGAGACAGAGGGGAGACAAAGGGACCGTGATAGCCAGGTAAGCACCGTGTGCCTATGTGAAGTGCCAAAAAATACATCAGTAAGTTAAAGTCATAGGCGCTGCCCATGTGGGCCTCTCCCCATTCCCCATAGGCACACCACGATTTGGCACAAGATCTTGTCATCGGCACTTGTTACAACATCGACCCAGCTCCCAAACTTGAACCCACTAGCACCAAATGGCAGGCACACCGATGTTGGCACAAGATCTGTCGTGCTGCACAAAATCATTGAAACACCCAGGGCCACACATTCTCTTTGACCGAGCATGCCACTGCGTTTGGATGTCACAAGTATCAAACCAAGTATACTCATAATAAACAAACACATTTATGACAACCAGTGTGCCCCTGCGCTGTGTGCCCTGCAATGGACAAACAAACAATAAGAAGGTTTATGACTACAAATGGTAGATTCATGTAGGTGAAGTTCAGCGTGCCTATGCGTTTTGTGGTCTTACAATAAGCAATGATCCAATGGAATAATAATATCATATATATCCTTTGTACACACTTCCCCACGGCACACCGACCTGAGACAACTTCAGGGGAGCCGAGACAAGAAACAACATGAACCCAGTACGCTGAATAGAATGGCCCATGTCGTCAGCTATTTCTCCACATGTCTGACAGCTGATCAGCCATCCAACCTGTGCCAACCCATGGCGGCTCCCAAGCCATGGGACTCAGATCGCCAATGACCATCTTCATAGGAAAAATACCCTCTGGTTATGTCAAGTTATAGCTATTGTTAAAATGGCCCAGTCGAAATAGTGGATCTTCCCATCAAAAATGGTGGATCTTTCCAGTTCGCAAACTGTTAGTTTACCAGAGGGTCATGGGAAAATCCACTCAGATCGACCAGCCGAAATCCCTGGATTTTCCATGGGCCTCCAGCGGAGCCCAGCAGAGCATCAAATAGGGCCTGATTTCACGAGCCAACTGGGTTGAAATTGGATACCACCCATCCATCCCAGTAACCAAGAAATATTTCAAGATAGTTTTCATGAGGATAGAGCCAAAAAATATTTCAAGATATAGAGAATTATAGAGATATGATGGCAATTGAAACCCTCTGATAATCAAACATGGCAATTGAAACTTCTGTATAAAATACCAGGTTTTATTGAGAAAATCATCGATGACCAGGTCAAAGGGTATTGCTTTTTTGACAAATACCCGCCATGTCTTGTAAAAATGAGCATATTTTGGTTGTAGGGGAGGTAAAGTTTGTTGGGTTTTCCACATTCTGTTTTGGATGTAAACAAACCAGAAGTGAGTAGTGTTTAAAACCCTCTGTCATTCCCTCATACTGGTTGTTAAATAGGGCTTCCCATAGTGGATTATGATAATCCCCAATGCCAATTGAGTAGAAAAAACCCTCTTTTTTATCATCAACATCATCAACCACCAGGGGTTTTGAACACTCTTAAGAGATATTTCCAACCCTCTGAAAGAGAGAAATTTTGAGGATCGGTGTCTCCATTGATGGTTGAAACTGGGCTGTGTCGAAGCTTCGGCAGATCCATTGCTGTCGGATCTGTCGGCCAAGTCCACTACGTGCTGTGCGAATGTCAACCCAGAAATCCAAAAAAGAACTCGATCTTTTCACTTGCCAAAGACCACTTTCAATATAACATATATAACTCATGATTTGGTTCCCAGGTTATGTGGGTTTTTTTTCAATCCCTCCATGAGTTTTTTTGTCCATTGGATGACCTTCCATGATCTTCCCAAATCGACGACATCGTGGCTCCGCGCATGGGGTGATGCGGGAACTTGGCATGGAACCTCAGGGAGGTGCCCGAATTTCGCCAGTTTTTTTCACATCGACTTTTTCTTGGTTACATCCCCATTCCCCCCAACATGAGATGATCATGATGATCAAACAGCTTGTTTTTTACATTGTTTTTACATGTTTTTACTAAGGTACCTTAAAGTATCCTTGAAATCTCGCACTTTTTCACTTTTCAACCTCCAAGACCCCCAAGTCGTCGCCGATGTCTGGGGCTTCCGAGCTCCTTCATCTTAGGAATCACCAAGCCATCCCCCACCGCCACCAACACGGTGCCCAAGTTCTGGCCAAGCTATGTCAAGCGCTGAGGGTTTACGACTCTGCATGGAAACTATGGAAAATACCACTGCTAGCCTGGAGAGAATGTTGATTTTCTGGCTGAACAGATCTCCCAGGAAAACCATGGAAAACCTCCCAGCTTTCGGCGCACCAGCCCCTCTGCCAAGGTGTACCCAAGGTACGTGGTCTCAGAAGCGCGCCGTGGGTTGCGACGTGTCCCTACCCAGTTGTTGGTCAAACATATATTTGGTAACCATCAAGGGGAGAGTTACCAACAAACCTGGGGAAATAAAAGGGACTCAATGGGGATTTTTGTTCACCACCCCCAAAGATCTGGACCAAGATAAGCCCAGGACTCAATGTCAACATCTACCAAGCCTCTTTATTTTTCAGGAACCATTTCAAACCCTTCAGCCGAATTCGGGTGCGCATTCTTTGTGGGGTCAAGATGCCGTATCACTTCACCATGGCACCTTGCTGTTGTCCAAGAATGATGTCGGATTTGAAGAGGTTTTGAAACGTTCACTGCTTCCATATTTGAAAGGGATCTCAAAACCAACGTCACCAGCCATGAGAGAGCACACCATAACAAAGCCAACAATTTGCGTCGGTAACCACACAAGCGACAAATCCAGAAAATCGGCTATAAAGTTTTAAAGATGTGCTGTACATCCCATCAAAATCCCTCCGTCATGATGTCTGAAATATTCCCAGTCATACTATTTAATATGTGTATCCCAACTAAGATAACTAAGTAAGATCAATATTCCCAAAATCACTTGAGATTCTCCAAAACTTATGTCATCTGTCTATTCTTATCGCGTTTTATTTTTTCGCGACCCAAAAATTGCTCCCACTCTTCGCTGAGCGACAGCATAAGCCATGATCGCCAGCAGCTCCAGGGTACAGGGCAACAAGGCTACTACCTGGGAGCATTGGTTCCGATGGTTCCGATGCGATGCTCCAAAATCAGGATGTGGAGTACACATTAGAATCCCATAAAATGATAAGAGCACATGTTATCCCATAAGTAAAAATCCCTAATATCTTCGGGATTTATGTATGTATCCCATAAGTAAAAATCCCATGATGGACGAAAATTTAAAGCGCTTGGATCGGGATCAGGGATTAAATCATATGGGAAACTCAGATTCAATGGACTCGGGCTTTCAGGTAGTTTTCCCATCAACCAACACTGGGACGACGTAAACGTCGTCATCAAAAAGTGAGGTTTGTTTGGGATTTCCACCATACACATCATATATGGGATTTTATACATTGTATATGTGTATATATGGTGTGTATGGTGGATATATCAATTTGGATTTTCCATCGTTGTCATTTTTGCGGATTTTATACATTATATTATATATATATATATGTGTGTGTATACACTATAAATAAACAATAATAAACACAGCCGACCTGGACCATGGTTTCCACTACACTTTTTCATCTTCCGGTAGACTGGGGGCTGGCAGCATCGCCCCTGTGGAAAGGTTCAGCGTCTGAAACGGTCGCCAAAGGCCACCATCGCGGCCATGGCGAACAGCAAAAAACACAGCAAGGCGCCGTGAAGGGAGATCCAG